TTTGCACTGTTGGCCATGCTGCAAAGCCTGAATTTATTCTGGCTCTACTGTCTGATGCGGAGTGCATGGAAGTTCGTCGTTTATGGCGTCAAGAAGGACGATCGGTCGGAGGATGAAACTGAGGCTGAGATGGTGGATCAGAAGAATGGTGGGAAACAGGTGAAGAAGCAGTAGAATGGCCCTCCCAGCTGCTGCCTGGCTTCCAAGCCGGGTATCGCTCACAGTCACTGGGTCTGCGCGATTGGCAAGTATGCTCGCAATGATTAACGCGAATAAAGAGAACCTTCGAAAGGGCTTAGAGTCGCGGATGACATCTGACACGCTAGCCTGGAGATACGCATGCAAAACATAGTCAAGACAGTGTTAAACTTGAACTTGAACTTACACTTGTCAAGGTATCGCTTGCATATATGCTTGCCTACCATGTATATTACTCGAAGTATAATAATGTTATCCAATGAAATGTATGATATCAATCAATATTTGCAAGGGCAGAGGGCAGTTGAATGTGAACTTGAAATGAATCCACACATCTGCCTTTCCTTCGTCCAAGTGTATGTTTCGTATAAAGTAATAGTACTAGTATATAAATCACCTTGAAAGAACCTTGAACCCCCAGATCAAATCAAAAGACCACACCCAAGAGTCCCAGCTAACACGAGGATCAATGCACAAGGAACAGGCATAGAGACCGTGACTGAAAGAGAAAAACAGGTGGGAGTATATACAGAAGAAAAAATGTGAAAAGAGGAAATCTTAAGGGAAAGGGTTGCTGAGAAACGCCAATTTTGCACGACGCCGAAGCCGAATATGTAGCCTCTTTGATCAAAAAGAGAAAAAGCCAGAGAGAGAGAGAGAGGGAGGGAGGGAGGGAGGGAGAGGGATAGAGGGAGAGAGAGAGAAAAGGAGAGAGACGAGATGTCAGGGAGATGAAACACGAAGGTTTCGAACAGTCATCAGGGGAGGGAAAGGAAAATATAACCGAAGAAAATGACAAGGAAGGACATATGTTCATAGCAGGATGGCCCGATCCTAGCGAGCCACCACCGAGAGTGGTTTCAAAAAAAACAGAACAGAAAAGAAAAGATTGGCGAAAAAGAAGGCCAACGCCGGCCATTAGACTTATACCCGCCGCCCAGCGTCATGACCACCACTACTGGGTATTAACGGTAGAGTGGGCTCAACCGGGTCCGCAAAAGGCGATCGGGGCGGTTGATCCGCGAATGGTGATCGAGGCGGTTGTTCGTCGTGGTGGTTAAAGCCCGCGCCAGCGTGGCCTGGATCCCAGCGGGAACGGACGCTGCCGTTGTTGCTTGGGGCCCAGGGGGAGGAAGGGCGGGGCTCGTCGCCGAAGGGACGAATGGCCTTTTCGAGCGGTAGCAGCTCGGTATTGAGGCGGTTGTCTGTTTGGGACATGCGGAAGGACTCGCGGTTGTCTGAAAGACGGTGGTATTTTGCCGTTGGCTCTTTGAGGCGGATGGCGTAGTAGAAAGAGATGAGGAGGAAGACGACGAGAGTGAGTGTGAAGATTGCGTTCATGAAGAAGAAAATGACGGTGACGACGCCGGAGGCGAGATCGGGTTGGTTGAAGACGTCGGAGAAGATGAGGAGGCAGATTGCGCTGACGAAGTTGATGACTGACGCGGCGATGCTGAAGCTGTTGGCTTTCTTATCCATGTAGGGTCTGATGACGCAGGTCGCGATCATGAAGGCCGCTTCGACGATCAGGGTTAGGACGGCTTGCGCCGTGGCGCTGGCTTGGACGAAGGCAACGATGATACCCTTGATCAGGATATAGACGATCATCGGAGCGATGAAGTAGTAGCATTGCGCTTTGTAGTGCACGTAGAGGAAGCCCCATTTGGTCAGACAAGCCGGGTCTGAATACAAGGTGTAGGTCGGGTTCTCGTTCAATGCCTTGGATGCGCGTGCGCGTTGGAAAACCTTGAATGTAGCGAAGCCCAGCGCTGCAGAGGTTGTCAAGAACATGACGATCGCCAGAATGATCTCAGCAGCCGAGTCACGCTGGTAGATTTCCCAAAGACCGAGCGAGCAGAATTGAGGATAGGAGAGCATGGCCAGGCGGTAGATGCTGCCACGCAAGAAACCCTTCCATTCCGTACCTCCACTGAGAGCGTTGTTCAACTTGGCGTTGTTCGCCTTCTTTGAGATGGCGGGGAGGGCGAATTTAAGCACCATGAGAGTGATCATCATGAGGATGGCGACGAAGTAGAAAACCAGGTATGAAGTCATCCAGATGTTCGATGGTTCGATTTGCGCTCGGTAACCCATTCGCTCGATACCCTTGACGAGAAGTTCGTTACCTCCGCCGGTCGTGGGGAGGGTTCGCTTTGCAAGATTTCCGATGGAACGTTTCAGGACCGCGACCGAGACCTTGCTGTTTTGCGAAATAATTGTTGAAGGTGTACCTCCTGTTGCACGCTGGAACCAAGTGGCAATGGTCTGAAGCCATCCGGCATGTACAATACCCACGGTCCATTGGAAATCCTGGGTCCAGTTGCGGGCGAGGGGTCGGAAGTGAAGCGCAAGCATTCCGTACATGGCCTGGCTTTGCATGAAGCCAAGTAACAGCATTGTTCGGAAGGAGACGTGAGTTGCGATATTCGAATAGCCTAGAATGGAGAGAATGACGGTGATAATAAGACCAAGACCAGTGATGACACCCAGGGCCCAGCCAACCCCTGATACGTAGACGGAGTAGCCATTGGTGACGGGGGCTTCGATGCAGGAGACCTGTTCGCCGGATTTCTTTGCGACGACGGTAACTCGGATAAGTAGATCGATGTCGGGGACGTAGTAGGCAACGGCTGGTCGAGTATTAGCGACGAGGGGAAACGCATTGGGGGGTTGTCATCTGTGAAGCGCGATAGCGGACAACCACGACCAAGGCGGGGACTTACTCGGAACGAAGCTGGTGATGGTGTTTTTAGAAACCTCCATCGGATTCCATGGGACAGGCATTTTTCCGCTTGTCATGGGGCACAAATTGGCGATGTTCAAGTCGCATGGGTCGACGGTTTGGCGGGTGATATTGTATCCATAGGCGAAAATGTCGACATTGAACATGACATAGCCATCGTAGTCGAGTGTTCCATCGTATTCTAGCCAGACTTGACTTTCGTCTGGTAACAGTTTGACCTTGATCTCATTTGTCTTAATGGCACTATCGTCGGAACAGGAGGTGACATAATTCGCTTGTAAGAGTTTCTCCGCGTAGACCGGCAGGGCGAGATGAGCGAAAGCGAAGAGGCCAGCCAGCAGGCCTGGCACGAGTTTCATCGTGGGTTGGTGGGAAAACGAGTGGCAGCCAAAAGAATTGGCGATAAAAGGGGGAGTGGGAGAAGGTAGAAGGAAGGACGGGAACAGAGACGGGGGGTGGTTGTGGTCGTGGTCGAAGTCAAGATCGAAGTCGGGGGGGTCGGAGTCAAGACTGAGACTAAGACTACGAGAGAGAAGAGTCTCAGGGAGGTCGAGATTCACCTACGACTACGGAGTACTACTCTTACACATCAGGGGGGGATCCATCAGGCACCTCAGGCAGTAAGATTTTAACGAAAAAGAAATGGGGCCCGGGGTCGATCAGGGCGTGTCCTCCGCATGGCCCAGTATGGCCCAGCCTGACACTGCCACTGAGCCCTGTTTCAGATGTACGATCCTATCATTTCACTGTGGGGCCAAGTTCGCGCGTACATTTGGTGGTTCGAGTTAAAATAGAACAGATTCCACCTTCTCCGTGTTAGTCTAGAGAGAATGTGGGTGTGGATGGCACAAGGCAGAGACGTTGTGTATAAAGATGACTCCCACCGACTACATACATACATACTGTACTTCAAGGCTGATATACCCCATGTGGCATGCGTTGCGAACATTCCGAGCATAAAAAGCTTGCCCGCTCGTACCTTTTCTTGGCCCTCTCCAATCCATCCAATCCATCCAATCCCTCTCACGCCCATCCATCCACTCTCTCCTCCAGACTGGGTTCATGCCCAGCCTTCAAACACGGGCGAGGGAGGAAAATCATGCCTCTCTATGTGACCCAATACGCAATCCAAAGCCTTTCGCCTTCAGAAGAAGAAATGGCCATCGGTACTAGAGGGTCAATGACGCAGCTTCTGGAGCGAACCACCGCGCGGCATATCCATCGCATCCTTGTGCGTCCATCCTGAAGTCTCCACACTACTACACCCCCCACACGCGCAACATAAAGCGCCAAGATCATGTGTGAAAAGATTCTCCCAGGCTGTCAGCAATCACAGAACATGATTGATCTATTGTAGCGAAGCAAATGGCAAACTGTAAGCCATACCAGTAAGCGTCCGGCGTATTCGTGTCTGAGTACTCCGTACAGTGCAACCCGGTCCAGTGGCGTTGGTAAAAGGGTCCGGCTCACCCGGGACCCTCCCCGCTGACGAGTCCAGTGATTTCGTGATTCCTGGACTGCATTGTTAATGGTTGATGTGCGTTCAAAGGTGGGTCGGAGGCGGATTCCATGTGGAGTTGGTGAGCTCAGCGGTTCCACTCAATCCAGGGACAATTCCTTCTCTTACCGTTCTCGAGCAACGCATGGAGTGGTTCGGGAAATTTGGTGAGCAATTTTTAGAGAGGGGTTGAGGGGGGGCCAAGCCAAGGTCACACTTCCTTTGGGGCGAGACGTCAAGTTCCTCCAGGTGGCAGTCTGCAGGGTGAGGGTGAGGGTGAGGGAGGGCTCGCCCCCTGGGGTTGTGGTGGTTCGATGTGGGGGCATGGCTGTGCAGAGAGGAGGAGTCTGATCGCTTTATTGAGCCAAGTCTCGTGGAGCTGGTCCGTTAGAGAATAGTTGGTTGATAGTTTAATTGAGTGGAATGGAATGTCTTGAATCATATTGTGATTGTTTCGTGTATATGTATCAGGTGTTTCTATGTATGTGTGTCCTTGGTCTGGATGCTGACAATGTAATATGTAATGCAAAGAATTTAATGTCCGCGGGGCTCTGCCTGTGCCTAGGAAAATCGCACTCCCTGACTTGGGTCCCACGTCTTGTTTGGTCCACGGGCTTGCGGGTTTGATGCCGCACCGCTCTGTCCTGCATTGCCGCCAGGGGGCACAGCGGCAGCAGAGTTGAAGCGAATACCCATCTCTGGTGACCACATGCTACCTGGGGATTGTACGGCCGGGGGAACCGCGGCCCGCATCGGCTGCGGTGCCGTCAGAGGGGCTACTGCCTCAGAAGTTCGGTGGGCATGAATAGGCGGAGGTGGCTGCGAGGGGGGGCTGCGAGGGCGCCGCAGAGTAGGTTGGGGAGTGAACCTGGCGAGCTGGCTGGTGGGCTGGCTGGCGCAGGTGCGGCTGCGAGATATGCAATGAAGACATCGCTGTGACATTCGAGATATCCCTGGAACGCAATACGTCAGTAAGATTATGATCGATGGATGATCGACGCGAGGGACATACGCTTCTAACTGACTGGCCTCCATTCGTCGCTGATGCACAAAGGCCTTCGCATCGTCGCGAAATCGGCCCACGATCTTAGCAAGATCATTGTAGAATTTGCGCCCGACGTCCAGGTTCGACAGAATCTCCTTGTACTTCAGGTATCCATTCTCCAGGTCCTGCAACGCCGTCTCCCGCTCTTTAGTTGATGCATCGCCTGTGTGTGCCCGCGTGAACGCTTTGTTCGCCTCGCGAACCTGATCAGCAATCTGATCCTGATCCTTCCGTTCCTGGTCGAGCATATCCCGGTCCGAATCATACAGACGCAATTGCTCTTCGAAGAGATCCTCAAATTGGCTCGCCTGAATGGTCTGCATGGGGAACTCCCGTTCGAGTCGGGCTGTCTCCCTCAGGAGAGCCGGCTCTATGGAGACTGTAAGTAGACGAAATTGCTACACGAACGGGGGTGAAAACATACGGATATCATCTGCACGACACTTGTCCTTCCATCCCTGAATTCGTCGTTTCCGACGGTTCTCCAACCGACTTACCTCACTGAGACAACCACGCAGCTTAACTGTCTCACGCTCTACCTCTGGTGGGATAGCAGCTCTACGACTGCTGGGGACATACGATTCGAGATCCCGGTTCGAGCCCGTCAGAACAAGGAACACGGACTCGGAATCTCGCAATTTTCGGTCCACAAGATCATCACTGCTCTGCGCCGATGTGAAATAGCCGCTGATCTCAGTTTGGCTGTTGTAGATTTTAGGCCCGGCCGCTTCAGACTTCTCGCGCGACCACCGGTCCGTGCCATACTTCTGACGAGCAGCATCATCTTCTGCTTTCTCCGCCGCCAACAACTCGACTCCCTCGTTGTAGATGGCATGGTCATTGCTCTTGACTTTCGCTGTATCCTGGACAGAACGGCGAAGACGGTTCAACCCATCTTGCTGACGCATCTCCTCGGCATGGGAGACCAATGTCGGTGGAAGGCCCAGAGGCTTCTCGAGCGCCTGTAGAGATCCTGGCAGATTCAAAGAAGACAAGAGACTGATGGAAATGGTTAGCTGGGCAGTCCTTCGTATCAAAGCCGGGGGTATCATCAAACCACATACTCTCGCAACTTATCTGTCATAGACTCGAGCTCACCAATAAGCGACTCATTCACCAATCGATCCCTCCGATCCGAATAAATGCTCGCAGCAATATGCACCGCATAAGGAACCAGTTTCGCAAACAAAGGCTGGCCCAGAGGCCCATTATCACCGAGCATAGAAATAGCATCCGTAACCTGCGAGGGAGCCTTCGCAGCAACCATGCTAGCCCTATCAAGCGGTTTCAACTCAGACTTAGGCGGCACGGGACTTAGATAAATGACATCATTATCCTTCTCAGCGCGCTTGAGATCATCCGCAACCCGGCCCTTCAACCCATTCAAATCACCAAGCACGGTGCGATTGATCCATCGAGACTCCTTAAGCCCCTCATTGACGCAATTCAAACTATCCCGCAACCGAGCCACTTCCTCGCCATACTTGCGCTTCTCCATGCAATCCAGCGACTGCCTGTACTGCGCCGCGGCCGCGAAGTGGTGATTCTTCGCTGTCATGTGGTGAATCCACTCCGTGCTAATCGCATTAGACTTGACGGCCGAGTCGCCGGCGTCGCCGTAGAAATCCGATACCTTCGCCGCGAGTCGTGCAATCGATGCGTCCTTCAATCCATCCTTGACAGCCTTTTGCCAGAAGCATTCCTGGCCCTGGGCTAGTAGGAGCTCTTCGAGACTTAACAGGGTCATTTCGTCCATGTCTTCTGGTGGGGAGGAGCGGAGGTCGGGAATTATGTCGGTTCGAAGGTGGTGAAGGACGCCCGCGGCCTGGCAGGAGTAGTTGCAGGCCTGCTTAAGGCCATCTGCATTTGTCCTGTTGAGCGCGTATGCGAGTTGGGAGTAGAGGGCGGCTAGGTTGAAGAGGATATTTGCGAGTTCGAAACGTAGGTTATTCTGGGACACTGTTGTATTGGGAGAAAGGGGACATTTTTAGTACTGTATTCGAGTTTGATCCAACTTGAGCCCAAACAGGCGGGCCGAGGAAGTATCTCCAATATTTCGCAACAAAGAAAAACTCACCAGGTCGCGAGGCATTAAATCCTAACGCAGGATACCAAGAGAAGTCGACTCCGATCTAAAAAGTATGACCCGTCAATCAAGACCCAAGGCAGGATAGAGAGGAGGGGGATGGGTGCAAGCCGCGTACATCAATCGGAAACTTCCCACCGAGCCACTTGAGCTGGGCGGCATAGGTGACCAGCCTGCTGATACCGCTGACGTGGGGTTCCTGGACATTCACAGCTTCTGAACGGAGACGATCGATAATCATCAGATCGTCGGCGAACATATCGGGGCGCTGATCATATTTGGACGAGATGTATTGGGTGATGGCATCCGACAGCGAGACGGTGTGCGAGCGGCGGAACGGGAGCTCTAGAATATTGCTGAGATGGTGTTAGTGAATACCAGGTTCAAACTGTCTAGTAAGCTGAGGACTCACGAAGCCATTGTTGCGGGGGTGGACTGGCAACCTGAAGCGCTGGGAACTGGAGAGGTTCATGTTGTTCCAACTTGAAGGTGCCAGACGAAGTTGCTTCTTCCCCCACCACCGGGGCAACCGCATGACGTGGGGCCCACTATCAACGTGTATACAACGCGTTATTTACTTGACCTACTGTCAATAACTACTAGAACTGACAGCAGAAGTATTTGTTTGTTTATTTTCAAGGTTCCTAGTAGTACTAGAATAGACTCTCAGGTTTCAAGGTTGTTTCGTTCAAGTTGCCATCCTATGCCTGGGCAGGTAATACTACTATATATAGTGCGGGGCCGGAGCTACATTACTAGTACTAGTAACCAGCACCGTGACTAGCATGGGACCTATAACATTACTAATAGGTCTCCAACTCATATTCATATTGATAAATGACAAGCATCAAGCTCATCCATGGTATGTACGTGAAAGAGAACATGACAGTATGACAAAACAAATCAAAAAAGAAGTCTGGCTGGCAGCACCGCGAAGATCTCCAAGTTCCCTCCATAATCCACCATGCACCCGCGGCACAAACACAACCACAACACACAAAATTTACGCCGGCAACTGGTCGATGTGCGCCTTGATGTACTCAAACATGCTAAGAAGAATCATGTTGTTGACACCAGTCCGAATAAGAATGATGGACAGGCCTTTGTACATGCTCGACTTGGCCACGGCCACAGAGGCTTCGCCGATTTCTTTCGTTTTACCAAGAAGGACGCTCTGCGCGCGAGTCTTGCGGGTGTCGAGTGGGTAAGTCTGCAACATGTTAGAGACCACTTAATCCCCGCTCTATTATACTCTAGATTGTAGTATCAAGGTCACTAAGTGACTAGGGTGGGGGAAAGACGTACGCAAAACCACGGGACGGTGCTGCAAATCGCACCGGCTATCATGGGCGCTCCGAATGGAGACTTATCCGAACCTAGTTCTTTGGCTGCGACTTGTTTGACGGTCTCGTAGACGCTGAAGTACAGTGCAGACCCGACCGTGTCGCGCATCGCGTGCAGACGGAATCCGGTATACAGGCCGCGGAATCCGTGGCGCTTGACAATCTGGTGGATGGCTTGGATAGTGCCCAAACGCGGTTTACGGCGTAGTGAAGGGTCTCGGGCTGCGTCGGGCGCGGCCATGGCACGGTTAGATACGAGGACCGAGGTTTGGACGACGTTCTTGGCTAGTTCGAATGGACCTGGAAAGAGGGGGTTTTTTATTAATATACTTATGGGTTCTCTCCGTCCATGGCGATGGGGTCTTACAGGCAAGTGGAGAGGTCACCAGTCCGGCTAGGAGACCGGCACCGGTGAAGGTGAGAATTCCGGCGACTGTCGGGCTGCTGCCGGGTTTCTTGTATTCTTCCAATGGTGATTCTCCGGTGATACTTTGGAAGGTGTCGGAGATGGCATGTTTGGCCCAATTGTAGGTGGTAAAGTTGACAACTCGGACAGCGGTTACGCTGGCTAGCGGCGGCAGACAACCTGAGCGATATTAGCATGGCTAATGTAGATGAACAGTAGCAAACCCCGGGGTCGAATTACCAGCCACGTAGCCACGTGGGCCTTCAGTCCGCCAGAGGTAGCGGACGCATTGGAAGATATTTTTAAAGTTATGGCTAGACATATCGATAATCAGTACAAAGAAGGTCACGTCAGTATCTCCCCGCCTGTCCTGGAAAACGACTCACGTTTGCATGCGAGTTTTGACGTTCTCCAGAGGAGTCTAAACAACAATCGATTACAGTCAGCGCCGATATCTCCAGCAGCCTAGTAGAGGATCCTGGATCCTAGCTGCTGGGGGAGAAAACACATACCACCGCCAGGGTCGCGCAGACGGTTGACACTCCCGAAGCTACCTGGGTCTTGTATTTTTTCAACAGTCTGTTCCGGGTGGGATCATCCATGATCCATGCATTCTGTGACGGCATGGTGGCGGGGATTTGTGAAGAAGGTGGAGAAAAGGGTGCATGTTCAGTGCGTTTATCTATAGTCATGCCTGAAAGTTTTCCATTGGGGCCAACGGAGTAAACGTAACAGGGACGGATAAGGCAGCGCTTGCTGAAGATTGATTTCCCGGTCTTTGAATGATTGATCTAGATGCCGACAAAGTGTAAATAGTGGTGACCTTGGTGTATACGTCGAATGGGGCGATGGATAGGCTGGGGAACCCTATGGAACGCAAAGCGGCCTCTCAAGCTTCAGAGTCGACCGTTCGGCGTCCCACAATTATCCATTCGGCGGACCGCTGTAGCCCGGTCTCCTCCAGATGTTTATATAAGATCCAGAAAGGATCTCGAAGGGGTGTTGAAAGGTATTGGGGAGGCAGAGGAGTGATGATCGGAGATAGAGCTAAAGGTGGGGGATTCGGTCGTGGCGATAAGATGAGGGCAATTTGAACCCGACGAAGATGAAAGTTGCTGGTGCTAGCGACTTTGGGGCGATTGGGAGATCCGTGAAACACTCGTCAGAGAATTTCAGTGGCAGCCAGGCCGAGTATAGGCGTGTTGAGGGGTCGTCGGTCGCAATGAGAGCAAGCTGGAGGGAGCTTGAGGTTGGGCTGGAGTTAGTGACGAAGTGGTGGAACGCGGGGAAGTTCGAGCGGGATGGAGACATTCAGACTCACCGTGAGACCAATCCTCTCTGGTTCTCTGGTTTTCTCTTTTTCTCTTTTCTCTCTCTCTCTATCGGGGTTTCAACACAAGACCCAATCGAGCCCGCAGTGCTGTGAAGAGGAGAACGAATTGTCCGTCCCTTCTGGCATGTGGACCGAGCTTTTGCAATCCCCTCGATGCGGTTTAGGGCGAAACCCAGTGACGTCGACGTGAGAAGATAATCGGGGGATACCGACCAGCACCCATGTACATTGGAATATTGAATATTGAATGGAGATGGATATAAGCTGATTTCTACCATTCTTCTATCATTTACAGAAACTATGGCATAAGTGGTGGATCTACGGTATTTGCTTTGCTGGCCCGGTCGCATGCATGGGTGCATCCGAAGCCCGCAGCAAAATGAGGCCGAATCTTCTTGCTTCTTTGCTATTGATCGCCTACAGATGGACAACCATGGATCTGCCCGTCATGATCCCCAGACCTTTTTTCAACTCTTGGGGGACAGTTCTCCGGGGGATGCAGGCTGGTCATGGGCTGGATGACTGATGGCTCACGCCATGTCGAACACTGCATTCGGAGTCCAAAACTTGTCTTTGCGGGGTTTAAACCTTGGAATGATACTCTCAAATTCCAGACCTTTGTTAGAGTGCAGATCATGCAGAAGGCCCGGGAGGGAAGGTCTGTGTGCTATTTCGTCGAATCAGTTATCACTGAATGAAATTGAATGATCGATGTTCCCCAGAGCTTCGATGAGTCCGGGCATTGGTCCATCTGGGGTGCCATATGATAGTAGCTAGCATCTTAGTAGTTACCTGCGGACTGACTCTGGACTGTGGTACTTGGTCGAGGGCACAGCCCTGGCACTTGGTTGATTGCCTCTTTGGGAGGGATGGAATGTGGATATATTTGGACACATTTCCACACCCGAGAGGTGAATTCTCTGGATTCTTGGATAATAGAGTCAAAAGAGGAGAGTGATGAAGAAAGAGGAGGATGAAGATGAAGATGAAGATATTCTGATGGTGGGAGTTCACGTGCTCTCACGGGCGCGTGGGAGCACGTGATGAGAGTAGTAAGAAACAGACAAGAGTAACGAGAGTACGGAGTAAACGAGATACTCATAAATATTTGGAAGTAAATATGAATTATTTGAATATCATGTAGCCGACTTGGATCGAGTGAATACTTGTAGTACTACACCACGGAGATTTATGCAGAGCTGAATTGTGCAACCGGCATTTCCTCGGGCCAGCATCCTCGGGACCTCGGCCTTTCTGCTCTTCTCCCTCTGCTTCTCCCTTTGCTCCCCGCAAATCAGCTTCTCCACCCCAGCTGCACCTGTGACAATGCATCGATCCTATTTATTAATTGCCTCCTTCTCTTCCTCATCCCTCCACATCCACCCCTACCCCAGACTAATACACCCCACATTCGCCTGAACCTTCATCTTCATCTTCATCTTCACCTTCACCTTCACCTTCACCTTCACCTTGTCCGATACCTCACCGTCACCGCCACCATGGTCAAGAAAGCTGCCAGCCCCGCCTACGTCCTAGGCGTGGGAATGACCAAGTTCATTAAACCGCGCGGCAAGGTCGACTACAATGAGCTGGGCTACGAGGCCGGTATCAAGGCTATGCTCGATGCTCAAATCACCTACGACGACGTTGACCAGGGTGTCGCCTGCTACGTCTACGGCGACAGCACCTGCGGCCAGCGCGTCTTCTACCAGTTCGGTCTCACCCAGATCCCCATCTACAACGTAAACAACAACTGCTCCACTGGCTCGACTGGTCTGGCCATGGCCCGCACCATGGTCTCCCACGGTGCTGCCGACTGTGTGCTCGTCGTGGGCTTCGAGAAGATGAACCCCGGTAGCTTGCAGTCCATGTACAACGACCGCACCAACCCGACCGGTCTGTTCGGTACGATGATGGCTGAGACTCGTGGCGTCACCAATGCCCCCGGCGCCGCCCAGATGTTCGGCAATGCTGGCGTTGAATATAAGGAAAAGTGAGCTGCTTTTCCCCAACCAAGGAGAAAGAATACCTTGTTGGATAATATGCTAACCTCACGATCCACCAGGTACGGCGCAACAAACGAAGACTTCGCGGAAATCGCCCGTATCAACCACGAACACTCCAAGCGCAATCCCTACTCCCAATTCCAACAAGAATACACCCTGGACCAAATCATGAAATCCCCCATGATCCACGAACCCCTCACAAAGCTCCAATGCTGCCCAACCTCCGACGGCGGCGCCGCAGCCGTAATTGTTTCCCAAGAATTCCTCGACGCCCGCCCCCACCTCAAGGAAAACGCCATCTTAATCGCCGGCCAGACCCTTGCCTCCGACACAGACCAAGTCTACAACCAGAGCTCCATTGACCTGATGGGTTTCGGCATGTCCCGCTACGCAGCCCGCACGGCCATTGCCGAAGCAGGCGTCAACGTCAAGGACATCAAGGTCTGCGAGCTGCACGACTGTTTCTCCGCCAACGAGATGATTACCATAGATGCGCTTGAACTCTCCGAGCCGGGCAAGGCTCACGAGATGGTCCGCAAGGGCGATATCACTTACGGAGGTAAAATGGTCATTAACCCCTCCGGCGGCCTCATCTCCAAGGGTCACCCGCTTGGTGCAACCGGTATTGCCCAGTGCGCCGAGTTGGTGTGGCACTTGCGTGGTTGGGCGAATAACCGTCTGATCGACGGTACTGATTCGGCTCTGCAACATAATCTCGGCCTGGGCGGTGCGGTCGTCGTGACTGTTTACAAGCGTGCTGATGGTAAGGTCGCTGCGGCTGTTCCTTCGGATGTTGTGGGTAAGATCAATAAGCTGGGTTATAACCCGGCTGTTGAGGCTCGTGGTTTCACTGCTGCACAGGCTAAGTCTGTGGTTAGCCAGAAGCATAGCAGTGAGTACGCTGTTTCTGATGCGCAGGAGCGGGTCCTGGCCCGTTTCTGAGCGGGTGGATGGTGGTCCTTTGTTTGGCCTGTAAATAGTTTTGTATTTTGTAGCATGATAACGATACACAATTTGCTTCAAGGATTATGATGAATTGGATCTAGCATCTTATCTAAAACGTAGATCACCCTTTGGCGCCTTGGCTAGCGTAGATTAACGTTTCTAGTTAGTTGAATGAAGCCGCCTTCGCCACAACATGAAACAAGAGGTTCAACGAGAACAAATCTTTTTCTAAAAGTCCTCAATAACCGCCTCCCAAGCCCCCGAAAAAGCCTTCTTAGGCCAAATACCATGTTTTCCCGGCGCCAGAATCCCGCTACTATCAACCGCATCCTTCGCAGAGGTGATCATAGCCCGCTGCCAAAAGTCACTCTCAGCATTACCACTGTGAGAAATGATCTGATCCATGAGGACGGAATGTGTTCGAAAATTCTCCCACCGGTGTGTAATAGTATCCTTTAACAGGTTTCTCACGAGAGTTTGAACTCTTTGGGGGGCTTTGGAGTCGTGGGTTGGAGACAGGGTGTGCATATTGTGGATTAATCGGTCCCTAGTGAGAACGAATTCATTCATGAGCTCGTAGTCTTCTTCTTGGCCTTGCTTCAATGATATATCAAGCATATCTTGAGCTGTTAACCCGGTTACTATTCGCGATGTTCGGCTGCACATTGTATGAGTTCTCTGTAATGCGCTGGCGTCGGTTGTACTTGATCTGAGATCTTGTGTATCCGTCAATGCTGAGAAGCGAGGGCACGCTCGTTCTTGGATATAGTCTCGGATGTTTGCGGGGAATATTCGTCTGAAAGATGGAACTTTATTGCTTCCATTGCTTCGTCCTCGAATGATTTTTTGATGGTCTCCCAGGTTAAAGCACGTAGAGGTTTTGGCTGGCTGAGGACGCCGTAGAGATTCCAATAATCGAGGTGCAGGGCCTGTGCCGGTGAGGATGATTCTAGCGATGATACTTGAGAAAGCACTTCTGATTCGAGAAGAATATGACGGAGACGGAGGTCGTGATGGATCAACCCGCTCAGGTGAAGCTTTCGAGCCACATCGATGATCTGTCGGAAGTGGTCACTCCTGCTGAAGGTTATGAGGAACGGCTGGCCTTCTGATGCTTTTGAACGTAGCTATATTTGACATTAGTACTGTAGCGTATGTAAGTGTAGTAAGTTTGGTCTGAACAGACATCTATAGCCTTTAAAATGCGTGTCAGCGATTGTTCGACAATCTATCATTGAATGTGGACTCTTACTATCTTCGAAATAACCCCAAGGCACTGCACTGGGATCAATCCATTTACGAGGCCCTGTTCAAGCGTCCGATCCTGCGCAAGCTTAGTCAGTCTTCTTGAATTTTCATCAAAGACCTCTGTGATGCAACCTTTGGTAGCCCTCGTTCCTTGTGGGAGTTCAAGACCCCGGTTTGTAAGATATCACCTTTCGGCAGGATAATTTCCATACCACATGATCCAGCTGCGGACTCTGACTCAAGAACATGGTCGATGATAAGCTCCCTCGATGAAGAGGGCCAATCGATCCAAAACCGGTCATCGAGTCCCCGCTGTGAGATATCACGAGCCAGAGCAGCGTATGAGACCCCGGGTTCGACAATAGCATAAAGATGGTCCTCGTTTACTTCAACTATATTCTTCATATACTTCGCAAGATCCAAACCAATACTCCCTGGAACCCGTGGAATAACATGCCGAAGATCCTCTTCCTCAGTGGAGTAGAATGGCCACACGGGTATTTTGATTCGATGAAATAGGCGAAGTAGTCCCTGAACATCCTCGACGGTACGGGGAGCGATGACCGCTGAAAGAAATAGATTCGCGAGCGGTGGGATGCATAAAGCATCCAAAGCTTTTGAAATATTACGGCAAAGCGTGTCGTTTGAAGTGACGATTTGGACATTTTCAGCCCCGGTGATATCCTCTGTTTCCGCGATGTAATTGACAAATAACTTGCTGCTCATCTCAATGGGCAGGACATGGGGAGTACCCGGGTTGAAGGGAAGACGAGTCGCAACGAGGGTAGTAGTACTAGCTGTAGTGGCCGTAGTACTACTACTGTTGCTGCTGGCTGCTGTTGATGTCGATGCTGTGACGGTAGAAGAGTTCCTCGAAGACTTCTGCGAGTCTAGGTAACTCTTTAACTTCTCAGCACGCGCCATATACTCTCCCACCTTATTGCGAATCCTTTCCTTTGCCTGAGGATTCTTTTCCCATTTCACCGCCAACATGAAGAGCTCTAGTGCCGCGTAGTAGTTCTTATATGCGCTCTCGTATTCGCCCTTATTGTCGTACTCGATGGCTTTCTTAACCGTGTCAATGGCTCTGCTGAGGAAATCAAGATTGGTGGAGGCAATGGCGTTAGCTTTTGGCTCACTTCGTGTACTTGTATCAATGTTGGCCACGGCAGCAGGGGCAGCATCACTTGGTGTATCCTTCTCCGGAATATCGTCTTTGGTCGGTGGTATCCAGTCGCTGATATACTTGGATTGTTCTTCCGTCAAGGGATCTCCTAGAATGCTTCCATCGTAGACAGTAGATCTCTTTCCTTCAATTACAGTGCTAGCACTTGAGTAGAGAGATTTTGCAGCCTGTGCCATATTTTGGAGACTAAAAATAACTCCATCCTTTCCAGTAGACCCTAGAGAAATGCTCGATGCGCCAGGCCCATTCATTTTTGTTGTCAGAGTCTCCAATCGTTTAGTTATTGCATTGATCATAACTCCCAGGGTAGATAAAGATGTATCCATGTTCTGTGTAGACGTGGTTTCCTGTATTTGAAGACACAGGATGATCATCTGCAGTCCACTCTGCATTGCCAATTGGTGCGAGTTGATGCGCTGTCGATATTGAGAAATGTCGTCCGACGATAAGCTTAGCTTGAACGCCTTGACTGGTTTTCGCAGAAAACTGTTGCTGAATGAACCTGTCTTGGTCACTTTTGCGAAAGCTTTCTCCAGCTTTGCGACTGTTTCTCTTCCGCTGCTGACATTGTCGCTGATGCTTGACCACAGATTAGCATCTGCTCCCGAGTACGCGACAAGATGACTGTGGTTCTTCTTCCACGTATTCTCAATGCCCTCCAAGACTCCGGATAGACCGAGTAACTCTTGGCGAAGACTTGATAGATTTTCATCCACATTTTGGATGCTGCTGGTAATATCATGAATTGCCGTTGCAACCTGTGAAATTCAACTCATGTGATGAGTTCAAGTTTCTTTCCAGACACATGCAGGTACGAAAATGCGCAGACTAACCCGAACACAAAGTACAGCCAGACTTCCCGATGCACTCGCGATGGAAAGGGGATCCATGCTTCACTAGTTGGGTAAATTCTTGGTGCTTGGCTGAACTCTTGGGATACTTGGCGGCGAAGGGGAGGTGACAGTAGGTTTTCTTTTTAAACAAATCAAAGCGAGGCAGAACTCATCTTTAATGGAGACCTGAATGCCAAGGTGGCTATGGCAGAACGAAACACGAGATACAGTCCAATCGCGTTTGAACTTGGCTTTGTTTTGAGCACTAAAGCGAAAGTGGTGGGGTTGAGCGGCCGAGAAGGAATTGCCTGCGCCTCCTCTCCCTGACGCTTTGGCCGCTGGCATTTCCCACCACATCCTCTTGTTTTTCACATGGAGTTGGTGCAGTTGAAGAAAAAATGCCGCTGTATTCGATATTCATGTAGTCTTTGCGTGAAGAAAATAAATTGCTTAAACAACCTCCCATGCCTTTCTATAAAGCAAAATCAACAATCTGTCTGTCCGGGGGCAAAAAAAACATTTATTTTGCGAAATTATTAAATAGAAAAAATGCGTCAAAATCGTCACACTGTCATTTCAGTTGGATGTTCTACCAGCAGATATGCAGGCTGACCTACTTCTATGTACAAAGAAATATCCCCAAAACGCCTTTATCGTAGATATTTATGTTCATGTTCATGTTCATGCATGCGTTTCAGCCCAGTCATCCGGCAGTTTATAGTACTGCGGCACCGAATATTGCCCCCGACAACTTCCTGGATTAGTGCATTGAAGCTTGCACCGCCCATACAATCGACAATAGCACTCCTGTGCATTCGGACAAGAAGCCTTATTCAAAGACTCTCAGTCCAACAAGCCCATCAGCCCCAGGCTCCGCGAACAATATATGCCAAAGATAAGACAAAATTCGACCTGCAACTTTGTCATCCGCAGGCGCAACCGCCCCATTCTGATTTCTCCTCGAAGTCGCCTTTGCACTCCCATCTAACAACCACTGGCGCAAGGCGACATACTCCGCCCGGGTATGTTGCCAAACTCGTTGACGGGAAACAACAAACTGCGCACAGCACTGGGCCCTCACTGCATCATTCCTCCCCAGCTTAGCCTCCTTCCATCCACCATTGCCGCCGAAAAGCGATGCTAGTGCCCCGGGCAGCGCCATATCCGATGCCGCACGCGCGCTCCACGGCGTAACGGCTGATTGTAGTCTCATCTCCGAGACTACCTTGCGCCGGCACGGTAGATGAACAAGTACCTGCGCTCCAGTCGCAGCGCAAATTGTGGTAGCCCGAAGGTGCCAAAGCGGCGGGAATATCCAAATCACGCAGAAGCGCCGCATTGTCGTAATCCGGCGCATCATTGTGCCAGGCCCATCGTGAGCCGTGAATGAATACCGCGCCGGCGGAAGGGAAGTTCTCATAATTGTCAATTAGAAATGTCAAGTAGGCCATTGCTTCGTGGCCTCGGTTTGCAGGGACTTGAAGATACCCAGAGGATGAGTCGGAACTTCCATGCGCGGATGTCTCTTGTCCCGCAATATCGACATCGTAAATACATAATGTGTATTTATCAGCAAGTTTATCTAACCAGAACGCAGTGCCGTCTGATTCCACCCGAGAGACGATCAGTGCGGGCTTTTTTGAGGTTGAGAGATTTGGACATATGCCGCGCTGAGAAGGGAAGGTGGTGGCGCGAGTTTGATATCGGATTTTAGCCCATGGGAAGGATTTAGCCTTTGATTGGGGCCAGTTCAGGATTAGAATTATATTCAGGAAGAAGGCGAAGATGAGGAGTTGTGTGAGGGCTCTACGGGCCCTCGGTCTCATTTTGGGGGTATTTTTTGAGATTTTCGTTCGAGATCAGATTTGACCAGTGGAAAGAAAATAAGAAAACACGGAAAAGCCGGCATTTCGGATGTGGGGTTTGGTTGGGATCTCCTATCTCCGGTACTGGGTACCTTTTCTGCACGTGGCGAACCGTTCTGGTGGCTCTGGAGTTTCCGTTGCTGCTGGACGCGTGAGTCACTGATCAACATTTGAGGATCTTGATTTTGACTCTTTGTGCCATTTTGATAGATTATCTTCCTTTCCCCTCGATGATAAAGTATGGCTTCCACCATCCTCTTTGACCCACCCAAAGCGGTGGTCTCTCGGCTTAGTCGCTCCACAACAGATCCTCGTCCAATAGTTGTGATGACATGTGGAATCGCAGGTATGTTATGTGATTTAAGCATTTCTTGGCATGAAGACAGGAACCATTTTTTTTATTTTAACTCTCGATGATTATTGCTAGGATCTGGCAAATCTACTCTTTCTAAATGGATTATCTCCAACTACCAGTCCTTTCAGCGTCTTTCAATCGACGCCTGGATTTACAAAAAGTATGGCCTCTGGGGCAAATATTACCCCGCCGAAAAGTACAACGCCTATCAAGAGGAAGCAGAAGTTGCGCTACGATCTGAGTTCATTTCCTTGCTTCGAGAAGGAGTCCATAACGTGGTACTGGACTTTTCTTTTGCATTCCGCAAGACACGAGACGAATGGAAAGATATCGCCGAGTCTAATGGAGCTCGCTGGGTTCTGTTTTACCTTGATGTCGAAGCTGATGAGTTGCGCCGACGAGTAATAGCCAGAAACTTGTTGGAGAATAAGGATGGCGATTCGGCATTTTTGGTAACGGTGGAGGTGCTTGAACGGTACATTGCTGGCTTCGAAAGACCAGATGGAGAAGACGAAATTGTTCTATGAGAAAACAATACAGTGCCGCCCAGGTTCGCCTTCCATGTCGGCAAGACAGAGATGCTCTTTCAAACCCTAACCACATGATCCCCAATATCCAGATACGGTTACCCCCGTACTTTTGATCCTGTTTCGGTTTCGAATGGTAAAATTCAAATGAACGAGAGATGGAATATTATGTATTTTATTGTCAGGATGAGGAGTTGATGTACTGGCTAGTACGAGAGATGTCGAATAGAATCAGATGATTGATTGATTGTCCCCAGATCCGTTGAGCGATCTCAGGAGTCTATATAATCGTACTATGGCGTGATATGTCGCCATAATTCGAATCGCACGCTAGGGTGAATTGGGTGAAAGAAGAGATATCCATTTAGTCTCGCCCTGCCAGTCCGGAGTTGGGCTAGCACGCTCGCTTCTTTCCACGATAATCGATCGTACAGCTTCCGGGTGTGTTTTCCTGGCAGTAGGGCATCTACTCGTTTGGAATGTCTGCCTACGTTCTCCGGCAAACATTGACTGGCTGTGACTTGGTATCGTGCAATGTGCAGGGTATGATACAGTAGCTTGCAAAATCGCCTTGCGCTTTCACACACACTCTTTCTTTCCAGAACCCGAGTGCCAAGACCACTCTAACCGCATAAAGCTAGCCTGAAGATTATCCCTTATCTGTATATCCGACGTAGTATTGTATTAACACGTAACAAGGTTCATTTCAGGTTTGCTAACTTTAGTGATTAGTTGATTTTCGTTTTCCCATGAATCACCTTTTATTATTTGAAGAATGGCTGTTTGACCAAACCATGTACAAAGGAGTTTGTGAACGAACAGTGACTGGATCAAGTATGTACCACTGTCGAGGTGAAGCATAGAAACACATTGTCTATGATCTCAACTTCCATTACATAAAAGCTGTATGTCTCTGCGTGCTTTCTGAGACGCTAGTCAACCAGGATGTTCTTCATCAAGCGTTCTCTCTCGTACCGCAACCACATACTTAAGTAGCCCTACAGCCAAGTTGATCTGCCCGTTGGATTGATACACCCCTACGAGCGTATACTGAGACGCCAGTTGATCAGAATAATGTTATTGTATCCAACCAAGTTGACAATGGTTTGTGTGTTAGACGGATGTCGAGTCTTTTGTTATTTTTCATGACCTTTTAGTTTTCATTATTAGGGTTTCTATTTATGGAGGAGCTTGTTACAGGCTCAATTTTGAACAAAAGAATCTGCAACAAAGCATGGAGCTCCCATGGGTTATTTATCATAGGCGAGATTTAACTTTTATTGTCTTCCGAGGTTTAATAAAGAGCCTTTTACGCCCGAGTCTCTAGGCTGCTTCCTCCGAGTCGTATCATCAAGGCTCCTCCACCTGGGCAAAGATACTATCCCAACATATAAATATCAGCCTCTGTACTGAACAATATCATTATTAGTATACTGTCGACCTTCAACGAGCTCCAAGGCTCCATCGGTCTTCAGTATCCAATTCTTCTTTCTTTGAATCATGTCTCACTTTCAGGTTTCCGATTTCAGGAAAGCCTGTAGGGAGTTTACAGTGCTCGCAAATAGGTGGATAGAGATCTTATCCGACGATCCTTTTCCCCATTCCGATCTCATCAGATCGATAGCCACAAGCATGGATATATGGAGAGGCACTTTTACTATGTGCTCAGAGGCTTTACCAGGAGCTGTGAACTCTCGTGAATTACACGCCCGATTGAAAGAAATAATCATGGCGCTTATTGAGGTGGGGGAGTATATTAGGGCAGCAGCAGCCGGTACCACGGTCATTCGTATGCTGAATGAAATTATCGCTCTCATTGAGCAAGTTCAGCTTTTGCGCGCTTTGCAAATTTAAACCCCTTCTTCGGCTTATCGCACTTAGGAAACACTTAGGAAGCAAACAACAACCGGAGTATCAAGACCCTAGGAATATGCTAACGATAAAATGAGTTATATCCCACAATTTAATAGGTTGTTTCTACTCATTTTAATTATTATTTCCCCTTGTAATGAGTACTGCTAGCCTCTAATATGCCAATAAATTAAGCATAGATCAGTATAAACTTGATTTGCTCGCTTGACACTTTCATGTATCCTCCTCTTTGATTGTTTTCGGGTTACACCCCGGCACAGGATACTTCGCTCTCCAGTAATGCCTCCACATACTCTTTACGATATGGAATTTCTCCCAGCCCCCTAGTGGCTCTCCCGCAAGTTGATTCATATTCACAGGGATCCTGTCGTCGCAGGGAATCAAAGATCTGAAAACTTCACAAAGCAGACCTTGATCCATGATACATCGGGATAAGAGGCTTGCATTTTCCCAATGACCTGGGCTGCCAACCTCGATGGCAGTTTTGAATGCAAATGACCAAAGACTTTCATGTGTAACTTGGATTGGAATGAGAGGGCCGACACCCCGAGAGAGGAATTCTTCAAGAATGACAGTAGATTGACCCTTTCGAATATGGCATTCAAAAAGATACTGACCCTTGGGATTGACGCTGTAGATGTCAGCCCCGGTCTAGAAGTAACCGGACCATCCCTATCTTCGGTGGATCCTGCTCTGGAATATCAAACATGCAAGCCGGCCAACCGACAAAGAAAAATGCCGCCTCTAGCATGGTAACATGCCGTATGGGCGGAAATTCTGGCGAAGCATCTACCACATCTGCGGCTAATTCTGCGTTTCCAGGTGGATCTGCGTCTGATTCCGAATCCGACCTCCACCCAGAATCCTCCGGCGTGCCAGATAATCGGTAATGCGTATTGACATCAAAGCCATTATCCAAAAAGAGGTTCACTATATCGAGGTGATTATATCTTGTAGCTTCAACAAGAATATTCCCCCAACTTAGATTATTCGAGTCAAGAACATGCCCCCTGTCTAGCAGAAATTTGAAGACATCAACGCTGCCTATAATTGCTGCCTCTCGGAATATCACCTCAAATCTGCATGAGCCACCGATTCCTTTTGTCTGGTGCTTAAAGGAAGGGATCCTAAGTTCATTCAAGAAGTCTTCGAGCAGGGCAAAATTATCATTACCCGTAGCTTGCTCGCACAAGAATCGGCGGTCCATAGGTCCAGATAATGCAAAAGCATTCTTTTCTAGGAGATACCACGTAAATTGAATATCTTCTCCAGAATTAGCAAGACTGTCACGGGTCAATTCCTTGGACAGGGTCCATAGCTTGGGACCGACACGTTCCAATAATAGATCCCTTTCGCTATCACAAAGCCTACATGGCTCAAAAATATCGTCAAGTATAAGGCAAGGCACGGAGGGGCCATGTGTCTCCAGCATTTGAGCCAAAAATTCGGGTTTGAGGCCAGTTTTGGGATACTCTTTAGTTCCTCTTTTGAGCAGACGATGAACCATGTCCTCTCGATATATAATGGAGTCAAACTGCTTTAGACATCCAAGTTTGAGGAGGGTAATATCCTGCACATTGATGCTCTACCATGGGATCGGCGCCCGCATCAAGCAATACCTCAACTGCGTCTGGTGACCAGTGTTCGACCATGCGCCAAAGTAAGGGACTTCCAAATCCACTTGGCGCATTGATATCACACTCCGGTCCTTCAACGATGGATTTCAAGAAAGAAGGTGGGCAAGCTCGAGATATCTGAGGGATAATAGCCGAATTCGAGGGCCAAATATAGCCGAGTCTGTTTGGTGGGGCGGCAACATCAAGAAGGTATTGGATAACATCACAATGACCCCCTCTGATTGCATTAAGAAAGGGTGAATTGTTGGAGAAAGATAGCGACATATCTATCCCGAGCTACCATAGACCTCAACGAGGAGGCGAGAAATATTCAAGTGCCCATTGGCCATAGCAACATCAAAAGGCACGAACTGATTTCGTGGCTGATGCAATAGCATGGATTCCTTCCCATGGGGAAACCCCGCTCCTGCGGCGAACATCCTGCACAAAGCGTCGGCGTTTCCACTTGCTGCGATCCGTTCTAGGCCACGAGGAGAACAGTCCAATGCGTAGCGGCCGTAGAGCCTGGGATCTGCCACTTGCCATAGACGATGGTATGTCTGTGAAATGGAATTCACATCGGATGCGTAGTACAGATATTGAATGATATCAATGAGAGTTTCGTTTGGGAGGCTAGCAAAATTGGGCATTGTGGCCCCTGACAGTTCAAGTTGAAATACGAGAAGTTGATGGATACAAACACGGCAACAATACGAGCCACATATGCCTTGAAGAGCTTTTCCCTACCGGTTGTTTATTTAGTTTGGCACGCCTCGCGATACTACTGCTACAAGTGTAGCCACGCCAAGTTGTGTATTATTGCTGTTCCCAGGGAGCCTGATGCCCTCCCTTTTCTGCCATTTCTCTCTGTGATTGATTTTGAAGAAAAAAAAAACAAAAAAGAAAAAAGAATTCGTAGGTGTGTTCACTTCCCTAATATTCGTATTCGTATTACCGACTCCACCGAAAAATAAAACATGACATAATCCAGATGACTAATCGATTAACGACGCGCCGAGTTTTCTCGCCGCACAGCCTTTCTCGTCCTTTCTCTTCTCCAACTTACTTACAAAACACGGTCTCCATCATACCCTTGCGCTTGGACATTATTCCATCCAGCAAATTTTAGAACGAGACCCAGAACGACGTGCTCGTACTAATCCCGACTCTTGATCTGGGATGGTTCTGCCTTCCCCTATACAATTGTTGGGTTCGCTTTGGAGCATACACCCCTTTTTGGGAAACTTTGAAGGTTGTTCATTCCAATCAAACTGGAGGTCATGAACCTTGAGTCATTTTGGAATTGAACAACCATTGGGCTGATTATTGAGAAGATTACACATGCTTGCAATAATCAACCCCGCCATTGTCGCCCCTTCGCTCTCCGAGTCATTTGTCGTACTCTTGCAGAATGTGATGTTTTTTCCGCTTGATGCCCGGCAACTTACTCAGAGAGGGAGGCTGCATACACAACCAGAAAGCGCCATGCTAGTATTCGCATGAATTTACTAACACAGGTCCTCACCACTGTAGCCCTCGTCGCCGACATCTGCACCCCAGCCTTCCCCCATCCGCCTGCGCATTTTCATTTTCTTGGCAGATTCGAAGCCTTGTCCATCTATTTCTCAATGATAGTTGAGGTCAAAATCTTGCCAAAAGCGAGACCTCACAGTTGGACAAGATCCATCTGGAGACTCCCTCGTGTTACGTCCGCTCCTCTACATGGGGCTGTGCGTGCCAAAGAAGGGAGGTACATTCCTTCAATAATTCTACGATGTGGTTAGAAACGTGTTCCTGACCGCCCGGTCTCTCGTGGTAGCCGAGTCGAAGCTCGCATTCCCTTGAGGGATGTGGAATGCAGGTAGAATTGAGATCGACAATGGTCTTCAAGCCTTGCTCGACTTTAACATAGATAATATCAAAGCATTTCTCCGAATTGAATTCCGTGAATCTTGTATGTATCGCTTCTGTAGTAGAGTGGTGTTCGAATGTCTGATAACTGAGTATTGTTGACTTGATCCCCGAGCCCGATTATGATGTTGATCAAGTAAAAATGGATACGGGCAGAACCTCCGATTGGAATGTGACATCCACGAATCCAGTCTTCTAATCCTTCCCATCGGATCTCTTCTCTCACCCTGGCGGTTTTGACTGGATCAAGTCCCCCCTTGCGCAGCAGATCGATTAATGTGCATAGGCTAAGGCTACCCGAGTCGGTATCTGGCTTAAGCGCAAAGATGCACACGCAGAACAAGATTGGCCCCCCATCTCCCGAAGGATCATTCTTCTTCGCGAATCACAGGGGAAAAGGCAATGCAATGTTTACGCGGTCCATAGCAAAAATACCGCGGAAAGACGCATGATAGCACCCAAATGCTCCTCACACCCTGGACCCCCTCATCCCGCCCCCCCTGTAACTATGTCCCATTCCTGTTCAAAACTGCGACAACAGGGAGAGAAGGGGTTGGATATAAACCTGCCATGTCTTCCACTGTCGCCCGCGTTGGCTGATCTTTGCTTTGATTCTATTCTTCTTTCTATCCTTGAAGACCATTACTTATCAGGCTATACACTCGTTTAAATTCTCACCTGAACATACTGTCTTTCTCTGGGTCTACATTTTCAAACACATACCTCATACACAATGACTCGTCTCAACCTCTCTTTCGTCGCCGCCTTCTTGGTCCTGGCTACCTGCGCTGTGTCTGCGCCCGCTGGCACCAAGCGTGACGAGGGCCACAGCTTCGGACTTGCCAAGGCTCTTAACGGCCTGGAGGTATGAACTTCCTCAAAGACAATTTATATTGGTCCACTGACAATAATTTTCAGGCCCTGCCCAAGATCATGGAGGGTCTTGATAACAAAGACGCCAACGGCAAGAAGAACGAGGCCGCTAAGCCCCCTGCTGTTGACAACTCCGAGAAGGCCAAGGCAGAGGACAAGGGCGAGGCAGAGGACAAGGGTGAGGCAGAGCACCCCACTGCGGCTGGAGATGAAAAGAAGGTCGCCGAGGACTCAGCCCCGACTCCCACTGATAAGAACCTCTACTCTGGCAACTTCGCTAGCGCCACCCCGAAGAGCTCTGTCCACCCGACCTCGAAGCCCAATGCCCTCGGCGCTCTCCCCATTGTTGGTGGTATTCTGGGCGGTACCGGCGGTACTCTATAGATCACCAAGGCTCTAGTCTCGTTGATTTATGGTCAAAAGAAAGAGTCTAGCTACCAGGGTCTGCAATATTAATATATTCGGCGAACACGGGGGTGGTTTTGCTTTTATTTATGTTCTGTCCTTTGTTGTCTCGGACCTTTGATAGTACATCGTGAGCTGATCTTGAACTTGGTAGCGGGCCCATCCTGCTATTCTGAATTCATATTCGACTTTCGAATGAATAATGAAGTACTCGATAGTCCAACTGAAATATTGTCCAAAAGTTTTGTAATATCTATTTGCATCTGATGCTTGGCCGAAGTGAACTTAAGATTTCTGTCACTATTAATCAGTTCATGGGTATATTAAATCAGCTAATCCATTCGCCACAACGCAAATCAATGAGACAATGGGCCGAGATGGGAAGCACCATTCATGGATCGTTTCTGAGCGATCAGCTCTTCCCTTGCCCAGCCTTCTGTTGTCCTTCATAGAGTCCGGTATAATAGCCGGCAAAGTACCAAGACATCATCAGGCGTTTCAAATTTTCATCTTGAACTAGAAACTCGGTTAGTATATTGATTCATGGAGTAAAAATCCAATACGATACTAACCATTAGCCATGACCGCTTCTGGCATTGGCATAGTAGGACCAGCTGGAGGTGCCGGGTTTTGAGCCGAAGATGAGGTTAGCTCGGCATAAGCAGGCTTCTGAGGACCAATTGATTGATCCTGGCTATCCTGTAGGGACAAAATTCAGCAACCGCAAATATAGACCAAGCATCGCAGATCAACACATACCTGGGGCTCATATTCGGCTTCGGCTTCGAGGGTCAGTCCTGCACCCTCCGTTCCCTCCATAGTTTCGTCTTCGTTCATGTCGACATCCTTGGTAATACCAGCATCCTCAGCCTCTCTTAGGACATCATCCACGTTCTCCCCTTTGGCGTGAATGCTGTGATAGAGCTGTCCTCCCGGTCAGATAAAGATCACGTGAGTTAGAGAGCAAAACACACCTGGTACTCTTCAACGGCCTCATCCCAAGACCGTACAAGGGCAGAATCATCCCATATCTCCTCATGGCTCAATGAATCATTTTTAAACTTCCCCATGGCCGATTCCCTGAAAATTAGAGCATCGCAAAGGGAAGAGAGAGCTTGGGACGCTGCAGGGCGATGCGAATGCGACGGCTGTGGGGGCTGACCGCCTTGGCGCAAATCAGCGAAAAAAAAAAGTTCGGCCAGACGCCGCTTGTTTCCAGCCTTCAATTCTCATCACATCTCTCCAAAAATGGCCCCCGATAAGAAGGATAAGAAGCGCAAGGGTATGTCTGATGCTTCAATTAATACCGTTTTCTTTTTTGTTCCCCCCCCTAACGTGTCAAACAGCCCCCGCCGTCAGCGAGCCGCCTACCAAAAAGACCAAGAAGGTCGAGGCCAAACCCGCCGAGGCTTCCAAGGATGATACTCCCAAGTCGATTCTGAAGAAGAACGAGAAGAAGGCTGCCGATAAGACTAAGAAGACCACCGTCGACGCCGCCCCGAAGACCAATGGCCAATCTGTTCGTCAGGCCAAGCCTCGCAAGCGCGCTGCTGATTTCCTGAGCGACAACGAGGAGACTGCTCCCGCCCCCGCTGAGAAGAAGTCCGCCGGTAACAAGAAGTCCAAGAAGGAGGAACCCGTATCTGCTGCCGCCAAGAAGGGCACTCCCAAGGCCAAGAAGGTCGAGGCAGTGGTTGAAGAGTCTGACGAGTCCGACGATGAGGATTTCTCTATCGATCCTGCCGCCTCCGACGACAGCGAGGAGGAAGAGGAGGACATTGAGGAGGAGGAAGAGGAGGATGACGAGGCCGAGGATGACCAGACTGCTGCCCTTATCAAGGGCTTCGAGAGCAGTGGTGACGAGGACGAGTCTGGAGATGAGGGCTTCGAGTCCGGCAAGCCGGTCCCCAAGATCCCAGACTCCAAAAAGGTCAAGCAAAAGCTCTTGAAGAAGCAGAAGAAGAACGCCGGCACCAACGAGGAGCCTGGTACCGTCTACATTGGGTAAGCCATCATTCTGCATCTACATCTACGAATGACCACTAACATCCTCGTCTTCTAGTCGCATTCCCCACGGTTTCTACGAGCACGAAATGCGCGCCTACTTCACCCAATTCGGCGAGATCACCCGTCTCCGTCTCTCTCGCAACCGTATCACCGGTCGCTCCAAGCACTACGCCTTCGTTGAGTTCAGCTCTGTCACTGTCGCCAAGATCGTCGCCGAGACCATGGACAACTACCTCATGTACGGCCACATCCTGAAGTGCAAGTTCGTTCCTGCCGAGTCCCTCCACCCCGAGATCTGGAAGGGCGCCAACCGCCGCTTCAAGAAGACCCCCTGGAACCGCATTGAGAAGAAGCGTCTCGAACGTGGCAAGACCCGTGACCAGTGGACCGACCGCATTGCCAAGGAGCAGAAGAAGCGTCTTTCCAAGGCCAAGAAGCTCAAGGAGCTTGGTTACGAGTTCAATCTGCCCCAGCTCAAGGCTGTGGAGGATGTTCCTATTCAGGAGCCTAAGGCTATCGAGGCTGCTGAGACCACCGAGACTCCCGCCGCCGCCGAAGAGCCTGTGAAGGCCGTTGAGCCCGCCCCTGCCGCCAAAGAAGATACCCCCAAGAAGGCTAAGAAGGGCAAGAAGGTGGAGCAAGAGGCTAAGGAGGCTGTGACGGAATCGCCTGCTGCTGAGCCCAAGAAGAAGGCCAAGAAGGCTGGCAAGACTAAGACCAAGGCGTAATCGGTGTACAAAAATGTTTTTTCTCATGTATCTCTTTTCAATAACCTGTTCATGCATCGTTAGGGTCAATGATCATCAATATATTTATCTGGAATTCGACTATTTTTAGATCAAGACTTTCTATCTGCCGTCCGTACTTATTCCACTAAAAAATAGTTACTACTAGTAGTGAGCTTGAAGGATCCAACAGAAGTTTTGTCTATCCGTGGAGCGTGCATAATATGAAGGAAAGAGGGATTGTGGGCCACTGGACCCTGGCTCGAAATTCGTATTGCAAAGAGACTCAGTAGTTCGGTTTCAGAAACCAAGCATGCAATAAATAGTTTTGAAGGGTTAAGCGCTGAACCCAACCGCCGAGCGGGGATACCCCAGCAGCCCTCATGCAGGATGGGAAGGAAAGCCGCCCAGTAGAATAAGTGGCACCTAGGCAGTTTCACCTGAGTATTTTTTTTATGACTTGGTGTCAACAAAGTCATGGAGGTATCAGGCCTAAACAGCCTTGCAATGGTGATAAGGCTGGGAGCGGATGTAAATTCCCCTTCTTCCTGGGGGTCATGGCATGACAAGACCTCAACGTTCCTTTGCATTTTGCTGTTAGAATAATCAACTCCCAAATGGTCAAAGTTTTGTTGAATGCAGGAGCAACATGTGGCACGAATACGCCGTGGGGCTGGTCGCTATTACCAAGAGATCGCCGAGTGGCTGCAGCATATCGAGGCGCTAGAAAGAGATAGATGATACCAGTTCAATGCATTTTTATTGATATCGCCATCACTAGCAACCAAAAATCGCAAGATAAGGGTCGAGATTAAGAAGCTTATGTCTTACTTCAACTAACACTGTTCCACTACTGACATAGTACCTTGCCCGGAGTTCTTTGGGGCATTCAAGTTGGTTTGCGAGATTTTAGTTATCCGGTTTGTACTAGATCTGTATATACTGCTATGATAAATGGTTTGTCTCTGGCCACATGTATTGACTTTTATTTTTGACAAGATATCACAACGAACGGTTTCTGACTAGCTTATCGAACTATAACACCCAGGCATTATTTTTCCATATAATAAGCTAAATCCTCACCTCTAGCGTCCCTAAGAGTCAGCCCATTACCCATAAACCGGAAACGGTTTCGACTATTGTAAGAGATGTCGAAATCTTCGGTCCGGAAACTGTCAAGGATTTCCTTGTAGTGTGGAACACTTCCAGCATACATTGCTGTGACCTTCCCATCCACCTTGTTGTTTTTGAACCACGAACGGCAGCCACCTGTCCAGACAGTCCTCTTGTGGAACTCCTGCGAGTAAACATTGTAGTCGTTCATTGCTGCTTCATTGATAACTATGGACCTTTTTTTTAAAATAAAAATAAAAATTAGATATTTGCAAAGATAAAACGTCAGATAATCTGGGGTCTATACTCACCTGATGTCTTCGGTTGCAATCTTCTCGCACCATCTCAGAACCCAATCAGCCGTAAAGTTTATAGCTGATAACAAACTCCCATGAGCCACTGGACAGTTAGGTCCATTGAAGATGAAGAAGTTCGGCATGTTCTTGGTGCACAGGCCAAAGTAGGCCTCTGGTGTATCTTGCCACTGATCCCTGAGATTTATTCCATGGTTTCCAACCATATCCCAAGGAGGAGTAAAGCTGACATCAAATCCCGTAGCACAAACAATGATATCGAACTCTTTCTCGGACCCTCCACTAACAATGCCTCTTTCTGTGACTCTCTCGATCGGGTTGTATTCGATACTAACGTTAGGTTCTTGCAGAGCCTCGAGGTACCCATCTCCGGGCGAAAGGCGCCGACAACCAACCTTGAAATCAGGAATAAGATTGGCGCAAAGTTCAGGATTGTTCTTGAGACGTTCTTGCATTTGTTTCCGGGTATATTCACCGATAGCGGCCTGCTCGGGACTGTCTGCCAGCAGGGTGTAGAAGAACTTGTTGAATTCATGCTCAATGTTCTTTCTGAGTTTGAACAACTCATCTGGATTTTCACGGAATTTTCTCTTTTGTTCTTCCGAGTAACTGAAGTTCTTCCCTTCTGGGGTGAACTGTGCTGCAAAGTTCGGCGTGATCCAGGTAGGCGAGCGTATGTAAGTGAAAATACTGCGGCTCTTGGGCTGCATCTCAGGTAACATCTGAATTGCAGAAGACCCGTTGCCAATAATAGCCACATTCTTGCCCTCCCAATTCAGGGATTGGTTCCAGTTGGCACTATGAACAAGCGTGCCAGTGAATGAATGCAGTCTTTCTAGTTCTGGCCAGCGCCACTGATTCAAGATACCAGAGCCATTGATTAGGACATCCGCTTCTGATTCAGTGACACTACCCCCCTTGTCCACTTTGATTTTCCAGGTTGCAGTCAAGTCGTTCCAGTAGGTCGAAACGACTTTGGAGTTGAAAGATACCCTCTCATCAAGGTGGTGCTTCTTCGTGGTCTGTTTGATGTACTTCCAAATTTCTGCCCCGGATGCATAGAAAGACGACCAGTCGGGGTTTGGTTCGAACGGAAATGTGTAGATATGGGCTGGGACCTGGTTGGACTCGGTTAGATTCATACTATGTTACGAGTTTCGAGGGACAACTGTACATCACAGCCAACACCGGGATACCGATTCTCATACCAAGTGCCCCCCACTTCAGGGTTCTTTTCATAGATTGTCAAGTTGATAAATTCATTCAACTTGTGGTGTTTCCATTTGTATGCCAGCATAAGCCCAGAGAACCCTGCTCCGACACACACGACTTTGATCTTGCGGGGGCTGAAGACAGGTGCTTCGCGAACAGGCACCCAATTCGGAGAAACAGAACTATTAGTGACATTGTTCACAGAGGTAGCAGTCGATTTGCCACCAGATAAATTGGTTTCGATCACCATCTTGAATGTGAAGTAAAAGTCGAAATATAGAGAGTTGTTTGAGTTATACTGTCCTTTTTTCCCTTCACACGATACAATGGCCTCCAGGGAACCAAAACGCCCATTTATAGCCAGTTACTTACGATCCTATATGGCTTTCGGAATATGTCGATAGTTGACGATTGGAAACTCCTAGTTCTTCGGGGTCGGATAACTTTCGGGTAGCCTCCACATCCCCATAACTCCGCAATGTTGCCCCAACAAGTTGTCCCGCAATCCCCGGATTGTAATTGAACCAATCTTCTGAGAGTAATGGTTAATCGGAAACAAGCTCGTCTAGGTAAAGAGCAATTTACTTGCACTTAACTATATTGATACTTAGACCATAACCCACAAAAAAGTCAATATCGCCACTATTCAAGAGTTTCTAATTTCAGTATAGGATAACCAAAATTGTCTACAATATCTGTCGCTGTACACTTTATTGATTATATCTGTACTTGTTTCGCCCTCCAGGGCTCTTAGCGATTGATTGGATCTACACATGCGGAAAGTGAACAACGAATTTGCAGACTTCGAGAGCCCCTGGCCAAATTAAATATCACGTGAAATCTGTAGTTCCGTACGGTATAAAAACGTCATCGATCTTAAAAGGTCAAAAGGTTTACAAACTAAATGTTGTAATACACATACTACACGCCATCTGTGAAATGCAAATAGAACATGCGGGGGCAGTTGATTGGGTTATCGGAGACCCATCGGAAAACATCCCATAGGATCCGTCATCGGATAGCTGCCAAACTTTGTCATCGGAATATGACGTGTACGCCCACTCTGGAGCACCTTATACTTCTGCACCATAGGGGGAGAGCGATACTGAATTCCGAACCGAGGAGTCTATCGTAACCACATTGCAATAATGAGTGCCTCCGCATAGAAATCGGCATTTGGTATCTTATCGGGAAGGAGTCACATAAATATGACAATACTATTCCATGATCTCGTTTAACAAGTGCTCTCAAGCCACGCAACAAATAACGAATCGCTGGGAACGAACCTTCGTTTAATAGTACAAATTGATTATGGCTGTATACTCTGAATCCTGGTTACAAGTAAGTTCTGCTTCGCATCAGGTTAGGTTTATCTAATATTCCTATCCAGCTTGAAACCGCATCCGGTGGAAGAGTCGCGTTATCAGGAAATGCATCGGAGATGCGACAGCAATTTGCAGGGCTTTTTGCGGATCTCTCTCCGAATTACCCACCTGCTACAGACGTATTATCGATTATAGAGGGAGCCCATGAGTCTATCAAATACCGAGTGTATATTCCAAAGAACACTACCCCCGACAAGCTTCTCCCTATTGGTATATACACACACGGTGGTGGCTTTTTATTGGGGGATCTGGAAACGGAGGATTTCATTTGCCGGGAACTTGTCGAACAGACCAATACGATCATCGTTAGTGTTGATTATCGTTTATCGCCCAATCACCATTATCCGGCTCAGTTGAGCGACACTATCAAAATCCTTGAATGGGTGCGTGCCATTAAATCTATCCTTTTCCTGATGATAATTTAGTAACCAGTATCCACAGGCGAATTCCAACGCTAGGTCATTTGGCGGGGATGCAGACCAGTTCTTTACTATAGGAACTTCTGCTGGTGCCTCACTGGCCCTCATAAGCGCACGAGAAATTGTCTCGGGCAGAACCTCAGTGAATCCTGAATGCTTGAGGGGGGTAGTGGCAATAAGTCCTTTCACTGCCCACCCAGACTATATTCCTCAGGAGTATCGATCGGATTATACCTCTTATGATGAGCTCGGAGACACGGCACCTGTTATTAGCCGCGCAGTCATGTCCAAGCTCTTTCGGTATGCTAATATGGATCCGCGAGACCCCGGGCCATTTCTCTTACTAGATAAAAGTAATCTCCACCGGTTTCCGCCTGTCTATATAGCTACAGCCAGCTGTGATCCTCTTCGTGATGATGGTCAAGTCTTTGCATCTGCACTTAGAGAAGCAGGTGTGACTGTTCGTGAGCGCATTTACCAAGGATTGCCTCATTGCCTATGGTTTTTCAGTACCCTTCCTGAGTGGGCTGAATTCATCCACGACACTGTTGCCGCAATCCAGTTCATTGTTGGAACGTCAAAGGCAACCAAATGAATGACAGACCCAAATTCGTTATGCAAGCAAGCCCCTTGGATTAAATAAAATTATCCAAAAATTTGTAGTTACGTGGGTCCTCGACTCGGTTATTTGTAGCGCATCCGAATGCTATATAAGGTTAATGCGGGGAAGTCCCGGGCTAACTTACTGGCTCCCCCCGTTCCTATGATTCCAACCGCTCGCCACCTGAATTTGTGCCAGGCAATGATACTACGAAAGATTCTACTCCTACGGCCTTATGAATAGCACAGAAAATAATAGACTTCCCCGATGCGGGCGAAGACAGGCCTGCGAAAATTGCAGACGGCGCAAAGAGCGATGCGATGGGCAACGACCCTGCAGTCGGTGTTATGAGCGTGGCGTCGACATGGAATGTGCCCAACGAAATCGCTCCCGTAGTCCTCTATTGCACCAGCATGTCCTGACGTTATCTCCACCTCCACGCCATGATCGGAGGAGCTCTGAATGGCCTGGGCCTTGTGGCGACTCAAACGACAGTGCCCCTGCCGGCGAATCAATACCCTCGCCAACGATCTTGGGGCCAACAGTTGGGGGAAGCTCTTCATTCATTCGCGATCGCTATGGCGAGTACATTCACGTTGGGCAATCCTCTAATTTGTGGTTTGTGCAAGCTCTCCGGGATTCAATACGGGGTGCCTTGGCGTCATGTTCCTTTGCGAATGACCCCAGCGAATGTGATTTGGTTGATGATGACCCATACCAACCTGTGGATTGGATAAGGGACAACGTAATTCCTCAGCCACCCAGTGAAGAAGACGCTCGGTATTGTATTCGATGGTATGCAACTGCCACAAATTGCGTCTTCGATCTTTATTCTCGTGAGAAACTTATCGAAGATATCATCCCGTGGCTTTCAGCTCCGAACTCCTCCGACAGCAGAAGCTGCATAAACTATCTCGTCCTCGCTATTGGAGCACAGTGTGGTCCTCAGGATCTGGAGGAAAAATCTAATTCCTATTTTACACATGGCCGGCATCTGGCGATGTCGTATTTCTTTGAGACACCCAGCATTACCACCGTGCAGATATACTCTTTACTCGCCATGTATCTTCTGAACTCGTCTCGCCGAAATGCTGCCAGTATGCATCTCGGTGTTGCCGTTCGCACTGCCTATGCACTAGGCATTCACCGATCTGATATTGCTGCCCGATTCTCCGCAGAAGAGGAATCTTTTCGAGAGCGAGTATGGAGAGTTCTGCGGGTACTCGATCTGTTTTTAAGCACTACTTTAGGTCACGGTCCTTCCACCTCCGAGACTCGAGATACCGGATCGCAAAGAGGGTATTCGGCATCGAATGACCTTTGCTACATCTTTGAAAGGATTCTTTGTGAGGTCTATGACAAGCAAGAGCTACCATCTAGCGCCTTACAACGCGTGAGCAAGCATCATCGAGAGTGGGCAACTCGATTCCACAACGGCCTTCACGTCGATCATATTTCTGCTGATGAATACATTGACGCTGAATCTGGCCAAAAAGCGCCCAATATCGGCCTTTATCATCTCAAAGCGGCATACTACTGGACAGTTATGCTTGTCTCGCTGCCATACATGTTGGAACTGATCAAGAGTCGCATCTCCATATTCAATAAACCATTTTCACCAACTTCCGCGAACCTGTGGTTCGAGGCATTGCCTCAACATGACACAATGCTAGCGCGCGCCGCGGTAAATTCCGCCGTCTTGACAATCGATCTCCTGAGGGGCTTATTACATGCGAAGGAAATTCCTAAGAGACTTCCTTACATTGTCAACGAGATCTTCACCTCATCATTACTGCTTGGAGCAAGCTTTTTTGCAGATCTGGATTTTGTGTTTCCTGTGAAGGAGGCACTTCTCACAGCTGAAAAATTACTGAATCGCTTTGTGCAACATGACTCACTGGCAAGGCGAGAACTTTCTATCGTTCAGAGTCTTCACAGTGCATGCAATGATTTTGTGAAGCAGCGACAGGACCGCTGGTTGGAGCACCAAAGAATCCTGGTTCAAGGATTGTTTGGTGATATCAAGACTTGCAAGCAGAATCGTCGAACCTCTGAATCTTCGCGTTCTCCAGTGCACACTCTTTATTTACGGGAAACGGGTCTGGGCACGCGACATGTACATGACAACTTTGTGGACTCGGAACCGATACAACCTCCGGCGGACTCTCAATATGAAATAAATTCCATGTGGGATGATCTATTTGGAGACGATGCCCCGGCTCAGATTTATGGATTGGAAACACAACAAGCCGAGACAGGAGATCAGCCAATGGAGCTTTCGTCACTGCTTCCATTTAATTCTCCCGATGTCTCCGAAGGTCTGTCGTCGGGGGCTGTCCTGTGATCTCACTACCATATTTTCAATACTTCAGCTCAATACCCTATACTCGATTGCATGTTTTGACAAGCTAGGTTTGTTGGACATGTTGAGTATTGTAGTAGGGATTTCGCGTGCAGCCTAATGCTGCAAGGACATTCTGGCCTCTCCTGTATAAAAGGAACACACAGAAGACAACTATTCTACTCGCTTCTAATCCGACGTCAGTTTCTTCATTCGCATTTCAAGGTTATTGGTCACCATCGGCGGCATACTGAGATGCCTTAAGCCTAGGGCTGGAGAGTGGGTCAGCCCGGGTCAAAAAATTCGGCCGTCAACGATCATCATATTCTATGAGATCTCAGCAGAGATCAAGATACAACGTAGCGATCAAGGAAAGGAAGTAGTAGCGGTTCGACGAAAGTAATAGCTTGTTGCTTGAGGAGAGACAGGAAGAAGAAGAGACGAAAGCTAGATACAGCTGTAGGCAGTGGAAGCCTAAGTACAGTGGTGTTGCAAAAGTTTGAAACCCTCTTGTTCATCGCCCTGTTTTGCCTGTAGATGACATCCATGTAAGGTATCAACAATGGTAACGACCTAGCTGGCGAAAAAGAAGAGAGGGAAGCATGTCGCGATTGCTGTATATAAATGGTAGGCGGTGTGATGGGCCGCGTGATATCAAAACGTGACCCAGGCAACCCTGGACATCCACTTTGTTACACTTCGAGAGCAAAGGTGAATGCAATCGATCTCCACCCACTTGCTGAGAGCAAGAAAAAAGTTGGACTCGCCGGGAATCGAACCCGGGACCTCTCGCATGCGAAGCGAGCATTATACCCCTAAACCACAAGCCCGTGCGTGATGTTGGAATTGGCTTTTTGATCTCACGAGACTGAGGCAGTTGAACCAAAGCACTGTGTGCCCAATCATGTGACATGACCCAAGCTAACCCAAGTAGTCCTAGCGATCACATGACAGCTAGCACATAAGAAAAAAAATATGGCCGAACCCACCAAAGCTTCTCCTTCCTCCCAACTCCTCGCTCAAAGGATCGCATTCAAAGCTCACACACAAAAAAGGAAGATGCTCTCTTCTTTTTTTACACAAAAACTCGCTTTGGGGAAAGTCCCGGACAACCTGCACTTTGATTTTCGGATCGGAGTTAGTCCAAGCCAGGCATTGCGGAAACGCGCCGCCATAGAAGCAATTCGATAGCGGCTTATTGCCCTATCCCATCCCGACTGCGTCCATCGTCCGACAGTTCTCTTCTTCGTGAGGGGGTACTGGTTATAATGGGGTGGTGGGCTCGTGTCGGAGGGGGGGAAGGGGGATTTCGATCTCTCTTGTATCGGGTTGCCTTTCGTCGTGGTTCGATAGTCATGCGATTGCCCCTTGTTCTTCACTTCGATGTGACGGGGGTAACTCAATGGGGCTCATTCTTGAGGCGAGGAGTTCTGACACCTTTTAAGTCTGTAGCTTATGGCAAAGCGGTGCTGAGATTGATGTTGGTCTCGGTGCAGAAACCCTGTCGAAGGGGTCGGACTTTTTTCAACACTCCGTTGTCTTCTTACTCTCTTTTGAAGAGTCTTCGCCATGAGCTTTTGTTCTTGTTCGCGGGATGATATACCAATCATAGAGTCAAGCCCCGAGATCCCCAAGAGGGATCCTTGACGAGAAACGATTTAAAAATATCTGATGAACATTTACAACTCACTTCTTGTGAAGAGACATTTGAGCTGTCTGGAGTTTATATAGTATCTATTATTATACCAATTGAATTTTTCATTATGCCTAAATCAAATGATTCTTAAATGCAATAGCTATGCAATACTCATAACAACGTAGGATTTGAGAAAATGATTCCCCGACTCGGAGTCCATTCCCAATATAAGTACACCATACACCCATACATAGAAATCATAACCCGCAGGTACTTACTTACTGCACCTTTTCCGCCGTCTTTAATCCAGTTCCTCCGCCTTCAAGTTTGTTTCAGCCCCAGCACCAGCAGCCTCCTGCTTCTGTTGCTTTTGCTGCTTCGGCGCCAGAGCCTGCGCAATCACAGCCCCAAGAATCTCACCCACAACCGCAATCGTGCTGGCGCACACATTACTCCAAACCTGAATACTAACGTGACCGATCGGAGCGCGCGGAAACGAGAGCACCCATTCAACATAGTAAGGGAACCAGTCCGGTGGCAGGGCGAAGACGGGGGTCTTGGAGTACCAGAATTGGAGAAAGATCTTGAGACCGGTTGTGCTGAGCCAGCGGGCAATTTTGACGGCCCAGTCGAAGGAGGATTTTTGGGATGAGACTGCTTTGTCTGTTGGAGAGTGATGTTAGCTTTTGAGATATTTCTCTTCCATTTTTATTTCCTCTCTCGCCTGTGCGATTGCTTGATTTGATTCTCCCGGGTATTGGGGTTAGGATTGAATAGAATAGAGAACACGTACTCATCGCTTCGTACTCCTCCATGCTCTTATCATGTCTTCTCCGGAGCTTGGCCCACTTCGCGAACTCGTCCTGTGAGCTGGTATTGTTCATCTCGCGCTTGAGCTGGACAGCCTCTTGCTTCTTGCGCTGCTGCTCACGGGCCTTTCTCGAGGTCGAGGTTGGGAGTTTGAGGTAGAGGTGCCATAGCTATGCGAAGGGTGTTAGTTAGCCTGGAGAAGCTTTCGGGGCGGCGGTACGACGGGAAGAGTGAACGTTGATGAGTAGAGAGGATTTAAACTCTCCTACTCTCGTTCCATGTAGACGTACCAAGCTGTCGATTGTGGTCGCGCCGATCGTGTTGACCAGGTAGATTGCGACGTGCACGAAGAGCACCGTAAAGATGAGCGACAGCATGGCGGCGTTGGTTGCGGGGACAGCGGACCGGGATGCAAAGTCGATGGGAGTGGCTAGAGAAGCCGGAAGCGAGAGCGCGGTGTCGCAGAGGGCGTTGGTGTTGTGTGGTGGGAGGTCGCAAGTAGGTTGATGGGTTCGGCGAGGGGTTAATGATGGACAGTTGACACTCCGCCGCGGCCGTAATGGGCTTTCCGCCTTGGATGGTTCCAGACATCACCACATCACATCACATCGCATCTTCCTCCTTCCACCACCACTTTCTCGCCTTTCTCTTTCTTGTTCACTTCGACTTGGATACACTACAAAGAGAGAAGATCATGAACCATAACAATATCTACCATTACATAACTCCCCAATGACGACTCCCGAGGACGCATTCCATGTACTCGCCGACCTTTTCACTTCAAGAGGCAATGACGTCCTAGATATCGACACTACCCTCTCAACTCTAGAAGCGCCATTCATAAAACATGGCACCTCGATCGGAGTCACCAAGAAATGCCTGGTGCAGGCCTTTACAGTCTCCCGACAGCTCTTTATCAAGCATTTAATGCCCATGACCTCGACCGACTTCGAGGCGGAGGTTTCCAATTCGAACCAGAGCACCGAATTGAAGGTGCCAAAGCAAATAATCACGGAGATCATGTTATTATTTGATTCTGAACATCTCACCGCGTGCAACTGGCGCAAGAAATGGCTGCTGGCAGCTATTTCGCGCGACAATGAGACCAGCCAAGCCACCTCTTCATCGGAAAAGATCTTGGAGACAGAGCTCACGCTCATGCAAACATATCAAGGCTCGCCATTAAGTCGACATACCAAATCTCCCACCCTTTGGTCTCACCGTTTATGGGTACTAGATGTCTTGACTAGGCTGCGCAGGCCTACGGTATCGACTCTATTAAAGCGCGAACGGGCAGAACTCGATATTGTGCTTCGTGCCGGGGTGTTACATCCGAAGAACTTTTATGCCTTTACATATATGCGGAGGCTGCATTCTTATATTACAGATATCAGCAAAGACCAGGGCGACGCAGATGCGGATGCCGACCAGATGGAACGCGCCGCGGCGAGTTTGGTGGACCCGACGCTGACATGGTGTCTGTCTCACCCGCGGGATATATCCGGCTGGATGTTCGCAATGTACTTGCTCAGCAGAGTGCAGATGCAGATCTTCGTTCCGGCACGGTGAGACGGGTTCTTCGATTCGCGCTGAAAATTGGGTGGGAAGGGGAGAGTCTGTGGACGTTTATTGATCAGGCGACTCGACAATTCGGTCTGGAGTCTGTGATTAGTGAGACTTTCTCCGATGGGACAAGGCCCTCGCGGTCTTTGGCAAAATGGCCATGGCGCAACCGACTCTCACAAGCACAAGCATACTGGGCGGCGGCAGCAGCAGCAGCATCTGGCGCAAGAGATGATCAACACTGATCGACATCCTCCACTCGATAGATTTTGGAAATGTCAAAAATATCTAGATATATAAGAAAGAAAGAAAAAGAAAACCCAATCTATTTCACAATATTCGTGACTCGTATGAACAGTATATTCGCTATGTTTCTGGGGTAAAAAGTATGGTGTATGCTGGTATGTAAAACGCCGTTGCTAACTCCTCGCTAGTCGCAGGCATGAAGCCAAAGAAGGGTGCCAATGGATATGAACACCATTACGCTCGTCGCCGTTCCAATCCTGCGCATTCGGCGTGAGCGAACTGTTCAATGCAATGCGCTTGATTATGTGTTCGGCCCCAGTCTTCCAAAACTGGGGCGTGGCGGACCGCGGAATTGGAGGGTAGGCGACGACAAGCGTAGAGGGAGGGAGAGGAGGGAGTTAGGACAGGTTATTTCTTTTTCCCACCAGCTGCTGCTTCAGCTGCTCTTTTCTCGTCGGCTGGATGAGTAGAAACCAGGTTAGATTCTATTTCCATTTCTTTGTTGAGGCTCGGCCTGAAGTTGGGAGGACTCACCCTTCTTCTGCTTCTCGCGCATGATGGTCGCGGCGTCCTCCTTGGTCTTCTGGTACTCAGTTCCACTCATGGTGTTCTTTCCTTTCTGGGAGGAGTCAGCGAGGGGCAATAGGAAGTATAGATATTGATTGCATCGGGGGAAGACGAACCGCGGCGTTGGCCTTCTTTTGGGCCTTGGCCCGATCGGTATCGCGCTGATTACCCCGCGTCATGGTGGATTCCAAAAAGGATTGTGGATGGAGAGGAGGGGCGTGTTAGTGGAGGAGGGGGGACTGGAGATTGGAGATCGGAGGCAGGTGGAGGAGAAAGGGAGAAAAAAAGAAAACGAGGAGGGGCGGGGGCGGCGTTTATCGTGAGATTTTGGAGGGGCGAATCATCTTTCGACATTACTCAGAGAGTTAGGGTCAAGGTCAACTTGCGCCATGGCCGAAGCCCAATGATCATGTTAATTACGGAGTACCCTAGGGTGATTTAATAATTATTTGAATTTCTTTGGGTTGTGGTTTTAATTGCCGAAATGAAGGAGCTAGTTACTCTGCAGCACGAACTCCTGGCGCTTGGGCTGTTGGTCTGATTGGGCGCGTAGAGCCGCACAGTTTCGACTGGATCGATTGGATCCTGCAGGGAAATGCTATTCCCTGTAATCAGAAATTGGGAGAATAGCATCAGAGGTGTTTTGTTTGAGTGATGGCTGACTATGGGCTGAAGATGCTTGTTTGGGAACACGAGCTGCCTGACTTAGGGCTGCGATAATCACCAGAGAACTACAGTATAACCCCAACACCCAATATCCCCAATATCCCCATATCCCATACCCAGGGCACTCGCAGTTTCACCTTGCAGACCATCGGAAACTCTCCGCCAATCCTTCCTTCCGATCGGATTTGAGATCTGACAGCCCTGCCCTAACTCCTCCCCGATGAAACAAACAAACCCGCCTAACAAGGCAAATCCTTTCACTTCCGAAAATAACCCCCGGGACTTGCCTCAATTGTTTCAGGTTCTATTTTCAGGCTCCATTGTCGCCTGCACTAGAAACGAGACAATAGCCGCCCTGAATGCCTCCATGGCGCCGACGGGAGTGAATGGGGTGAATGGCATGGTGGAGGAACACTAGATATTCCCCTTCGCCAGCTCCATTTCTTCTTCTTCTCTCCTTCTTCCCCTCCTGTCTCATTCGTTTCCAAATTGCTCGAGTTGATCTCGTCTTTCTTTTTGTCTCTTTCTCCTTTATGGGACAACAAGCTTCCGGCTGGCCAGTTGCTTCCCATAAAAGTCTTCCTCCCAACTTGAACCCCGCGGGCAAGTCTCGCTCACGTTATACATCTTTGAGTTTGGGTTCTTGGAATCATTTTCATTTCAAGTCCCTTTTTATCCCGTGCAGTTTTATTTACCGGCTCCGCTGTTATGATGGCGAAACTCAAGGAATCCCTGGCTGGCCCAGGGTACGTGATTCTGAACACCATCCGCGCCCTCAACATCATTGTCTTCCTCGATATCATCGCCTCCTGCGTGGTGATGGAGGTCAAAATCGATATGCGGAATGGATTCTTCTTCTTCCAAGCCGTTACCCATGCTGTCATGGCTTTGATTAGCAGTGAGTATCCATTCATCCCACCATGTCCTGCGAACTGATTTACTGACAACATCATCCATTAGTCGTTTTGATCATCACTGAGCTCCCGATCCTTCGGGACTACTTTAATCGCAACTGGCCACTCTTCGGAGACGAAGCAGGCTTCCTCGGTCTAGCATTAGCCATGATGATCCTCGGAGTCGCTGTGCTAGGGAATCTGAACACCGAAGCAATGAGCCAAAAGTCTATCGGCCTCGCATTCTGGCGCATCGTCATCTCAGCGGGAATCCTGGCCATGGTCATGAGCGTGATGAACATCCTGGCGGTAATTATTTCGCCCATCCCAACACTACTCTAGTCCAATCCAATCCAGCCTCGTCACAAATCCTAACTCCCTCCCCCAGACCTTCATCTTCAGCCACCGCAAACCCCACGTCAGCGCCCGCCAAGTCCGAATCTACGGCGCCGGCGCCAAAGACCAAGTAATAAGCCGAACAAGCAGCCAACGATCGCTACAACTAGGAATCAAGCGCGAAGAATACCCACATCCACCAACCTACACTCCTCCCGAACCAGCGCGCGAGAATGCCTTGAAGCGAGCAACAAAGCGATTCACTGGTCGATTCCCGATTAAGATCTCCGGTCCCATGATGCGGAGCAATGATGCTGCGGACAATGCGCATCTCCAACCGCCGCTGAATAACGATGATGCGGCTTCATCGCATTATTCGCGAAATTCGGAGGGTGTGCCGTTTCCTGAGGAGGCGTATCATCCTTCTATGCGGCAGACTCATGCGGTCAATATGGTTTAGATGAGATGGGATGGGATGAGGGTGGGATTAGTTTAGCTACAGAGTATCTGTTTGTGGCTTTTGTGGGCTATCCCGGATGGTTTGATGATATGATTGTTTTCTGGGAGCGTTTGTTCGGCGTTTATTATGGGGCACGGTTGGAGTTGGAGTTGGAGTTGGGTGTGGTGCATCCTATTGCTTGATTTGATTTAATTGATTGCAGACATTCCTTTACACTCTCTACTTAAAATTTCCATTGTCTCATTCGTCATTGTTTCTTTTCCATAGTATCTAAAGTTATGCCTATCGATTTTTCCACTGGCATCTAGACTGATTTTAATTCCACCACTTTACCTATCAGTACTCTGAATGTCACTCAGCGATATTCCTCATCAATTTGAATAAGTGCGCCCATTCCATCCCGCTCCAACGCCTCGGTGTCGACGATCATAGTAGCCAGTAGAACCGCTTCCTCGGTCTTGCTTGCATTGTCGCTGATTCGATGATGACAACCAGGAGCCTCATACCAGGTACCGCCAGACTGGATAACCTTCATCGGATCGTCGTTCATTTTGTTCAACAGTGCGCCCGATATGACGAATGCCGATACGGCACAGCCACCATGTCTGTGAGGAGGAGTTGATCCATTCGGAGGGAAGACCACGCGTAGGGCACAGACGGTCTTTCCGGTGATACCGGCGACATTCAGTTTGTACTGAGAGACGATTTCAATGGCCGGTCTCGGGCGGCTGGAGCGTTCGTTAGTTCATGGTGAGGTTCTTTCGTACTGGTAGTTGATTATTTGGATGCTGGTATCATGGTGGTACATACGTCGAATCATAGGTCGGTTCTTGCATGATGTCAAGGGTTTTATTTGAGGGTTCAGGACTGAAGATTGGGTCTGAACTTGAAACTGTAGTCCGGGATTGATTTTCTGAGTGCCCAATACCTAGGTATGGACTGGGGCGCGACTCTTATAGGGAAATGCCCAGGTGCATATCAACCGGACTCGGAATTGCCAGCTGGCCCAAATCCGTTGAACTACGTCACGGTCGCAGTACTAGTAGCGTCGAAGTGCATAAGGCCACTGGTACGACGAACTTCCGAGTAGGCTATTCCAAGGATTCAATTCTCCACTAAACGCTGCTTCAATGGCTGTGGTGCATTCTTGGGGCGGAGAAAGAATGTTGGCATGTTGGGGTCGACTGATTAAGGTTGGATAGGCTATCCGAATTCCGAGGCGGCCCCTCGCCACTGGGCAATCACATCGCTTGCCTTTAGGTAAAAATAACCTTAGAGTTTGTAAGAGATTAATATTCATAGATCTATTCGGAAATCGGAAGGCAGAACCCGAGACTTGGATATGTTGGGAGATTGAAACTATCACATCCGCATTCAAGTTCCAGTAGGCGCGGGTACTAACTATTGACCCTGGTATACGTTGAATATCGCGGAAAATAACTAATATCCGACACCTGGATCCTCTATAGATAGTTGAATCGACATCGGTTGGAAAAACATTTTCTTTACTGTAGATATACAATTTCGCGAATATGAGGAACACTAGTTATTTTGGACGCTGTCGCCCTGACAGAAACACCGGGTCGATTGCGGCTACGGAGCACTCGCCCTCGAACAATTCCTACAGGCGGAAATACCTCTCACTCCAAGGAAGAATCTCGACTATGGTGGCAGCATAGGAGTACTAGTATGTCATGGTAATTGAAGCCTCGTCATTATTGGAATAATGGGCCAACACCTTTGCCGGAAATTATGGCGCCGAAATCCAGGTTACCGGTTTCTCAAAGTTCTTCGCGTCTTGCCGGAATTTGGTAACGAGCTGCAAATAGGTAGATTGATAATCCGGAAATCTATCCTCGTGTCGTAATGCCAGTGTACTTCATACCTCCTCAAATTTCTCCTCCACATTGTTTTCGACGCATTAGAAGGGCCTCAGCTCTACACCAACGACGGGACCGGTATAACTCCCATTAAGCACAGTCACCGGGTAGAGGTTGATCCTGCAGTCGTAAGTTAGCAGTCAAGGTACTCATCCTCACGGCCTTAGACCTTATCGGGCAGTATCACAGCGGGAAGAACATCGACGCTGAAGCCGAAGCAACGCAAGATGGCATATATACCAAGGTCGGCGCCTTTATGAAAACGTGGAAGCAGTTTTTCCGCACCGTCGAGGGTAGGTATGACAGCAGAAAATTCCGAGAAAACCGCCTGTTTTGATTAGCAGGATTCCATTGCAGTACCTTTTCGAGAGGGAAAAGTCTACTACCTTTTTGCATGAATGCACGAGTTTGGTGAATTATCGTTCAACAGTGCCAAGTCTCATATAGGAGTGTAATAAATAATATAAATACCATCTTAGTAATATGATTTAGTATTCGAATGTCAGATAATATTTCAAAAATGCCATATTCCAAAATCGAATGCCTATATACCGTAACAGCCCAGGGACATAAAAATAATCGAGCAATGGTAGTGACATTTAATCTTCAGCATGGAGATGGGAAAAGACAGGACAACAAAGGGAGCCACTTAAATAGTTACTACCAATGGCAAATGCCTATGGCATTGCATCAAACAATGTAATTTCCTAGAAACACAATTGGATGTCAAAGCCGGGCGGGACAAGATAAGAAGCCATCAGGATTCGTGAGAGAAACTTTCAGGTACTTCGGTAGGAATAGTAGCATTAGAGCTAGATTACGATCTCAGTTAAGCAATAAGAAAATCTCAAAACTACTTGATCTCCTCAACCCCCTCCATAGTTATCTTCTCTCTTAGATATTTCCCTCCCTCCATATCGACGCTCATACTGGGTCACCGGTATCGCTAGACATAAGACAATTACTCGGTCTCGGTCAGTTCCTGCATACGGAGCTGTCTCTCATTCCATGCGGGAATCTCAGCGATGATCGTGGCGTAGGAGTACATCAGCCCGGCCTCGGCCTGGTTACCGTAGTTGATATGGGCCATCGCAGCTGCTGGGTGTTGTGGGTCAGAAATCCAGGTTATAGGCTTCTCGTAGCTTTCCTGTCCTCCAAACCATTTCAGGAAAGCTGTGCATAGTTTTGAATCAGTAAGCTGCCATCAAATATCAAGAATGTTCTTCTTACTTCGCGGTAATCTTCCTCTCCGGAATTGAACATTGCGTCAAAAGCCTTCAGCTCGGGGCCAACGAAGATGGCCACATCTTCATCATTGAGCTGAAGGTCTGTCTTGTATCGGCTGGTCTTGGGGTTCCAGCACTGAGGATAGCCCCATTCTTCGTCCCCCTCATGCATGACCACAACAGGTAGAACCTCGACCTTGAAGCCCAATGCATGCAGTACAGCATACAGGCCTAGGTCAGAGCCTTTCAGGTACTGCGGGAGCAGCTTTTCGACACCCTCGTAGGCGTGGGGGTAGCTGTGGGCGCAAAATGCTCCGAGAACGCCGCCTGTACCTGGTTAGCCACAATGGTCGATCTCAACCCCCCTTTGGAATATACTTACCTGTTTTCATGAATCCCGGATTCTGGAGAACATCTTTCAGCAGACCATACATGGGCAAGGATCTAGCATCAAGGACTGGACTTGGGGGCTTTGATGCCTCGACCTTGGCGTAGAGGTTGTAGGTCAGGGTGATGCGGTGACCTTCGCTCACGGTTTTGATCTCATGTTCGCAGTCGCTGTAGAAAGCAGCCCATTGAATGGTGTTTGCGCTGTGTACTTCCCATGCAAAATCCACCTCGCTGCCATTGTGTCGAACCATCAAGTTCCCACCTTTGAATGGGGACGGTAGACAAACCACTAAAGACCCAATCTGATTCTCGGAGAGCGGGGTGTCAACATGCTTCTGGAAAAGACCGGACGGGCCCGAGTAGACCTAAAGTTTGAAGTTGGCGTTGTCAGCAAAATTCCAGCACAAGCAGCACAGCACAGCATGTCACAAGCAGCACAACACAACTTACATTCAGCTTGTAGAGCTCTGCCTCAACCCGTCGAGGAACAAGCCACGCGTTGCCTGCATCGAGGTTGCGAACTAGGTTCTGGGCAATTTCATCGAGGATACCGTGGTCCGCAGGGTGAAAAGTGGTAGCAAACTGATCCAGTTCCAGCTTCCCTGCCTTCCGGTACTCAGGGTCCATGACGGTCTCCTTGTTTCTGCCGAAGCTTGCAGCTTCACAGCTAGCAACCAGTGAATGAACGAGCCTGTTGTTTCCATCATCACCAGTGCTGGGGACAGGGAGATCAACTACCTGAGCCTGCGAGTCATGTTTGCCATTGCGCCAGTAAACACTGATCAGTTTCTCTACCATCGGGATGGTTCCCCCACAGACAAAGGAGGCAGATGCTTTTTCGTCCGTAAAGGCTTGTTCCAACTGACGGCAGATTTCCTTGAATGCAGTCTCCGAAAGTGAGCGGACAGGGACCTGTTTCTCAGGTCTCCCAGGGCTTGACATTTTGGATGGTTCGATGGTGACTGATTGGCAGAAGTGATCAAGAAAGTAGTAGGTGAAAGATAGAAGAAAGAAGGGGAGACGAGGTAGTAGAAGTGAGAGGGATGAAGGTAGGAAAAGAGTAGCATGAGTAAAGTCGGTAGACTAGAGTTGTATACTTCCCATGGTCCCTTCCCCACGGATCATCCAAGGCACCTCTAGGCACCCGCCAGCCCGGACCCGAATAGTACAGGAAGAAGGAATGAGCATCACAGGTGAAAGTTGCAGGCCCTTCCAAGGAAATCTTTCTGGTAACGCTCGACTGCCTTAAAAGCAGCCTCCGCGAGTCTATGTGCGCCTTTTGTAAAGGCCTGCTCCTCGGTGGTGACTGCGATTGGTTTCTCCGACATCGCTGAGCTTGAAATTTGAAGTAGTAGAGACGGGATGTGATAGTAGAAAGTAGGGAAGAAAGCCGGATATAATAGTACCATTGCTCTCATAGTGGTAGTACTAGTTAGTAACTTGAATATAATTTCTCTGAGTCGCACCTCCCAACAGATCCTCTGTAGAGCCTCCCCAATGACGGACAGTCCCATGGAACATGCATGATATAGATATACTATAGTATAATGGAGAATCTCATAAAATGTTTATTTTACATGCTGTTTTAATTCATAGATAATGGGATGATATTTATAGAGTATCTCATTGCTGCTGCTATTTACAAACATCCGTACAGTACTACTAGTACTAGTAGATTGCTCTGCCTTTCACTTCTTTGTTTAGGTGCTAATACCCATTCTTTGCTCTACTGACACATAATTGTTTGCACTGCTACTACTAGTATAGACATTGGGATCCCCTCAGTAAAACTAAACTTTTCACTTTGTAAAATACATTGTGTCCTGTATATAACAGCTAGCTATAGGAGTGGAAGTATACAGTATACGGTGGAGCGCCAAGACCGCCTTTGGCACCGGGGCCAACTTCAGCTTGTTCACCTGCGCATATTCATGCGCTGGCCTCTTTGACATCAATGCCTTTCTTCTCAATACCCCCATCCCTTTCTTTGCATCCCATGAAATAACGGGCTGTTCCTAATTGCCGCCACCATGGCTGGAATAGAAATCCCATCTTGGTCGACGTGAGTTGAAAGCTGAACTGTCCTTACCCTCACCTACACGCGCTTCGCTAACCATGACCGCTGGCCTCAGCATCAAATCGATCGTCATCTTCTTCGCCCCGATTGTTCTACCACGCCTTTTAGTAGCATATCGTTCTTTCAATGCATCCGTCGCCTCTCGTCCACCACCGCGCCCAATTCCCCAGGGCGCTGAACGAGCGCTGAACCTCCTCTTCATTGCCATCTGTCTCTACATCGCCCTCAGCTTCCCCTTCATACCTTACGCGCCCGAAAAAAAATATATTCCAGCTCACTAAATCGCGCATCACAACCTCCACCGATGTACTCTTCACTCGCCTCGCACGACTTCGGCCCAGCGAGACCCTGACCGTGGCTGATGAGCTCCTCAAACAAGGCCTCACTTCGATAAGCGCCCGCAAGATCTACCTCGCCTTCGGTCCGGATACCATCACCAAGTGCGAGTTCTGCTCGATCAATACGCCGTCTACATATCTCTTCTTCTATCTCCCATTCCAGGTCCTTCTGCCGCACCTGGTGCATGTTCTGATCTTGTTGATCGTGACATCAAAGGCCCTCTCCGGCTCCGAATGCACTCGCTGGCGAGGCAAGTTCACACTCGTTGCATCTTTGGTGGCATTCTGTGATATCTATCTTGCGACGACTCATGATGCGCTGAACGGAGGGTCAGCCCTGGACAGAGCAGCCAAGAATGCCCCCGTCAGCTATGGCTATTACTACATCTCAACCTTGGCCCGACCCTTCATCTTCGGTGTGTTTGACCTGGGCTGTGCTGCCATCATCTACCTCTCCTCCACGCACCGATTCTTCTTCAAACAACCGTCGTCTTCAGAACAATTGGACCAAGGGGTCTCCACGGCCCTGAAGATGTTGAACGGTGTCCAGTCCAAGCTCCACGCCACAAGTGTCACCCGCAACGCGATTGTGCGGGATCGGTCGCTCAAGCAGCGCGATGACGCATACTGGCAGGCCATCGCGGCGGTGGAGGACCGGACTCGAAGCGGGGGGGACGACCGCAGGGTCGGGGCAAGGGGGTTCAGGCGCAGGTGCAGGCGCGGGAACGGGTCCGAGTACAGTGGTGAACAATATCTGGGAAGAGCCGGAGGTAGTGCAGGCCATGTCTAGGGCACTTACTGGTCATGGCGGCGTGGATCTGGCACAGTTGGGGATGAATGCCCAGGAGTTTGTTCGCGGGGCGACGGACGGGCTGGACTGAGTGTACAATTCATAATTTGTACAAGTATATAGAATAGAATCACTGTATCCTGTATCCTGTATCCTGTATACTGTATACTGTCCCTGTCCCTCTCCCTCCACCTGTCCTCTGTACACAATTGCCCTCCGCTCATTCGATCAAAATGATGAGGCGGTGTGGAGCGTCGATCATCAAGTGAAACGAAACGAGACTCAACCACTTTCCCCTCCACCTCTTTTCCCTCTCTCCCATTTGGATTCTGGCAATCCTGGGTTTTTTCTTTTTCTTTTCTTTTTTTTTTGCCCAGAGTCCTGCTTTCCCAGGACCTCTACTCTCTCGCTATTCCCTCGTTTTGGTGTTTATGGCAGTATAAAAAAAGAACAGCAACAAACAAACGCTCCCACTCAACCTTGTCCCACCCAAAAAGTGACCGCGGCCCACGAAAGAGTCTCGACTCGACTCGACTCGACTCACCCTCCGCCTTTTTTTGGGCTCCTCTTCTCCTCCCTTTTTACCCCGTCTCCACCCATCAACTTGAACATACCTCCCCAACTGGTATTATTCCAGTTGCGACTTCCAACATGGACAAGGAGACAGCTGCCTCGGAGCTCAATGTCTATGTCTCCTCCTCCCGAATGGCTCCCGAACCAAGGAGACCACGTTCCGCGAATGGGTGGTCAACAACCAGATTGGTACGCTATTGATTCCCTGGATATCCTGGCCAATTCGTCTATTCGTTGTGGCATAGAACCTCCTATGCCCTGGCGAATGCGAATAAACGCTGGTTCCCCTATCGCAGCCTTCTGACAAGATTTCCACTAACACTCTTGGCGCTGCGCAGGTATCTCCCTGACCATTCTGGCCATGTTGCTGGCTCTTCATAACCTCTACCCTTCCTTGCGCCCTTATACTCAGCCCTTTTTCGAATTGTCCTACTATAACCCCGCCTCCGGCAAGTACGTTCAGGGCTGGGACGATGTCTACTTCGTTTTCAGTGCGGCCCTCGCTCTTTACCGCGGTCCGCGGCATTTCAATTGAATGGATTCTACAGCCATTGGCTCGCCAGTCTGGCGTGAAACGAAAGGCTTCAGTTCGCATTGCTGAGCAGGGCTGGCAAGTTATGTACTACAGCTTTGTCTGGGCGACGGGATTGGTATGTCTTTTTCCTTTTCCGCGGCGACATGGGTGAAACTCGTGGGATTGTTGAGTATGCTAACGCTGGATCCGACAGTACCTCTGGAAGAACTCAAACTACTGGTTCGATTTCAGCGCAATCTGGGATGAATGGCCAGCTCGTCCCATGTCCGGTCTGATGAAGTGGTATCTGCTTGTCGAATTGGCCTTCCTCATTCAGTCCATCTTCATCATTCATGTCGAGGAGAGACGGAAGGACCACTACCAAATGTTCGCCCACCACGTCATCACCAGCACCCTCCTCACCTCCGCCTATATCTACGGTTTTTACAATGTGTCCAACGTGGTACTTTGCTTGATGGACATTGTGGACTTCCTCCTTCCGGTACGTTTCAATTCCTGGCTCTCCACTCCCCTCAGCGGTCCATTTTACTGACAACTACCCCACAGTCTGCCAAAATCCTCAAGTACCTCCACTACCAGAACGCCTGCAATGTCGGATTCGGCATTTTCATGTCGACCTGGTTCATCACACGGCATGTTCTGTATAATATGCTTTGCTGGAACATCTACAAGAACGTCCCCGCCAGAATGGCCTTCGGAACCTACCAGTACGGCGAAATGACCAGCACCAACCCCTACCCAGACGCCTTCATGTACCTCTTCGCACCATTCTTCAACCTCGAGAACCCCGTCTGCATGAACCCCACCATCAAGTTCATCTTCTTAGCCTTCCTCGTCTCCATCCAACTTCTCTCCGTCGTCTGGTTCACCATGATCGTCCGCGTCGCCTACACAACCATCACCACAGGCGCCGCAGAAGACAGCCGCAGCGACGAGGAAGACGAGGCCGAAGTCGACCCCGAAGCTACTGCGAACGGCACCGTGCGGCTGGCCGCGAAGGATGGCGTTAACCCTACCCCCGTCGCAGTCGACACTGCCCCCGGCTTGGACCGTCGCCGGTCGAATGGGTCCACGTCGGTTCGGGCCCGGGGTCGTGGCCGTGTTCCTTTCGACCAGAGTGATCGCAAAGCTCTCCTTGGACGAATCGGATGCGAGAAGCCTACCTAGAAGAAAGCAGATTATCCTCTTCCTCCTCTCCGTCTCTGCTTTTTTTCTCTATCTCCCCGTTTTTCGATTTTGTTAATTTCCTTTTTCTTTTTCCTTTTCCCTTTCTTATCTATTTTTCTTCTTTTTTTTTCTCGAACATCAATCAACACGAACCCTCGCATTATGACGAATACACTTCGAGTCCCATATTTTCTTCTGGCATGCCGTGACGCCCCAATCTTGCTGCAGCCGGATTTTATCATATAGCCTGTCCTGTCTAGGGTAGACGTCTCCCATCGTCCCCCATTCACAAATTTGTATTTGTTCGGTGTGGTGATGGTGATGGGGGCTTTCTTTCCATGGATAGGAATTATGATCGCGCTGCTGATGAAATGAAGTGTTCGACGTTAACGATTTCCAAATTTGCCTTCTCCCAAAAATTCCTAGTTCTTTTTTTATGCGGGCTCGGCCCATCCCGATTGATGACTCTGCTCTGATTCTCTCTGTCATGCAAGCAAGTCCCATTATATCCCTGCTTTTCGTTGTGCTGTGCTTCAGTTTGTTTGTTGTGCTTTTTTGTTTTGGAGGGAGCTGGGGTGGGCTAGTTTATCTCTAGTATATCTTTTCTTTAGGGGGGGTTTCAAACGGATGGGAGGTTTCGTTCGGGTATATGCCGTTCAAGCTACCGCTTTTCTTTTTATGTGTCAGTGCTTTGTTTGTTTTCCTCAAATGGTTAGAGATCCAGATGATAATACCCAATGGATGCATTTCACTTTTGATTCTACGCCTCTGACTAGCCTAAGCTGATCACTCACCAACGCTCTGATGGCTACCTCTAGATAGCTCCGCTCTTGCCTCGTCTCTCTTCATCGGATCATCATTATCATTGTGCCTCTCTTCCTTTCCATATCACTCAGTATGGTCTGATCGAGAAATAATCACAATAAGAAACTGGGAGGCTATACTGTATCAGTCACTTAACAGCGTGCTGGAGTCTAATTCCACGCCGTCAGCTCCGTACTCGCTATTCTCTGGGCGCGTACTTGGTTTGATATTAGTACTGTAGGAACTAGGGTGTGGATTTGTCAGCTAAAATGTCAGGTTTGGCGGCCTGAAACTATCTTAAAGTTAGCACATACAAGCCCCCCCTCATTTCAATTTTTTTTGGGCTTACTATTTTGAGATCACGCAAAGTATATTGATGATGGATAATGCAATTCCAACAAATCCATCTCGTCAGCCGAAGAAAGCGGCACCCGCATGCCAAAAATGCCGTGTCCTCAAGGTGAAATGTATTCGACTCGAGGAGGGACAGCCTTGTACCAAGTGCGCGTTATTTCCCTAACCAACTGGCACATACTTCCCTTCAGGCTAATTTGAGTAGATGTGCCAGATCAAACTCCCACTGCGTATTCCCAGAGCTGAGACAGCGACCTCGAGTTTCAGAACGAGCGAAACCGTAAGTGACCGCGGAGGGCCCTTGACTCAATGGATTAGCCTTGCTGACAGGGAGGATGAAGGCGACTGGTTGACCTTGAGTCCAAGCTCACTAATATCATCGGTCTTCTTTCGCGCTCGAGCGCACCTTTTGGTAGCGTCCAAGCCCCCGTTGATGCGAATTTTGGACTGTCCGCAAATCCTGAAATTTTCAACGACAGCCCACACCCTACAGCCGAATGGATGAGCCATGTGTACCTGGATAATGCACAATTAAACGAAGGCCTAGAGCTGAGCGAGAAAAGGGATGCCCCTGAAGATAGCCTAGAAAGTCCGCAGAATTCATCCACATCTACGGACTCCGCCTGGATCACTGACCTAGGACTTAGTCCTGTCGTTATTGGGCATCTTCTAGACAGGTTCCGCAGCATGGGATATTATTTTCCATTCGTTCGGCCCTCAGATACCTGGACTGCTGCATCAATGGCCGAAGATCGCCCATTTCTATTACTTGCAGCAGCAGCAGTTGCTTCTTCAAATCACTGTCACCTTCAAGATGCTCTGATCAAACATTTCAAAGAATCCCTCACTCAGCATGTTCTCATAGCTGGCGAGCAAGATCTAGATCTGCTGCAGGGATTACTTGTTTACCTCGCCTGGTAGGATCCCAGTTCCCAGAATGGCTTTTATCTTGTCATTCTCGGAGTCACTAACAAACCAATTGATGTCAGGTTCCACTTCGACTTTGTTCCAGGCAGTCAGCAAACCTACAAATACTTACAAATCGCAATCAGCTTGGTAGTTGACCTTCGCCTCGATCAAGAGACTGCCGACTTGCTTGAGCAGAAAATCGAGCTGGGTGATACGTATACCCGGGAAGCATGCCGTGCTTATTTAGGCTGCTATTACATGTCTAGCATGTAAGAATCGCATTCCCTATCCAGATAACGGGCAATGAGGCTGCTGACCCGAATAGCATAGCCATGTCATCGGGGAAGCCCAATAATCTCCAATTCCAACAAAACATGCTTCAATGCGCTATGATGCTGGAACAACAACCAGAGTTTGAGACAGACCTCTTAATATACCCAGTGATGAAAGTGATTCAATTTGCCGAGGAAGTCTGCGAGACCTACCGGTCAGAAGGCATCTGTGGCCCTCGGCTGCACATTCATGCTGAACGATTCACGATGCGGTTAGAAGAATGGTGGTCATCTTTATCAACAGATCTTCGTAACGCAGGTAAGAACTTCTCAAGCTCCGGGCCCCCTATTTAAGCTGATTAAAAATCCCTAGTACTGCCAATCAACGCTTACTACGCAGTCAAGATTCGAATTCAAGAAATGGGCTTGGTGTATTGCTATGGCCAGAGAAGACCTCCATCTCCAAAGGAACGGGAAGATTCCACCATGTTATCTGCACATCCAATGATCATCAGCAACTTGATCAAATGCGTCAATTCTGCAAAAGAATATCTCGACTATTTTCTCACTCTTCCATTTGCAGAGCTCAATAGCCTGCCATTTTCGACATGGTATCAGGTTATTTTGACAGTATTCGTGCTGTACAGGTTGTCCGTGGGGCTGCCAGAAGTTCCCGAATGGAACGTGGAAATTGCACAGCACACCGTGGATCTAAAAGATTATCTTGATACACTGTTATCTCATCTACAGACTATCAAGCCATCGACAGATAGGCAAGTACCCACAAAAAGCCTCTTTTCAAGGCTGCCCGAGATCATAGGAAGTGTGAACACTTCATATACATCAGCAAAAGAGAACCCCACGCAGGATCGTGACAGTCGAAATGCCCATCACGAGCTTCTGGTTTCGATTAACAAAGGCTCATCCATGCAAAAGATGCACCGCTGCCCTGCATTGCGGTATTCGAGCCGTCATGTCGCGCGGACTCCGGATCAACCCATACTACAAAGCGCTATTTCTACAGAAGTCCAGAAGATAGAATATGAGCACCTTTGGGACGATGTATTGTTGATGGATACTTTTCCTATCACGACAGATTCATCATCTACCGGTTTCTGATAAGCTATCTATACCCCAGACCGCAAATCCGCTCGACTACCCTGGGACCATTTCAGCATAAAGATACCTCAGATCTCGTCGGGAAATACATGAGTGGAAAGCTTTTTTCCAGTCGAGTCGTATCGCTGGGTCAGAACATTGAAAAGTCCATCCGCATCCCGTGGTTCATAATCAAGCGACAATGCCGCTTGGGTAAGCAGGTCTAGCCCATAAGTCTCCTTGATCCAGTGGGCAACCATATCCATCCCCGCCACAGCTCCACTCCCAGTCCAAATATTGCCATCAACAATCCACTTCTTCTCCATAGTCCACTTAACATTCGGATATCTCTTCTTAACCCAATTGTACTCGAGACGATTGACCGTTGCCCTCTTGCCATCTAGAGCGCCGGTGGCAGCAACAACCGCGGCTCCGGTACAAGTCGTGAACATCAACTTTCCAGAGGCAGCATGGCGGCGAATAAGGTCCTGCAATTTTGGCGGAAGGTTGGTTTTTTCAGGGATATCACCACCGACGAGGAGGATGTCCAATTCGGGGACGTCGTCCACCGCGATCGTAGGAACAACGGTTACAGCGCTCGTAAGCAGGTGCACCGGCTCCAGGGTCTCGCCGATATGGTGGAAGACAAATTCGGGGGCCTTTTCTAGAAGTTTCGGATCAACGGGGGCGTAGTAGTTGATACCCTCCAAGAGCATCTTACTCGCGGAATTGAGTAGATCGCATGGTCCGATGATGTCGATTGTCTGGTAATCGTAGAGCGGGCAGCCGATGTGGATGGGAGCCATCTTTGTAGAAGTTTTTTGGTAGAAGTAATGAAACTGAGTGTCAAATGAAGTTTGTTTGTTGATAGTTAGTACTGCTGGCTGTGTTTTCTGGTGATTATATACTTCCATTTTCGGGATGCCGTAATCGCGGAGCGGGCCGTTTGACGGCTCCGTCCTCCGTGGTCAGGGATCTCGGCACGGAAAACAGGGTAAACTCATGCACCGTGACCGTGGTTTGAAATCCATATTCCAAGGTTCTACCTTAGAAGCTTCCGATATGGATTTCAAATCCTACTAGTACCTTAGGCTTCAAGTTCTCGGGGTTTGGATCCAGGTTCAGTGAGGAGATAACTAGCGGCTTAGGAAGCAGCCATCCTGACGACTACTATCCTGGTGACTACTATAAGGGCGGCTGTGCCTGTCACTTCCTCAACTTCAATCAAATAAAAACTTTTCGATTGGTGCTTATCAACTTTATGACAATGAAAACCACCCAAATCTTACTGCCCATTATCGGGCTAACCTCCCTAATTCTATCATCGACTGCTTCATGTCAGCTCCTGGAATTCAGCGGTACTTTCGGAGACACCGTAGCTCCTTTCCAGATTGACGTCAACCCTGATTTCATTAAGAAAACCACATTGAAGGCATCATTGACCCGATTCACCGATGACCTCCAACAACCTGACTTTACAGATGGGCCACCGCGTCATAACGCGACCACAGTAAGGGACTTTTGGGTCAATGAGTTTGACTGGTTCCAAGTCCAAGAAAATTTGAATAAAAAGTACGTCAAGGCAATTTCTTTTCAAGGCCTCCATAAGAAATGCATTCTGAAAGCTGATTGTCAAAATTCTAGATTCAAGCAATTCACAACCACAGTGTCGGCGGGTAACAGTTTCACGCATCCTATACCTCTACATTTCGTACATCACCGGTCTCCACGCCCTAATGCAATTCCCCTCCTCTTTCTTCATGGTTGGCCAGGCAGCTTCCTGGAGGTGGGCGAAATAATAGACGGCCTCACCAATCCTCCCAATACATCGACACCCGCCTTCCATGTTGTCGCTCCGAGCATGCCCGGATTCGGTTTCTCGCCCGCACCCTCAGTACCAGGTTTGGGCCCAATTGCCCTTGCAGACGCTTACAACGACCTTATGGTTAACAAGCTTAACTACTCAAAATACTGCCTTCAAGGTGGGGATCTAGGAGGTTTCCTCCTCCATGAGCAAGCAGCACGCCACCCCGAATCTGTCCTCTCCGCCCTTTCCAATTTTTGGGTGGTCCAGCCTAACAGCACCGATCTGGAGCGTTTTCACGCTGGATTATCTACCCCTGATGAGGATTTCGTCATTAACAAAATCATGGAATTTGAACATCTCGGCTCTGGTTACCGCCTGATCATGCAGACTAAGCCATTGTCACTTGCAACCGGCATGACCGATAGCCCAATTGGGCTTGCCATGTGGATTTACAGTTTAATGCAGGAGTTCGTCCAATTTCATGTCTGGACTCCGATGGAGATCGTTACTTGGACGATGATGTACTGGATACAGGGTCCGTACTCTTCATTTCGATATTATAAAGAGCATGTTACCGTAAGTGAACTTACTATTCTATATTCGGTATACCCCCGGCAACTTGGTTGCATTTCACTGACATAGCTCAACCCTAGGACCATATTTTCGAAAACGGTCTAGCAATCAATACATCTTCATTTCCATATGTCCACCAGCCCGTCGCCATTTCAGAATTCCCTGCGGACCTTTGGTATAGAACAGTAAGTTCCATTTCAAACTCACCATTGACGTGCAAAATCAAATTGACCCTTTTCATCATTAGCCAATGGACTGGGCTCAGCGTAGCGGGAACGTGGTGAGAAGAACAGTACACGATCGAGGATCGCATTTCGCTTCCATTGAGACGCCTCTGGTATTAATTGATGACATGCGCTCTTTCTTCGGAAATGCAACCCTGTCCAACACGGGAGCCTTTAATGGGGGCAAGCTGTGAAGTGAGTAATCGTTCATAAGCCCTGCAGTCAATTCGACCCTCTCGAATGGTTACGCTGCCAATTATTCTGTCGAGACATGGAGCAATACTTGAACTTGACGCCTAGACGGGGATTACAACGAGTGATGCACTTTCCTTTATACTTTGTATAGTAGTAGTATTTTATCTTTGGTATTACGGTCGTCATAACACGCGTATCTCAGCCATATATAAATGGGGTATTTCAACCTGTCCCATGATTATCCTTTCTTTCGTGAATCATAACATTCATAAAAGCACTCACATTGTCATGATATTCACGGTAAAAGCTATTAGTACTAGTAGAATGTCACAGAGCTACTAGTATGCAGAACTAGTAAGCTATGTGCAACCATCGAATTTGCTATTGCTTAGCATACTCTTTGATCGGCGGCTCATTATCCCCAACATACCCATAAGTCAAAGTATCAAGACTCCCATAAACAAGCGCCATAACCTCCGTCCCCAGCAAATCATCAAGCCCCAGCCCCGGCGGAACCAACTGATTACAAACAGTATCCAAATCGACACGCGCCAAATCCCCCGGTCCATCATGCGTAATAGCATCCGCAAAAAGCGCAAACGCAAGCGGATTAACCAGCATCGTCTCATGCAGATAAAACCCACCAGCCGGCAAACCAGGACACCCAACCTGAATCTGAACATTACTCACGCCCACACCCCGTTCATCAAGCAAATACGCCGACGCATTCGTGCCAATTTGAGGTTGAACGACTTGATCAACACCGGAATAGACACTCGTTGTAGGGACAAATGCAAAATCTCCTCTTTCATGCCCACCCCAAAGAGCATGGATGAGATTCGAGTTGTAGTACTGCTGTTTAATACTCGGCGTGCACAACGGCGACGACGATGTCAGGCAGACAGCGGCGAAAAGCGTGCCGTGGAAATCTGCGCTCAATGCCATGAAATCTTCCACGATGTCCCGGGTCGAGGGCCAGTATTTCAGTGCCCATTGTACGTCGATTCCCCCCTGCGACCAGGATATCACGCCGATTTTACGGCCGTTGGGGCCGTTGTAGCTGGCGTTGGAGATGGCGGAGATGTAGTTCATTGCGTAGGCGACATATTCAGCGTTGACTTGAATATCACCCAGTGAATTTCCTGGTATGTTTACCCAGACTGGATCTGCAAAGTCGGACTCGGCGAGGAGTTTCGCGTAACTGAAGTGATAGGTACTGCCAGCTGGATCGGCGGTTCCAGGGACCAGGAGGACGGGGGTTCTATTGTTGGCGCCGTATTCGAATGTTTCTGGAATAAAGATTACTGAGCGGAGATCCTGTTCACTTTGGCTGTATGGTGCGTCTTTGGTCTCTTTCTTGGGGTAGATAGGATTCGGCGGATTCACGGTGTTGTTATTGTTGCTTGAGTTGATATCCTGATCTATGATACCGGCGATGAGGTCAAGGGTGTTTTGTGGTGCTAGACCGTTCAGGACGAGGTTTGTTGCGATTGTCAGGATGTTATGTTCCTCATTGGAAGAGGGGGGTATTTCGGCGAGAGATGCGAAGGCTTCTTCGAGGGTTGTGACTGGGTTTATTTTTCCGGCTTGAACGTCTTTTAGGGCGGATTCGAGGAGTGTGATTTGTTGGATGGTTTCTTTGTCAAGGTTGAAGAAGCCAAGAAATGCATTTTCGAGAATCTCGATTGTTCCTGGAGAGTCTCGTGTTTCAAGGGTTGACAGGTCATGAATGATGTTGGGGACTGGGGTTCCGAGGGTCGAGGGGACCAGTGAGGAGAAGAGAGCGAGTGATCTTGAAAAGCGCATTGTGGTGAGTTTAACGAATGCGTGTGTTAAGATTTTGGATACTGGAAGTTCCGGACCATGATGGTAAGTTTCTCTGGCAAGAGGAGCATATCCTTCGAAGTAATCGCGTCAATAACTTCACAGTTTGTTATCACCAGCAGACATGTAAACAATGAAAACCGACATCCACGATAGACGAGCACCAGTTGAACTCAGAGAAATTATTTTTCGTCCATCCCTTGGGGCTTTTATGCATTCTTTTGATCCGTTGGTGCTTGAATCGAGACTTGCAGATCTGCATTCCATACTAACCTTAGTAGAATATCTTAACAAACAAAGCGCGTAAAAGTTTCTCTCTCGCGTGTATAGTCAGGTTCAAGTTGGCTGCCAATTTTGGGCTCTCACTATTTATTCTGAAGCCGAGTATTGATAAATGCCCAAGAATTCAACCTCCTTGTGTTTTTACCAGTGAATCACGGTCGTATCTTTCGACCTCAACAACGATCTGTGTCATGATTGTTAAACGTGAAAATCAAATGCATGAAAATAATTGTCGCCAAACCTTACTAGGAGTACTCGAGTGGGAATGCAATACAAAGATATATTCAAAATTCATGGATATTAAAGAGCTTTCGCCCAGGTGAATGGTGTCCCGCGTTTCCGAGAGAAGTTCAATCGGTCCATGCCGCCTTGATATTATCGTCAACCCGACTCCAGCTCTCCTGAATCGCATCGTCCACATTTATCTGTCCTAATAATTCGTCGCCGAGAGCATTGCAAACAATTTTCGCCATTTTCCCATTCTTCATATCGTAGAGAGCCCAGACCTTGACTCGAATGACGTCCCCGGGCTTCACTTTGTGGCTATGAACGGCATTTTCGGTAGCCCTGAGGTAGAAGAAGTACGCCTCCATGCTGAAGAAGATTCGATTTCCGTTGAACATGGCAATCATCGGGACGACAGTCTCATTTGCGTCGGCGTGCACGATAGAATAATGGTCCATTATCCCCTTCGATCCAACAAGAGTTCCAATCTCAGGATCCGGGATCGTTAGAGTGACATCCTTATCGTAAAATTCGTGCTGAGCAGCATAATCCTTGGCGTTAAACGCTTTGATGTAGTTCAGAAATTCCTTCAGTGAGAGTGAGGGCGCCATCTTTGATCGATTTGTTTTTGTGATGGGTATTGAGTAGTTGGAACGGATGATATCCTATTTGACTGAATAGTGGTTAACAGTCGATGTGTCTGAAAAATTGGCGAGCCAGATGCCCAGGTGTTACTAGTTTTTTATATTTGAGCAAATGGATAAGTCCCGATGCCCCCCACATTCACCGTGACCCTTTTCGGTACCCCATTCCTCAATTTTGGGAACAAGTATCACAATTGTGCAATCTCGGCCCGCATAGTTTTAGGGGCTTACATATATTGCATGAGAATAGACCTTGGCAAAGTGAGGGTATAGTTCAACAAAACGAATCAAAAGAGTTGAATGAGGAGCAAATACCTGCTGAAACCGCCAAGACTTTGCGTCGTCCATTTGCTGACGTGTAAATCCCCGTCATCACTCAGTGATGTTGGTGAAATCCCCACCTTGGGTTTCCCCACTTCTTTCCCACTCTCACCCCGGCTTCATTTCTCGACGAGAGCTTCCAACACATTCAATCAAGATGGGATCCTCTAGATCGAAGAAGGCACCCGACACCGCTACTACTAAACGCTTCCATTGCCCCCAATGTAGCAAGAAGTACACAAAATTAGAACACCTCACTGTTGGTCTTGCCCATTTCCTACCCAACCAGCGTTCATGGATTGACTAAGAATAATAGAGGCATGAGCGAACACGTGAGTGAAAAGAAGCGGACAGAATGAGCTTCCCTCACCGATGCACAGATTCAAATTCAAAGCCATTTCAATGTCGTCAATGTGGAAGATCCTTTGGCCGCCAGGATGTTCTGGGCAGACATTTGAGATTACACACGGGCAGTAGTAGCTCGACAAAGGACCAGAATCCAACTCCCGAGACTGGAACTCTACAACATGACCAAGGCCAATCTCAGGGAACTCCTACTCCGGCAGCCACAACCTGCCTCGCACAGGTTGAATCGGCCGGCCTGTCCAATTTTCCAGAGCCACATAATTGGCTTGATTCTGACAACCTACTTGAATGGTTGATGTCTGACACGAACGGAAACTCTACAATACCGCTACCATTGATCGACTTCCCAGGTGCATCTAGCGCAAGCGAATATCTAGGCTTGGCAGTGCCCAGGGACTTGGAATTAGCACAGGCACCACAGGGCCCTGGCAATATGGCGTTGAGCCAGATATACAAACTCATCGATGATCTCTCTCGAAGATTAAATTCCGAAGTTCATCATTCAGGATTTACCTCCTCATTTCTGGATGCCTGTCTCGATGAGTTCTTCAAACGAGTATCGCCAAGTTTTCCAGTCATTCACGAACAGACATTTACTCTGCAAAAGTCCATACCGCCTCTTCTTTTGAACATGGTTGCACTGGGATCATTATTCGTTTGCGAGGAAGGTGCACTGGAAAAAGGAGAGATGCTTTGGCGTCTTGGCCACACGGCAGTCGCAACCTCATGGCAAACGTTGATTGAAATCAGAGGGCCGTGGGATGCATATGATGGGGTTCAGCTTGTGCTCACCGCATTACTGGGACAAACATATGCGTTGCTTTCTAGCAATTCTAATATACGGACAACAGCATCTGTGTTCCATGGCCTGGGCTTCTATTGGGCGAGGACGTCAGGAATGTACAATGTCAGTGAGATTTTACCGGAAGATCTACCAACTCTGCAGATGTCGGACGAGGAGAAGAATACCGCATGGAGAAGCTGGGCTGCAGTCGAGGTTCAACGGCGGGCTATACTTGGCCACTACATTCTTGATGGCCTCATATCGCAAGCATCTGGCTCTCCAGCTAGCGCAAGGCATTTGATCAATAGGATCGGAACAGCCTGCTCCGATGAAGCATTTGCAGCCCCAACTGCTGATGAATGGATTATTGAAATGCAGAACTCAGCCAAAGGGCAACCGATATCGGAAGCTTTTGCTCACGTTTTCTCGTCTAATTATGCTACCAATCCGCTGCAACTCGCTCATTTCTCCATATTTGTTATCATTGAGGGATTGCAATCCTTGATATCTGACTTACACGAAGCAAAAGGACAGGTGTTTGGCACTGTATCCAAGAAGCAAATCATCCAAGCTATGCTCAATATTTTTGAAGGGAATATTTTACCTAGGTCCGAGGCTTCTAATGTGCATCATCTTCAGGTATTCATCCGATGGCATTCTGTGTTCATCGAAGCGACTGCACCATCGATATTAATATATCGATGGCTGTGCAGTCAATTCAATCTACCCCAGATTCTTGGTGGTGTACATGCTAAACCCGAAGGCCATCTTGGAGAATTTGATCTTCACTCTTGGGCTGCGAAGGCGGATGCTCTTCGGGCAACTCTTCATGCAATATCAATTACCAGGATTCTGGATGACTTGCCTCTCAGCCAAGCATATACTATGCATATACCCACGGCGGTATTTACATCGGCGGTTGTAATAACCGCCATGTGCCTTCTCAACCGGGAAGTTATCGAAGTTCCTCAAAAGTACACATGGTCGGAAGTTTGGACCTCTCAGCTCCACGAATCTGCTTCGCCAGATCATGAAATTATTGAGGAATTCTTGGAAGGACTAAATCCAAACAACGGAAAGACCATGGTTTCGATCAGCCTCTTGGGCGAGATCAATTCACTGCAGATAATCCTCAAAACTGTCGCGTCGAGATGGGGTGTTTCCGCTCAGATGAACGATATTATTGGAAGATTGGCGGATATTGCCCGTGAAAATCTTGGCCATAGTGTATTAAATTAACGCAGGGATAAACTTAAGAATACTAGTCACGAAAGTAAAAATACACATGACTGGCAGACTACTAGTCTGATGGCCTGCTGGCACGAGAATACGTTCAAGTTTGACATTTGAATTAAACTAGTACTACCAGCACAAAGTCTCAAAGTTTCTCCGCACCCACCCCAGAAAACTTATGATTCATATCAGGTAGAACAGTAGCAAGTATAGCCATCTCTTCCGTAGCATGCTTCAATAGCCCCTTTGCAAATTCATCCGGGACATTTGCCTTCCTGATCTCCGGATCGGTAACACCGTCCACATCACCCAGCCAAAACCTAGATCGCATTCTGACACCATCTGGCTCATTCTTAATCAAATGAATCAAATGTCCCACATACGTAAAATCATCATTCTCATCATCCCACATCCCCGTTCTTCCACAAACGGCCGTCGAATATCCCGCATTCTGGAACGCAACCTTCCAGTCAGGCCCGAAGTACTCGCTCGGGTCTTTGAAAGATACTTTAAGTTTCTGAAGCTCACCCCCAATATACTCATGAACTAGATGGTGGCCGCCGATATAGGTGCTGTTGTTATCGCGCGGGCCCTCCCAGTCAGAAAAGACGTGGTCGCGAGGATGCCAGATCTTGTACTGCTCCGTGTTGTGGATCCATCCGAACCACCAGTCTATCATTGCACCTGTGCAGGATTTCATGTAGGTTGACGCGGCAATATGGGTCATGCCGTCTTCAGTATGGGCCACTCCTGCCTCCAATGGGAGATAAGGATGTTCGAGGAGGAGTTTGGCATCCTTGAGGGCGAGGCCTGTCGGTGGGGCCGATTCACTCATAGTAGAAGAGAGGATAGTGAGGGGTTCGGCGGTTTATTGGGTATGCCCTGGTAATAATTAAATTCCATTCCACCTAGTGATGTCTGATTCGGTCTTTTAAATAGCGAGGCGGGCTGTCAGTGTGGGGAAGCGAGCATGTGGGGAATAACTACATCGTGGGCTGCCGCGGTTTCAAATGACATAATTACGATTGATAATTGTCAGAGACATGGGGTAATAATTAGTGTTTAGCTGAGGACGCAAATGACATTCGTGGAGATCATTCCAATAACCAATTCCTCTTTAATGCAGGGTCTATATATTTCTAATTTCTAAAAGATGATGCTCTTCACCACGACAAATGAATCTTCAAAGATTGAAGCAGCTTTTCTGGCCCTGAATCTGTTGGAAGACAAGACAAAATATGTTGGTCTGGGCGCACTAGTACCGCACGTCCACTTAATCCCATCAAGTCGAGCCACTGAGCATTCTCCAACCCAGGCTGAAGCGTAAAATCAACCCCATACACAACAACTCGCAGTGATAAAGCACTAGCTACATGTGCAGGTAGAACCTCGAAGAGTCGTTTAACAGACGACTTGAAATAGGCGGCATTTCCCTCATCAACCAAAAGAGTGAAAGAACCAAGACGACACAGGTCTAACGTAGAGAATCGCTTCTGAGAAATTTGCTCAATCGATAGCTCTCGCACATACGAAGAGTCAATGGCACACAGTGGCAACTGCTGCTCTGTGAGCACTTCAATCCAGGCATGTGGAAGTCGAGCTCCTGGGACACACGAAGACTTGAATAGCGAAACATTTTTCGGAACTTGCGTGTCACCATACACATAACCGATATGGAGACCCAGGTTATCGAAGTGCTCACGCTGGCCTTCAATTCCCTTATTGATCTCGATCATGGCCTCAGGATCCTGAATATTCCGATAGAGATTTTTTCTAGAAACCTCCACATCTGGATCTGTAGTACCAAGTGCCTTCAGCAAGCCAAATATCTGCTTGCCATTCTTCACGCTTTGCTCTGCATTGATGAGAGCGACCTGGCGACGTTCAGCCTCGTAGGTATCAAGTAGATCATCTCCGCCCCATCCATGATGAGCAGCGGCAAGTTTGTATGCAAGATTGTGCACGTCGCCCAGGCCTGAATTCAGACCGAGACCGCCCGTAGGCGGGAATGAATGTGCAGCATCACCAGCTCTAGAAGGATGGGTTAGAGAAGTTGCTTTGTATTCAGCTCTATAGAAAGGGTAGTACTTACAGGAAGACGTTCCCAGCGCGATATGAATGTGCTACTTTCCGACTTAGGAGCCATGGACGGAAGCTGAGCACATCATATGGTATCTTGACGCCAAATGCCGCATCTACCACTTTTCGGCAATGCTCTTCGTTCCATGCGTCCACGGGATGTTTCTCGGACTACATATGCATGCTTCAGTATGTGCTTGCATCCCATATAGTTATACCCGGGGTGAAGCTACTCACATCGAAATTGCAAATCAGAACTTGATTACCGGACAGCTCATAGCCGATTATAAACCCGGATACCTGTGGATCCATAACCCAATGAAGCATACCGACTCGCTCTTTGATCACAGGTCTAAGATCAGCATTGATGTGAATCGTCATCATAGTTTCGGCTGTTTATTATAATCAGTATATCTCCTGCCATCTGAGAAGCATGCATTTGAAAATGCATGGTATACTGACTGGCTTCTTCGCCTTCGCTTGTGATACCGAGATGCTTCCTCACAGCACTTTTGGCACCATCACACGCGATGACATGTCGAGATCCGATCCTGTACTCCTTCTGAGTGGCACGGTCTTCGATAGTCGTTATCACCTCATTGTCATTCTAGTATAAGTTAGTAATGCAGACAAAGAAAGATGTTATCAGTCTGCATGTAACTTCCCTGCTCCAAGCTCACGAACGAATGATTCTTTCGAATTTCAACAAAACTAGTCTTTAACAGCCTCTTCGATATAATATCCTCAAAGGCAGGTTGAGGAATGTTATGGATCATCTGGAACCAGTTATTATCGTGATATCTCTCACATGCTAGTTGAAGAAGACTTGCCGTCGGAGTATCATTAAGAACCTCCTTGTCCATTCTTTCGTATGGAAGCCGACCAACTTGCTTGCCAGTTAAACTGGTAATGAAGTTCACCCAGTACGCATCTTCACGAGGACTTCCAAGGCTGCGAATCTCATTCACATCTAGTCCGGCTTGGCGACAAAATTCGAGAGATCTTGGAGACAGGGCGTGCGCTTTAGGGGCTGCCAGTCTTGTTGGGTATCGCTCGATGATCAAGGAACGCACTAGTTCAATTTAGACGATGGCTTGTAGCCTTTGAGCGGGGTAGAGCTACCGTTCAGCTGTTCAAGAAGGAAAGCGAGTAGAAGACCTGATGGTCCACCTCCAATAATGAGGATTGGGACTTCTTCGTCCGGTGTTGAATTGTGGATGAGAGGCGACATCTTCGGCACGCGTAGGTCCAAGGGTTCACAGAATGACAATAAAGATATCTTGGAGGCTCGGAACAATAATCTACTGCTAATAATTAATGGACTCTCGTGGCCTTTACAGTGGGGGGTCTTTAGTGTCTCGGAAGTGGGGAGCGGGGAAGTGGGAAAGTGGGAAAAGTGGACATTTTGAGATCAATAGATACCACTTGCGACTCTTCTAACTATGTGGTGGGTAGTGGTAGACTACTGTAGATGGTAACGCTCCAACAACTTGCAACAAATAAGAGTGTAAATTCTTGGAGGTCTTGGTTGGAGTTCTGTACGTCTCGAGAAATAGCGGATTGGAAATCCTCCGAATTGTTCTGCTCCCACCGTAGCTAGCATCCTCGGGGATAAGCTCGCTTTCATTTATGGCGGAAAGCCGAAGATAGGTCTCGCATATATGGGAGCGGATGGGCATAGAGCATAGCTGTTGCTCGACCATGTCCGATATATATTCCGAAGCCGCAATCCAGGGCCGATAGTTGGTTTAACTTCGTTTCGCGATCTTCAAATATCTGGTAGGTCGAGAGAGCTTGGTGGGACTTGCAATTTGATAGCGCAGTATCACGCGCCATACATCTCTTCGGACTGCTTAGGTCATATTGAGCACGGGTGATATGCAGAGTCTTTTTTTCATAAACCCATGCGATGTATGTGTTCTTCCAGGTGAAGACAGCGTGTTAGTACAAGACGGGGACTTGACTGACACAGCTCATCCGCCGTTATCCCGCAGCTTAGCCAATGCAGCCATGACACCTTCACTCAACTCTTCAGCCGGCTGTTTCTCCTTCGAAGACTCCTGAGCAGGCGCGGCAGCTAAAGATTCCAACTCCGCTGTCCTACGGCTCTCTTCCATAACAGCTCGGAGAATTTGTTCATCCTCATCCATGTCTTGATGGGACTGACGAGGTCTCGGTACCACTGGCGGTTTTGGCTTGCTTGGTGCCTGGGTCCGAGGCAGAGTTGTTTTCTTCGTACTTCCAACCCGGAAATCTTCCCGTACGGCGCTGCACCATTGTTGAACCTTCTTCTCACCCCAGCCCGGAACCGCGCTGATCTGCTCGGGTTGCGCATTGACCGCATTTTGAAGACTGCCGAATGTAGATATCAAGCTTGCCGTGTCAGACTTGTTAATCGCGCGTGGGGTTGTGACAAATTCTTCGATGGATTCTTTATATGTTTGAGCTTGTTGGGAGCGAATTGCGGTCGGTTGGGCGTATTCGGATGATTTGAAGAGCTCGAGGTATTGGGCTGCTTCGGGGGCGGACCAGCAGAGGATTAGGGTGAGGTTGTTGATGATGGATGTTTTGGAGAGTTCTTTTAGTGGGTCTTCGTGGTTTGGGATGTCGACCATGACTAGCACTATGCGTAGGTTGTATTTGCCTGCTAACAATCGGACTCGGGAGTAAATATATTCGGGGTGGAGACGGTGGTATTTTAGCGAGAGAAAGAGGGCGCATGTTGTCACGCCAACTACATAGTCGGCTCGGATGTCTGCATATTCCCATGGAAGAAGTTTGATATGATTTAGGATTGGATTGCCCTTCTGTCGTGTCGACACGAGGATCGCAGATGGACCAGGGCGGTTCGCGAGGGCCTGTGGTTTGGGTTGTTGCACCTTGGGTTGACTTGTTGAGGGGGTTGCTGGAGTCGCGGAGCCCGTTGACTGCGACCTTGAGGCTTCATTTGATTGAGCGTCCATGGCGGATGCTTGAGAGAGGGTGCAACAGTGCAGAGTGTTGCTGTGGAGTATTGAGGGAAGGTAAGGTAGCTCGGCGCCGGCCCGGAGGTAAGTGATGCGATAAGAGATACTGCCTTATCGGTGCGTCTCACCGCCTCTGTTGCCGTCCATCTTTTTTCTGCCGCCTTATTTTTTGCAGCAGAAAAAAGTCCCAGTCAACGATTCACAATGGCTGAGCCAAACAGGAAACGACGCTTCTCTGACGAAGGTGTTGCCCAAGATACCGACGTCAAGATGGAAGAACCTACACAGGCCGCAGCTAAGACCTCAACGGCCGCCAAGCCGAACAACACCCTGTTCGTTCGATCGCTACCAGCCACGGCCACGAAAGACAGCCTCGCAGAGTTCTTTTCGCAATCCTACGTTCTCAAGCACGCTGTCACCGTCAACAACTCGGAAAAGCAATGTAAGGGTTATGGTTTCGTGACCTTCGCCGACCTCGAGGACGCCCAGAGCGCCTTGGAGGAACTCAATGGAGCCGACTTTGAGGGAAAGAAGATTCGAGTCGAATACGCCCAACAGCGTCACCGTGAGATTGACGAGAAACTTGGAAAGAGCAAGCCCGCCGCGAAATCGCAACAAATCAAGCAAGATCGCGAAGACGAGCATGCCGCAAACCAGCCCCCCTAAGCTGATCATTCGCAACCTGCCTTGGAGCATCAAGACAATTGAGGACCTCGCAGCTCTCTTCCGCAGTTACGGAAAGGTCAAATGGGCCGATCTCCCCAAACAAAACAACAAGCTTCGCGGTTTCGGCTTCGTCATTCTGCGCGGAAAGAAGAACGCCGAGAAGGCTCTTCAAGGCGTGAACGGAAAGGAAATCGATGGTCGCACACTGGCTGTTGATTGGGCCGTTGACAGGGAACAATGGGAGAATGTTAAGAAGGATGACGCTGACGAGGAGAAGGAGGACGATGATGTGGATATGGAGGACAAGGCCGCGAAGGAGGACGACGATGAGACTTCATCCGACGAGGACGAGGACGAAGAGGATGATGAGGACGACGACGATGAAGATCTGGAGGACCTCGAGGATTTGGACGAGGAGGCCCGCAAGGAACCAATCGAAGACGACCGTAATGAATGCACCGTCTTCCTCCGCAACCTGCCATTCACATGTACCAACGATACGCTCTATGAGCACTTCACCCAATTCGGTCCCCTTCGATATGCGCGCATTGTGCTTGACCGCGAAACCGAACGCCCTCGCGGAACCGGATTCGTGTGCTTCTGGAAGGTCGAGGACTGCATGACCTGCGTCCGTGAAGCCCCCAAGCTCGACACAGTGGTCGCCGAGAAGGAACGCTCCAAACCGGCCATGAAACACTCAATTCTTCAACACGAGAATTCCGACCCTACTGGTCGTTACACCCTGGACGGTCGAGTTCTACAGGTCGCCCGTGCCGTCAACAAGAATGAGGCTGCCAAGCTGAATGAAGAGGGTGTTTCGCGCCGTCTGGTGCGTGACAAGGATAAGCGTCGTCTCTACCTGCTGTCCGAGGGTACCATCCCCTCCAACTCCCCTCTCTATAAGAAGCTTTCTCCTTCCGAGATCAAGATGCGCGAGGAGAGCTACAAGCAGCGAGAGGGATTCATCAAGAAGAACCCCGCCCTCCACCTCAGTCTCACCCGTTTGTCAATCCGCAACCTTCCCCGTCACATCACATCCAAGGATCTCAAGCAACTTGCCCGTGAGGCCGTTGTCGGTTTCGCCAAGGATGTCAAGGCCGAGAAGCGCCAGTCCCTCTCTCGGGAGGAGCAGCAGCGATCCCGCGAGACCATGAAGGAACTTGAGCACGAGCGCAAGGAGAAGAAGGCCGGTATCGTCCGACAAGCCAAGATTGTCTTCGAGACTCGTGAGGGTACTAAGGTGCCCGAGAAGGAAGGTGGTGGTCGCAGTCGTGGTTACGGTTTCATCGAATACTACACTCACCGTCACGCGCTGATGGGTCTGCGCTGGCTCAACTGCCACCCGATCGAGATCCCGGCGAACTCGGACTCGGAAGAGAAGGAAAAGCGCAAGCGCCTGGTTGTTGAGTTTGCTATTGAGAACGCCCAGGTTATCAAGCGTCGTCAAGAGTTGCAAGACAAGAAGAAACAGCAGGCCAAGGAGAAGGCAGAGAAGGATGCAAAGGGGGAGCAAGAAGAGGAGAAGGGTCAGAAGGGTCAGAAGCGGAAGCGCTCAGAAAAGGGCAAGGATAGCAAGGAAGATGGGGAGGATGTTGAGGAGGACAAGGTCGCGAAGCGCAATCGGATTATTGGCAAGAAGCGCGCGCAGCGTAAGGCCCGTAAGGCATGAGTGTGCGCGTGAACTTGAAGGATTTAAAACATGTATAGAGCTTGTTTCTGTATCTAATGCCCGATATACCATTCTAAATCAAAAGCATTGTGATTGTCATTTCAACGATCGTGATCGTGAGAGTCAGAGTAAAGGTTCTCCGATTGAGCATCATCGCGGGTATATTTCGTACACTCGATTTATCATAAACTTGAAGGCCTTTCCTTCAAGTTCCTTTTCCCAGCATATTCAAAGGTTCATTCACAGCCTCTCAGTCTTTTACGTATTCTTCGCACCCTCCACCTTGCCAACAATATTATACCGCTTGCTGAAGAACTGGTACCACTCATCCAGGACAGTCTTCTCCTTGTCCTCAAGGTCATACCATTCCGGTACGCAGTCCTCAGGCTTCAAGGACGACTTGGCGAGCGCACGAGAAGCATCCTTACCGGCGAAGACTATATCGAAGTTGATCCATTAGCATCTGTGCTCTTCTATCTTCTCCTTTCCGCAATCGCAATCTCGCGCAAAGGCCAAGTCCATAGCTTGCCACTCCCTGCATACCTTTATAAGAGCCGGTAGCACCGTACATCGGATTCTTGGTGACATCAAAGACAACGCCCTTCATAGCAACGAGAGTAGGGCGACTGGAATCGGAGCCTGGGAATAGCATCCTTCCGAGTTAGTTTCGACCTCGGCACAAAAGCAGACACCGGGGCGCGCGCGTACCGTCGCATTTGGCCAATTCCTCTGTGGAAATGGGGTCATCCTTTGGCGGGTCCAGTTGGACTGGGACCTTGGGAGCAAATCGTTCGCCCATGTTGTGTGTTTGGTGAGAGAAGTGTGTGAGAGGAAAGAGACTCGGAGGGTGGTTGGTTTGGATCGGAGGGAAAGTGAAAGTCGCGGGGCAAGCGGGGTTGTTCCCGTCGGCTGCTGACGAACTCGGCTCGCTGATTGATTGCTTGAGTATTGCGGTAGTATAGTCTATATTCTTATTTTTATTGACAGGAGACATTATTGTTAAATCAATCAATAACACTTGGACCCTTCCATTTAGAGAGTATTCTTTCAATTATATTTCGCCGGGTCCACATGATGAAGTTGAGATCGTTATACCTCAGATAGGTGTATAGGAACAAGGTACTACCTAGTAGTATCGGATTTAAAAAGAGTACTATACAGTATCCAACTCATTGCTAAATTATTAAATAGAATACTAGTACTTTGCTCCTGTAATATGACGTCAAAGTACCCTCCATCTCCAACTCGCCGCATGCAAATAACCCGCAGACCGGTGGCGCAAATCAGATGACAAGGGATCATGTTACATACTATGTACTATTTGTACAAAGGATCAGACGCCCCCCAAACTCTACATAACCTTCCAAATCCAACCTCCCTCCTCAACATACATCCTACCCCATACCAACCATCCTAGACATGCCATCATCACCTACTACCAAACCGGCGCAGAACAGCTCCGAAGAAGCTAGAGCACATCTCGCCGCCCCTCAAACTCGCCGTGACAATCCCCAGCGAGACCACAATGACTCTGACGTCATCCACCATGTATACTTCGAAGACAACGAGAGTTTCTTCCCACCGAGCTGGCTAGGTCAGGCTGTTGATCAGTCGGAGCGGAGGGTCTCTGCGGATAGTGCTGCAAGTCATGGCTCGCTGACGGTGGATCCTAGGGATGAGGGTCGACCGTATGGCCCTGCGGAAAAGGAACATCTTGATTGAGTTGACTTTGGCCCAAGTGGCCACGGTCGCTTGAATGATGTATTATGACTTGATTTTTGCAATGTGTATATGCTAGATCCTCATATTTTTCTGGGAATTCAAACATAAGACCTCGGGAGGGAATTTGACAGGGGTCCTTTACTTCTACTGGTACTTCACTACTGCTTCTCAATTAGTATTATTTACCCTCACTCATTCGTATTTTGATAGTATATGAGGCTTTGGGCTGGAGAAAGAAGAGCTCGGATTTGATATTTATAGCAGATAGTAGCTAAAGTAATAAATACATGGGGGTATCCAGGGAAGATACTGGATCTCGATGCAAATGAGTTTCTTTCAGGCTCGGTCGTCAGCCTGCAGTGTAGTATTATATACCCCCTTCTCGTTCAGATGGCCCTGAAAATAGAATCCCGATAATTCTCGTATGATTCCTTGACATGCTAGCCGGTAGCCAGTTCGTCGACCTAGGGAGGGTCGATATAGAAGAGGGAGGGCGGATCGTGTGGATTGGCCGTGTGTGCTGTGGTGATCCTCAATCTGGATCAGAGAAAATGTAGTAATCCAGGCGCTTGCATTCATCGACAAGCTCATTGAAGTCTTGTCCGTATAGATTATCTATCAGTTGTTCCCTGTAATCAACTGATAACTTTTTGAAGAGGTCCTCTTTGCGCTCTTCTTCGGGGATTCGTGCGTTCTCGGCGAGCAGACAAAATGTAGGAAAGAAATCGATAAACTTCATGGAACAATCCATGGAAAGAGCATGGTACTGACGAGACGCGTGTATGGCACGCCATGGGTCTCCGTAGATTTTCTCCAGGCGGGCGATCATATCAGTGGCGTCTTTGAAACGAAGGGTAGCGCCAGGTCGCATCCGAGGAGCAAGTTGTTGGGCAGCAGGTCCTTCACAACGGCTAAAGACGTAGGCCATTCGGAGCTGGGGGGTGTATAATTGATCTGAACTTGCCTGTAATTTGTTTTCGATCTTGAGCTTCCATGTCTCGAAATCCGGCTCTTTTCCATCCGAGAAGGCTGCAGGGTCTGGTATTGTGTATTTTATTGGCGGAGGCGTCATTTTTCGGACAGCGGCAATTTCCGCTTGTAGTATCTTGAAGTTGTGGTCCAGTTGGTTCCTGATGGATTGGATATCGAACCTCAATGGTTTCAGGCGAGCCTCGATCCAGTCAAATCCCGACTGGGCAGAGTGGGGGTGATTCATCTATCAACAAATTTTCTGGTTAGCCATATCACAGTAATTTTTCTGGTGCGGTAGGCAATTGCGTATGCTGACATTCTCCATGCCCGTCTTCTGCGAGTGTCTGCTTGATCGGTATTGTGGTAATGGGCCCGTTGGCACTGGCTCGGGAGTGGCTCGTGGAGAATATATAAACCTTTGCGTGACCCATCAAGGTGAAAGTCTGGTTTGGTGAGCTGAGTGCGTTGGACGGGAATGGTTGAAAAGGTTGAAGAAGGCTCGAGGTAAAGGTGAAGGTGAAGGTGAAGGGGAGTGAGCTTTGGAAGGGAAGGCACGAGGTCACTGGCGCTCCTGCCTCACTCCAGCCTTCACTACTAGTTAGCTCACCAGTACTAGTACTACTAGTATATTAACATAGGGTCACCACTACCATACACCATATCTATATCTAGCTCTCTATATGAGTTAATCTTACCCGGGCCGGGACCTAGATTTAGACTGTGCTGATTTGACATTCATATGCCGACATACCTCAACCCCACAGCCCCGCTTAAAGCCGCTTCCACTTCGACCGGGACCGCTGATTTGCTCCCAGCTCGGGATGTTTGCTCGGACTACGCCGACGGCCTCGGCCAACAAGCAGATTCCGCTATGTACGAGTCCTTTCTAAGAGCTTGCCAAGCAATCGAGGGGAGCTCGCCAAGATGCAAATTTTTCTTTTATCTCGATCCTTGTTTTTTTCTCTTTTCCTAATGAAATCGCCTCTGTCTTCCTTTTCTCTCCCTTTTCTTTGTACCTCTCATGCTGCAATAACATTTTATATATTTGACACGGTGATCGATCTGCATCGCCAGCAGCATGTCCCACCCAGACTCTAAATCAGATCTAGGCCCCCATTCGCCAATGGCGGCCGCTATCCAGTCCACGGAGACTCCCCGCACTCTGTCTGACCCGGAGACCACTCCTGTCAAGGTCGTGGGTAAAGGTGTGGAGGTTGTGGAGAAGAGCTCTATGGATAAGCGCGATGACTCCATCGATGGCGGCTCTATCAAACCCACCTATGACCATACCCAGCGCAAGTTGAAACCGCGCCATGTTCAATTGATCGGCATCGGTGGTACGATTGGAACTGCATTGTATGTGCAGATCGGCTCTGGCCTGCGCACAAGTGGGCCTGGAAGCTTGTTCCTTGGATTTAGTATTTGGTAAGTTTAAACCCTCTTCCAGTTCTTATTTGTCTTTCCTTGGAAGCCTGGGTTATTTCGACAATTTCCATTGGGAGTATAAACTCTACATAAGGAGAGCACCATGCGAATCACGATCAGAAAAAAAAGATTACAACAAGAACAAAAGCAGAGCAAATCGGAGAGAGAGAAAAGGGAAAAAGAAAAAGAAAAGAAATTCCAGTCCTTCAACCAACTCCAAGGACGTAAGCAGATCTAGGCAAAGCTTGTTCCAAATCCGACGTATCAACATCAACCATCTATGTCCATATCAACAATCCCAAAGCGAAATCGACCCAGACATCCAACCCCCGCATCCTGCCCAAAAAGCCCCTCTGAATATCCAAATTGGAATCTTATACCTTGAATTTCTAGGAGTGCCGTTATCCTTATTATCACCGTTTGTATGAGTTCCTCTCCAAAACCCCAGCCCCAGCAACAACCCGTCAACCTAAGCAACACTTGACTCCAAAAGCGCCAAATAAAACCTCCCTCGCGCCATCATGCTCAGAACGAAAGCGAAAGAGAACACTCTTTTGCATCTCACCCTCCTCCATTGTAGTCCATCATACTCACATCTCTCTCCAGGTCTCGCAGAGATGGTCACCTACCTCCCCATCTCCTCCCCATTCATCCGCTTCGCCGGCCGCTACGTCGACGAAGCCCTCGGCGTCGCAGCAGGATACAACTTCTTCATCTTCGAAGCTGCCCTCGTCCCCTTCGAAATCGTCGCCGTCAGTCTAATCGTCAACTACTGGACGAGCGTGATACCCGTCGCAGCCATGAACGTAATCGTCCTGGTCCTATACATGTACGAGCAAAACCCCCCATCCACGATCCACAACCATAAACAATCCCAAACCATGAAACCCCCCACCTTCAATCCCATTCTAACCCTCCCACCAGAGCCCTAAACGTCTTCGCCGTAAAATGGTACGGCGAAGCCGAATTCTGGCTCTCTCTCGGCAAAGTCCTCCTAAGCATCGGCCTAATCTTCTACACGGTGGTGGTAATGCTAGGCGGAAACCCACTAGGCGACCGCTTCGGCTTCCGATACTGGAACGAACCAGGCGCATTCAACGAGTTCTACAAAACAGGCGACACGGGCCGATTCCTCGGCTTCCTAGCCGCGGTAATAACAGCAAGTTTCACCATCGCCGGTCCAGATTATGTCTCCATGGCCGCGGGCGAAACTATGAATCCCCGCGTCGTCCTTCCAAAGGCATTCAACGGTGTCTTCTATCGACTCACGGCTTTCTTCGTTCTCGGCGTTTTGTGCGTTGGCATCCTTGTCCCGTACAATGATCCCACTATGGCTGATGCGTTTGATAATGATAAACCCGGTGCGGCGGCTTCGCCGTATGTGATTTCGATGGACCGGTTGGGAATACCTATTTTGCCGCATATTGTTAATGCGGTTGTTTTGACGGCTTCGTTTAGTGCGGGTAACAGTTATGTTTATTGCGCTAGTCGGAGTCTCTATGGACTGGCGCTGGAGAAGAAGGCGCCGGCTTTTTTGACAAAGTGTACTTTCGAGAGGTGTGCCGATTTATTGTGTCGGCGTTGTGCTTTTGATTGCGCTTTTGAGCTTTCTTCAGGTTTCGAATGGGGCGTCGGTTGTTTTGAATTGGTTTGTTAATTTGGTACGTTTTATACCTTGTCCCCATCCCCTTAACTTCTCGCTGTGATATCAGTGCAGATCATATCAAACTCAGACTAACACTATATTTCTCATTCCCTAGGTGACCGCATCCCAACTCATCAACTTCTCCGTCGTCACATTCACATACATCCGCTTCAAAAAAGCCCTAGAAGCCCAAGGTATTTCCCGCGAAACACTACCTTACCGCAGTTGGTTCCAGCCATATATTTCCTACATTGCATTCACCACTACGACGATTATGGCTTTTGTCGGTGGCTATACTGTCTTCCTGCCGGGAAATTGGTCCATTCCAACATTCCTCTTCTCTTACACCATGATTGGCGTTTTCCCGGTGCTGTATTTTGGATGGAAATTCTTTCATAAGACGAAGTTTCTTAAGCCGGAGGAAGTCGATCTTGTTACTGGTCTCGCGGAGATCGAGGAGTATACCCGCGATTATGTCTCTGAACCGCCTAAGTAGGTTGTTCTTCGTGTGCTTTGATTTTTGGCTTCCAGACTTCATGTTAGAATATGGTGCTGACTTGCGGACTTTCTTTAGGAGTACTTTGCACAAGTATATCGGCAAATTGTTCGATTAATGCGACGACGAGCTGGCCAGGGCAGGGTAGGGAAGAGCAAACCTTGAGGTATCTTAAAACTTGGGCAACTTTTATGTCCACGTTGCATAACTATAGAACTGCTCCGACCAGCCATCATATTGCCCAGGTGGGATTCAAATTATAGACAAATGAATTGAAGTGTATATATGCCCAATAAGACTCTTTCAAATGCAACGCTGTAAACATTCGTCAAATCCCCATAATTATAATACATACATTCCCCTCCGCTCCCAGCACATTTAATCAAAGTATATAAACTCGGATTTTAGCCGGAGATCCCTGGAAGAACGCAGTGGCCCTAGAGTACTACTACTTCCAAGGCTTACTCTACGCCCTGAGCCTTCAAAGCCTCCAACCGCTGCTTATTCCGCTTCCCAAGGACCCGCAGCGTACTCTTCTGCTCCATCTCCGTCATCTTATCCCAATTACTGATCCGAGACAACGTCCCGTCAACATTCACGACCATAGGACCGAGATGGTCCAGTGAGACACCGCCGTCTGCGCCAAGGTCTAGGCGGAGGTTTTTTTGTTGGCCTTCTTCGGTGGAGGCGGTTTCCGGGAGGTAGAGCTGCTCTGCCTCTGGCTCTTGCGCTTGTTGTTCCGGGCCTGGATTTTGGGCCTCAGATTCGGAGGAGGTCCCTTGGTTGGGGTTGTTGGGGTTGGTTTCAGGGGTTGAGGTGGACATTGTATGGGCTTGTCGTGTGTTGGTTTTGCACTGTGGGAAGAGAATTGTGTAGAGGCGCGAGGTTGGGGGTTGGGGTGTTGTCGTGGTGAGGCTCCAGCTGGGTTGTTGGATTGAGGCACGGGTGAAGAGAGGGTTCACGCTGAGATGGAAGAGGGCTGCGCGGTAGGCTGTTCGCGATAGTTGCATGCTGCCACGGTTTGGTGGTTGGGTTGGGGGTGCGGAGGCGAAAAGTGGTTCAAGGCGGAGGTGGAGGTGGAGGTGAGTCGGGGAGTCGGAGGTGAACCGGGCGGGTCTTGGTCTTCCTAGTAAATATTCGGGGCAGTTCTGACAATGACTTCGAGATGGTTCAAACTCGGAGTTGCTAGATTTTACTAGTATTAACAATTGTATACTGTGAAATACATGTCTAAAATTACATCTTCTCAATACTGCTATTTATTGTACACGCTTCCAATCGTCATCGAAACCACCAGTTGACCTGTAGAAACAATTAGCACTCCATCATCAAACATAATCAATGTACAGCAGCGAACTCACCGACGCAGTAACGCCCTCTCCAACACCTTTAATACTATGCCACCACCCCTTCGGAATAAACAACCCATCCCCAGCATCCAGCACAGCCTCAAACCCCTTCCCTTCCGAACCAGTAGAAGCAGGAACACTCCAAACCATCTCATCCAACAGCGCCCGCTCTTCTCCCTGCATCATTTCCACCCCACGAATCGCCGCCGCACCCCGATCACTCCTCTTCCCCAACGACCGCCTAACACTCGCGAAAACAGCCTGACCATCCCCCGGAGCGAGCAGCCTGACAATCTTGCGCCCCGCAAGCTGAACAAAGAGATTCGGATTCGGATCACGGTGCAGAGGCGTATAGGTCGGTGGATGGCCAATCCAGACATTCGCATCGTATACATCGCCCTTCCCAGCACGCGCGACTATATCTGGCGTTGGAACGTCGTCGCGCAAAATGGGGGGTAGGTCGAGAAGTTGACATTGTGCTAGGTAGAGTCTCGTTGCTTGGGGTGAGGTCTTGGCCACGCGCATCCATTCTAGGAAGAGGTGTAGCGGGGCGTGAAATTGGCGGAAGCTTTGTACTTCTGATGCGAGTGGATCGATCAGTTCTGTAAGCTCGAGGGGAACGAAGGCGTCCGCGCCGTGGGTTTGGAGGTATTCGGTGTTTAGGCTGGCGATTGGTTGATTGGGATCGGGTCCGTTTGACGGCGAGCCATTGCCATTGCCCTTATCACTGTTGGTTTGGAACCATTTTGTTCGAGCAGGTGTATTAAGGAACTCGGAGCGAGGGAGGATGGCGGGTTTCTCGGGGAGAAAACATTGTTGTTGGAAGGTGGTGATACGCGAGTCGGGGAGGGTGTCGAGAGGTCGGTATGGGCGGATTGGGGAGGTGGAGAAATTGTGGTGGAGGGCCGATCGGAATTGTAAGGGGTTAACTTGAAGGCTTGCTTTGTCGGGAAGGGGTCGGCATAGAGCTCGACTGGGGAGCAACCATGACTGCAGCAGGGGCATACGTGGTTTGAGGTTGGAGGGTGACAGGTGAGAGGCCAACTGGACGGAATTAAAGAATGGAGGAGGCACGGGAGATTTACCCGGCTTGCGTTGTATGATATCTTGGCATTGACGGTATATACATGGATAACCTTATTCAACCATTTCTTGCATTTTATTATGTATTATGAGTATGATAGTACTCCCTTGAAGCTGTAATATTAATTGACATCCTTCATAAAGACGATACTAGGCTAGTACTAGTATGAAGCACATAAGCAGCCCAGCGTACTACTAATACTACGAACTAGTACTAGTACTGTGTAGTAGTGCAGAAGCATGAGCGGATTACCGAGGTTGCCAAGCCGAACCCCCTCTTTGTTCACAAGAGCTTCGAAGTCTGCTTCGAGTCTGGTTCAAGTCTGGGGTCATTTGGGCCGATCTGCAATCTATTTTACTCTTGTCGTCGTAGTCTATTATTTCTTCCCTCCAAATTATCCCCAAGACTGTTACCGCGGTTAGGTGCTTGTCACTCTTCACATGCTGTGCTACAACTTATCTGACGAAAAGTAACTATCGACTGGGTAGCATCTACCATCACTCCTAGTACGATTCTTCACTGTACTCTGTACATATTTGTCAGATTGAGGTCCACCTGGAGCTGCTCTAAGGAGTGGACTTGATTATTGTCAAGCTTCGCTAGAACCGCTGAGATCTGAGTCTCAAGATGCCTTCTGTCGCAAGCATTCATAAGCGCCATGCCTATGGCAAAGATGCGCATACCTACTACCCCGTTCTCATTGTCGGCGCCGGAGAGTCAGGCGTGGCGATGGGTTGTCGGTTGAAGCAGGTCCTGGGGACAGACCAGTTTCGAATCTTTGAGCGACAATCTGGTATTGGAGGTACTTGGTGGATCAACCGGTATCCCGGTGCTGCCTGTGACATGTATGTGTTGACCGATCCAGTCTGCGACCTGCCATTTATCTAACCTTACTACCTCTTCTTTCTCCAGTCCGGCATTATTCTACTCTTTCTCCTTTGCCCCGAAGAAGAACTGGTCGACCTTGCACCCGTCTGGTCCTGAAATCGCGCAATATCTCGCCGACGTCTGTGAAAAGTATGAGATCGTCGATAAGATTCAGTTCCACACCGACGTTAAGAATCTTCGGTGGATTGAGCAAGATGAGGAGTGGGAGGTAACCCTTTCGCATCTTGTTCCTGGAACCGGAGATCTATCGGCTTATGAACGGGAGCAACTTGCTATTGAAGACGGGTCCCACGCAGTCTACATCAAGGAAGAGATTGTGCGCGCCAAGGTCGTCGTCAGCGGAGTAGGAGGGTTGGTCGAGCCAAAGACATGGCCAAAGGATATTCCCGGAATCGAGAGCTTTGAAGGAGAAATCATGCACACAGCCCGATGGGATGACGAGATCGATCTACAAAATAAGGACGTGGTTGTTTTCGGCTCGGGATGCAGTGCCGCACAAGTGGTCCCTGAACTGGCGAAACCCGAAGCCAATGTTCGCTCTATCACACAACTAATGCGAACGCCTCCGTGGGTGCAACCTGATCTCCTCCCACCCCATTTACTGGAGAAATGGGATAGATGGATGCCCACTCTGTGCACTAATATCCCGGGCCTGTCACGACTTCTACGCAACAATGTGTTTCTCATGCTTGAACACAACTTCTTCGCCATGTTTACGGATTCTGCTTACGGTCGCTGGAAGAGACCACAGATCGAAGAAGCCTTCCTTGCTCATATGCGCAAGATGGCACCTGAAAAATACCACGAGGTTCTCACCCCGGACTACAGCTTAGGCTGTAAGCGTCGCATCATTGACGGCACTTGGTACCGCAGTTTGAACTCATCCAAGGTCGAGCTGACCACGCAACCACTGACCCGTGTCCACGCAAAGAGTGTGACCATCGGGCCGGGCAGCTTCTACCCGCGTAACCAGAGCAATCCTACCGACGAGGTTCGGGAGATCCCCGCCGATGTGCTCATTCTGGGCAACGGCTTCGAGACGAACAAATGGCTGCATCCGCTCAAGATGACCGGTAAGGGAGGCAAGGATATTCAGGAATTGTGGGACGAGCGTGGAGGCGCACAGGCGTATTTGGGAATTGCGATGGATCAGTTCCCTAACTTCTTCATGTTGTTCGGTCCTAATACGGCGACGGGACATACTAGTGTCATCTTTGCCACTGAGAATGCGGTTAATTACTCGCTCAAGTTCATCAAGCCCATTCTCGAGGGTAAGGTGAGTTCCTATGAGATTAAGGAGGAAGCCGAGCGTGCGTGGACAAAGCAGCTGCAGGATCAACTGCAGAAGACTGTCTTCCGTCGGGGCTTGTGTACTAGCTGGTACATTACCGAAGACGGATGGAATTCTTCGACTTACCCGTGAGTATCTTTCCTATATCTCCGCTATTCTACTGGATCAGTTTCTCACCAGAAGCAGGTGGTCTCAAGTTCATTATTGGCTGCGGTGTTCTTTCCCATATTGGAGCCACTGGACAGCGAAGAGAACCCAGAAAGGTACGACTCTACAGCGTATTCATAAGGGCATTCGGCTTTCCGTTCTCGTCAGTCTGTTCGCTGCTGCTGCCTGGCTGCGCAAGAACCCAGGCCGGGGCACTCAGCTGCTACAGACTCTACGGATGGGCAAGGCACTTCTCCTGTATAAAATCCAGGAACTAGTCTCCAATTGAGGTGCATGCATAGCCATAGCTTTAATAGTAGTTCCATTTATCAAAGAAACAGACATAATGTCAAAGAGATACTAGCTCGCAATTGTTTACCCGATTGAAGTACAAGCCAACCAATCGGAGGCCCTCAATATTCGTGACTCAGCCGATCTGGGGAAACGGCCTTCCCCGACCCCGCGAGCGTGGAAGGTCTCCGCACTCCATCGCCGCCGATACTCTCCAGCCTTCTCCTCTGGCATCTTGTCTTATCAAGTAAAATGGCTTCCGAGTCGCCTCAACTTGAAAGTACTCCACCACAGACAGGTCCTGGCGATCAGGCCACTACTCCTGGCACCGATTCCGCCAAGAGGAAGGCGGAACAGAGCAACGGAACCAGCACGCGCGCAAAGCGGAATCGTTACATCTCCATTGCATGGTATGATTGATGGTCTGACCCCATCTGATATTGTTCCGAGGCCCCGTCTGTCCACTCCAGCCTTATACTCGGGTCTGAGATACGGCATTCATGCACAATCAGGCCACGGCTTCCTTCGTGGTCCTCTGCTAGGCCTCGGATATGTACATTCCGTTCGGGACTAACCTCCGGCTGTTTTGTTTAGCAACGAATGCAAGCGTCGCAAGATCAAGTGTAACGGCCAAGTGCCTTGCCAACGATGTGGGCATTTGAACTTGGAATGTATGAGCTATCCCTTTACCACCCATCATATGACGTCTACCGTCTACCGTCTACTGGCCACCATCCCGCAATGGCCGACTCGGAAAGCGAACGTCGATGTCGGAACACCCGAGACTGACACCAGAACCAGGCCGATATGCGCCAAATTGCTGCAACAATAACTTCAAGGACTCCGAGTAAGTCGCGGAAGATATGATCTGAGACTTCTCCCTTCGAGCAGTGGCTAACCTTGCAATCCCCCAACTTAGCGAGTTCCGCTCGATGACCTCTCAGATCACGACTCTGCAAGACCAGGTCAATAATCTATTCACTAATCTCAACGAGCTCCGTACTCGGCCCGCCTTCGAGTCTCCATCGTTTGATCATCTCTCTCGCGATGGCTCCCAGCCGGTCTTCACCCCGATGCCCGCGACCATGCCGAAGACACGATCCCGTCACCCACGATTCCATGGGCCCACCAGCTCGGCATTTAACTTCGATGTTGCAAAATCTAGCCTGCAGAGTATGGGTATCACCCAGGGAGAAGACGGAATTCCCGATGACTTGACCACGGCGCATGTCACGCCAACTGGATCGCCGCCTCCTCACATGGGCCCGCTTGTGCCGACGATCCATCCGACCAAGGATCCAATCTGGACTATCCGTCGAGAAGAAGCTGTGCGTTTATGCAAGGTGTACGAAGAAGAGATTGGGATTATGTATCCCGTGGTGGACATTACCACCGTGACTAATCAGGCTAATTTGTTGTACACTTTCATGGAAGCTGCCACGCGGACTGGATTTGCTCAAAGAGGACTCCCGGGCTCTGACAGTCTTCAGGATGATAGTACTATTTTGTTAAAGTTGATTCTGGCTACCACGCTGGTCGTGGAAGCAGGTGGTCAAAGTGAGCTCGGCCAGAGACTTTTTCTGAGTATCAAGCCGGTGATCGAGTCGAAGTTGTGGGAGCCGCATGATATTAAAAATATTCAACTCTTTGCTATTGTGGTATGTGAACTCTCCTTCTACTGATCTATGTGTTTGTTTGACTAATCTGAGTCCGCACCACACCAGGCCACTTATCATTTCCATACTGATGACGATGCTATGGCCTATCGGTTGATCGGCTTGGCTGCGCGCATGTGCCTCGAGATGGGTCTTCACCGTAAGGATGCTTTGATGAAGTCTTTCCCTCTTGAGACCCAGTGGAACGAGATCACTCGAATCTTCTGGACTGTATACAGCCTGGATAGGCGATGGAGTCTAGGCACGGGCTTGCCCTTTGTAATTCAAGACGAAGATATCGATCCCAATCTACCCGAACCGGTAAGCTCAAAAGACTTGCACTAGAAATAACTAGTTGGCTAACCCAATTACTTCCAGGATTCGTCTTTGCTTTATCTACGTTGCATGATTTCTTACAACCGAATCAGTTCTAAGATATGGTACTCTGGCCTTGGCTCAGAAGGCACCACCGATATACGACGCGACGAGATTGGATATTTGGATTACCAAGTCCTGCAATGGTACAAACAGGTACCAGACGAACTCAAATTCTATCCCGTGGAATCGCCCAAGAATGGCGAGCCTGCAAGTCGGGGAATGCGACGTCTCCGCATCCTGCTATATCTACGCATGAACCAGCTACGCATCCTCATATATCGCCCTGTCCTCCACTCGGCCGCAAGTATTGTCGAGGACCGTGGTCATGCACAGACCGTGGTCGATGTTGCCAAGGACACTGTACGGGTCCTCACCCGCCTCAACCAGATGTCTGATATCTACCGCACTCAGCAGATCACGTTCAACTATTTCCTTGTTGCTGCTCTGGCGGTCCTCTTCCTTGCAGTGTGCCATGCCCCGGCCGATTTCAACCGACAAGTACGCGACGAGTTCTACATGGCGCTCGATCTAATCAACGGCTTCAGCACGAAGTCTTATGTATCGAAGCGGTTGTGGAAGACCATCAAGGGGCTCCGCAAAATCGGCGAGAAACTGGGCGTTCTAGCCCGACCCTTTGGAAATGACTCGAATGATCCTCACTCAAGTGCAGCCGTGGCCATGGCTGGTCTTGCAGGGCACTCGATTGACGACTTATCTGCTTACGGCCCGATGAATGGGGTAAATGAACTTGGCAATAGCCCCTTGAATGGACTACAGATGAGCCACGAGCTCACGAATTTGTTTGAGGCGGTCGGGTCGTTTGGGAACTTTATGCCCCCGACGAGTGGTGCTGATGGGATGAATGGGTTTGTTGGTGAGGATGGCGAGATCCATAATACTGGAGAGGGACTCTCTGGTATCCTGGGCGGCGAGGAGGAATTTTCGCGCATCATCCGTGGCTTGTTTTGAATGGTGATAGTCAAAGTGGATTGTCGGATAAAACAAATTACAATGTTATGACTTATTCGAAGCGTATGACGAGTCGGGAAAGGAAAATAGGCCTGGAGTAGTTCTGATATAAATACCTTCAGTGGCGCACCTAAAGTCTACTCTAACACGTGACGGAAATACGGATGTAGCATCGGACAGACTATTCTACCAACCATTCCTCCGCTTTGTTTTTTCGTTTTCCCGAGTGTTCAGGATACTCTCAGAGCTTCGTCAGTTGTCATCGGTATACCGACTGCCTCTATCTCTCCACGCAAAAGCCTTCGCAGAGTTTCCCTACAACTTGAACCAGTAAGTAATACAACTATCAGTTCTTACGGGATTATATCACTGAGTTTACTGACTTTTCTTGGTACTCAGGTAGGTACCTGAGTAGGTATCCTGATCAAGACGGTTCAATGAGTAGCTCACCTGCCGAATCTCCTGCCAAATCTTCTATCAAGAAATCTGATTCTGATATCCCTATAGTAAGATCCTCCCTCAACCTCACCTATTAACGAATGATTTTTCTAACATGAACATCTTCTTAGAAGTTTCCTATTCCCTCCACAATGGACAGATCAGGGAATTGAAGATGATTGGGAAAGTCCTAATGACATCGGTCCAGTTGTCGCGCACGCTTTCGGTCTTGGCCCAGTACGACCAATTTTAGAGGATAAGTTGGGCATGACACAGATTATTCAATCTGGTGATAAGTTTTTTATGTGGGATGAGATGAATAATGACATCTATGAGTTTGCCTGTCAGGATGTGGGTGAGATCTATCGTGCTCTTCATCATAGAGAACTGCAGAAGCTGGATAAATGGCTCTTGAAGGAGATTACCCCCCTTATCCATTAGAGCTAATTCAAAATAGCTATAGATCATAGCAAATTTGCCTGTTAGTTTAAATTGAATGTGTCTTATACTACTAGTACTCGTACTACATAGGGATCTATAGGACGGCAAGATCGAAGGCGGTGGTGGGGCACTAAGATAACGCCGTCTCGACTTTGATCGCACAACCTCCCCCCTCCCGCACAGTGCCATGAGTGCTCAGCTTCCCCACTAAACATACTAAACATACTAAACATCGACCTCCTCCACCCAAGTCAAATCCTACGACCTTTGTCCTGGCTGAAACTCGCCTCCCCGCCGTCTCCCCTCCCCCCCCTCCACGCTACCCACCGGGTTTCATCCGAGTCCGACCGCAGCCGTCCAACATCCAAGCCCCTCTGATTTTCGCTCGACGAGTCCGCTTCGTCGTCGCAACCCTCTCCCCCCAACGGCTCTTTCCAAAATCTCGGCAACGTGTCGAGAGAGACAGGTTCGGCGTTGGCCGACGGCCTGGACAGGCTGGATCTGAGTCAACTGTCTGAATCGACCCTTTCCTCATCCGTCTCCGCCTCATTCGATATGTCGTCTTCAGAGGGTGCCCCGGAGTCATGGATCTCCTCATTCTGCTCTCTGATGGGCCATGAATTTTTCGCAGAGGTGTCGGAGGATTTCATCGAGGATGACTTCAACCTAACGGGTTTGCAGTCACAAGTGCCCATGTATAAAGAGGCCCTGGAGATGATTCTCGACGTCGAGCCAGAGGAGGACGAAGAAGAAGAGGAGGAAGAGGAGGAGGAAGAAGAGGACGAGGACGAGGTCCTCGGTGACGAACGTCCTCTTGGATATCGGAGAGCCGGTGACCGGCGGCACGCTCGTGTCGCGAGCGACTTGAGTGTCATCGAGAGCTCTGCAGAGCTCCTCTACGGCCTAATTCACCAGCGCTACATCACCTCGCGACCTGGAATCCAACAAATGCTCGAGAAATACGAAATGCAGCACTTTGGCGTCTGCCCGCGAGTCAACTGCAACGGGTGCAAGGTTCTTCCCGTTGGCCGATCTGATACCCGGGCCAGGAAACCGTCAAGCTATTCTGCCCCGGTTGCATGGACATCTATACACCCCCCAACAGCCGCTTCCACTCCGTCGACGGAGCCTTCTTCGGTACGACCTTCGGCTGCCTCTTCTTCATGACCTTCCCCGACCTGAGCATTCGACCCCGACTGGACAACTCCTCGCTTTCCTCCCTTTCACGAAGCACCTCTCAGCCCGCCAACCGCTCCCCTGCCGCCCAGGGCCCCCACCGAACCCCCACACCGGAGCACCAACCCGTCGAGATCAACGGTGTGCACACTCTCAACTTCTGCCCTGGCCTCGGGCGCGACAAGATCTACGACCCGAGAATCTACGGATTCAAGGTCGCGGAAGTGTCAAGGGTCGGCCCTCGCATGAAATGGCTTCGATCAAAGCCAACAGACATGTACGATCTTGACGAAACGACCATCTACGAGAAAACATTCAACCCAAACATCAAAGCCGAGAAAGGTGATCGCGACGGCGACACTGACATGAAGCCCGAGCAATCCCAAGACGTCCTCATCGCAAACCGCAAGAAAGCGCCCATGCGGCGGCGGCGGCAACAGAACGACCAGCAGCCTACATCCGATAAGATGAGTGTGCAGGGTGCCGAGATCGGATAAGCGGGACAGGTCAGACCGGGACAGCCAGCAGCGTTGGCATGGCGTGGCGTGGCGTGGTTTGGCATGACATCCTCAAGCTCAAGGCCTTGAATCTCTATCGATTGAGCGTCGCATCTGCAACTATTTTTCTCTCCCAGCGCGGGTGTTTCGAAGCGACGAAAGCTTAGCTTCTTTGGTGATATTTTCTTTTTTCATACTCCGTTCCAAATGTATGTGGCGAAGAGGGGGGAGCCATATCTCATATCTATCTGCTCCATTGCATGTTTTGTAGAAGGATTATGTTCGCGGGGATGTGCCTGGGGAATTGATGATGATGACGACAAGACGATGAGTTTTTTATCATGTTTTCTCCTTTTTTCTGCCCCGATCTCTATTTTCCTGTTGCTATCTCTTTTTTCCTCATATCTGTTCAAATGGGATATCTTTTTGTCGAGTATTGTCCGTCTTCTGGTTTTGTCTATGCATCTTCTCCCGAGTCATCTCTACGGTTAGTCTTGGCCAATTCAAGATCATTCAATTTCATTTCCAACCTCGCCAGTAATATCTGACTCTACCGACTCGGGCAGCAGGTTCAATGCCTCAATTCATCGGAGCTTTACGGATGTGGTACTACTACTAGTAGGCTTGAAGCCCTCGCCAATCTATCAACGCCGCGCACATTCTATACTAGTAGTAGCTTTACTCTATAATCTAAGCATACCTATATCATCACTCAAAGCTAGTCGAATGAGAAATCTCCTTCATCCGATCCAAATTCTCAAGCAACGAGTTCGCCTTGGACTGGAACCGCGCATAGCAATCAGGACCAAGTATCAACCGCTGAAGATCTTCCTTTCCAGCACCCATACCAGTTCCAGTGACAGTTTCGAGAATCCTCAACGCTGCCTTTGCAGGATCACCTTGCTGGGCCCCGTCATGGGCCTTGAATGCTTGCAATGTCACATCCACAGGTGTCCCTGTATAATCGTCTCTCAACCCAGCCGCAGGCGTTGCGAATGAGGAAAGGAACTTTGTTCGAAATTGTCCTGGTTCGACGATGAGGACTCGAATGTTGAATGGCTTCAGTTCTTTCGAGAGACTTTCCGACATGCCTAGAAAATTGTGAACAGCAAGGGTTAGTGATTCGAGTCTATCCGTATGCACGGCCTATATTCTTGCGAAAGGGATTAAGCAGATGAAGGAAAAGAACACACCTTCAAGCGCAAACTTCGACCCCGCATACATAGCACAACAAGGCAACCCATCAATACCAGCAATACTTCCCACATTAACCACCGTCCCAGACCTCTTCTTCCGCATAAAAGGCAAAACACCCTTAAGCACCCTCACGGGACCGAAAACATTTGTGCTGAATTGCATTAGGATCTCCTCCTCGCTCATATCCTCGATACTCCCCAGAAGCGAATATGCGGCATTGTTAACGACGACATCGATGGTGCCGTCGAAGTGGGTTTGAATGGCTTCTTTTACCAACTCACTGGTTTCGGTGCTGGTTACGTCGAGTTCTATCCATATACCACCGAGTTCGCTGATTTGCGGATATTCGATTGCGGCTTTGGATGGGTTGCGTGCTGTTGCGAGGACTCGGTGCCCGGAACGTAGGACTGCTTCGGCGAGAGTTGCTCCTAGGCCGGAGGATGAGCCGGTTATGATCCAGGTTTGTTGAGGCATTGTAGCAGTGATGGGGTTGCTCCGAGTCCTTTTGGTGTATCTGATAGGTACTAGATAACTAGTAATAGGTGGTTTCTGTCCGAGCTATTGTGGTTGTTCTCAAAGAACTTACGGCAGTGTCAATTGTGAACTATTTGTACTATACAAAGCAACTCATTCGATATGACGTTCTTTCGGAGTTAAGATACTCGACTTGCTATCTTGAGGAAGCTTCGTGGAAGCTTCGTGGACATAGAATCGGATATAGCGGGGTTTTGATTTCTGACCTTGCTTGATTGGATGTCTTTACGAGCAGGTGGGGATTAGTATGAAGTTGAATACCAGAAGCGGCGAGTTGCGCGAAGCTGCCTAGTGGAAACGATGGTAGAGGTTAGTATTTCTGGAGCTTTCTCGGATTTAAGCTTCTGGTAGAAGCTCGGAACGATGAAAGTTTGACAGCCACAAAGGAAGGCGATCTTGTACTATGCCTGAGGCCGCTCGGCGTCAACAGCTTCGAAGTAGTACTAGTAGTAGTATGTTCTTTGGGTTCATAATATCATTTGACCTCGCCTATTTATTAAAAGTATCGTTCAACTCCTGTATATAAATCATTGAGGAAATACTAGTATGATATTTTGCATGAATGTTAGAGCCATTCGGCATTTTACGTATGCTGTTCAAGAAAAAGTGGTCGAATATGCAAGACAAGACAAGATTATCACCATACCAGCATCTTCTTTTGACTGCATCGCCTCCTCTCAACTTCCCGGATGCTCGGAGATATAATTGGATCAATAGCAAGAATTTAATACTCGAAATACTAGTATGCTGTCGAGGACTGTCTCATTGTAGTCAACTGATTAGCCCAGGTAATTCGCGTGTGTACCAGTTTGAGCCTTTTTTCAGAGCCAGTGTTTGGAGTTCTCATTTCTAAAGCATATCCCCAGAAATCCGGCTTGATGCTACATTTTGAACAATAATCATTCGATCATAAAACTACGATAAGGAGAATGCCAATTTAAAAAAAAACTTATAGGCAGACGATAAGCACATGTAAATTGCACGCAAGTCCGACGAATCAACCAACGAAAGTACCTTGTTAGTCATGAATTTCATGGGTTTCAAATATCAAAAAGTGCCCCGTCGCTGGGGGGGCAAACACTTGATATCGGGCCGTTCTCTTGGCGATTGCTACCCTTTGGCTTCGTGGAGGAAAAGATCAACCCCAGCGTTGTGGAGCTAATTGACACTGCGCCACACCCCGGGGGAGACTCGTAAGAAAATATGGACACGAAAACGAATCCATCGAAAATTTTAAGGTGTCGAGCCGAGGCTGAGAACACCTGTGATCGTGGACTTCTCCCTCGTGCTTCGAATTTCATTATACGAAACGGCAAAAAAATTTTTCAAACAAGCCTCGTAACTGACTTTGAAACATGAGCCTGAAAGTCTTTCACTCATGATATTGGAACTTTTGTTCTTGAGGAAATCCGACACCGAATTTGCCATTCTCCTGTGCTCGGGGAGCATTATTTGAAATTTTCTTTGTTGAATCCTTAGCCTTGGCGCCTCGTCTGCTTCGGGCTAGTTTCCCCCATATCGCCTTAACCTCCTTGAACACGATGTCTCAACAACTTTACCCCCTGATCCTTCGCCCTTTTCTCCTTTTCTTGTCTGTTATATTCTTTCATTTCTGGATCTAATTCTTTTACTCATGACGGTATACGCCCCATTGGCTATATCTGATAACACTTATGCATGGCCGTTGAAGGTGTGGCTCAGAGTGGAAAGCAAAATTTCGAATTTCGGCCGATCTCTACGAGTAGTACGAATCGGGCAACTCCAATGTTTCTAAATTGAGGCGAAAAAAGGGCTGTCAGGGGAAAATCCATTAAGACTAGTGATTAGACTCAAACCTAGTAAAACCTCCCGGACCTATGAGATGCTGTCTAGGAAATGAACTTAAGCGCAAGGTGGAGAACACCGAGAATTTCTCCATCGGAAATCCGCGACAATCAACGTTTTTCTATTCCGTTCTGTTGGGCCACTAAGCGAGTCTCAGGGATACGGGTACGGTTTTAAGACTCCATGCGGTGATATTGGTTGAATTCTGGCTCCATCCATGGATAGGGGCCGCCACCCATCTAGAAGGGGGCTAGAACGGCTCCGCATAGGGCTCCGTTTCTCGGATACCCCAGGGGCCAATCAATTGAGCATTGCGAATCATGTCCAGAGTATCCATAGATAAAAAATCTCTTAATAAGGGGCGACTCTTTGATCTTTCAAATGCTTTCGTTGTTGCTTCCTTGAGTCAGTATAATCAGACGCAAAAATGGCTTCTACAACTCAGACCGTGCAGCCTATAGTCTGCCAATTGAAGGGCGAGGCCGAGGTACTTACATTATTTTCCCAGAATAACATCTTACCAATACTGACTTTGCAAAGGCTAAAGATCTCACTTATGGAGCAATCAGGGAGAAAATCCCAGCTCACTGCTTTGAGCGTTCCGCAGTGAAGTCATTGGCATATCTCTTTCGTGATATCGTCTATGCATCTGTGCTGGTTTACCTGGCTCTCCAGATTGATTATCTTCCTACGCCACTTCTCCGGGCTGGTGCCTGGATTCTCTATGGCTTTGTTCAAGGCTGTGTTGGTACCGGAATGTGGATCATTGGTCACGAATGTGGTCATGGCTCGTTCTCCGAGTCCAATAGTCTAAACAACTTTGTTGGATGGGCAGTCCACTCCCTTCTTATGGTGCCTTTCTACTCTTGGAAGATCACCCATGCTAGACACCACCGTTACCATGGGCATATCGACAAGGACACCGTCTTTGTTCCTCCAACTGAGTCTGAGGTCAAGAGCCAAGAGCCCACCCTTCTGAGCAAGTTCGTCGAGCTTGTTGAGGAGACACCTCTCTACCATGCCGTCACTCTTCTGGGACACCAGATCTTCGGATGGCAACTCTATCTGCTGTTTAACGTCAGCGCCGGCAACAAGAGTCTCCCCGACAAGGGAACTTCTTCTGGTCCTCACACTCTGCGAAACAGCCACTTCGACCCTCTGGGCTCCCTGTTCACCAGCCAGCAGACCAAGCAGATTGCGATCACTGACTTGGGCCTGTTGATTGTCGGAGGCACTTTGTATTACCTCTCTACCTTCATGGGCGCCTGGAAGATTGCGCTCCTGTATGCTGTTCCCTATTTCTGGGTCCACCACTGGCTGGTTGCCATCACCTACCTGCACCACACCCACCCCGATGTTCCCCACTACGACGAGAACTCATGGACCTTCGTCAAGGGAGCCCTTGGTACCGTCGACCGACGATTCGGCTTCATTGGACGTCACTTCTTCCACGAGATCATTGACTACCACGTCGTTCACCACCTGTTCCCGAAGATTCCTTTCTACCACGCGGAAGAGGCGACCAATGCCATTGTCCCCTTCCTTGGCGACAGCTATCGCATCGAAGAGGGATCATTCCTGAAGGACCTTGCCACCACCTTCACTACTTGCAAGGTTGTCAGTGATCCCGATGCGGAGGGTGCCTTACACTGGAAGGTCCCGGCATCCGCCAGCAAAAAGCAAAACTAGAGTAGGCGAATACTCGATGTGTTCGTCCTTTCAATGCATTCTTGTTATTATTAGAGACAATAGACTAGACTAGAGTTTATACATCCTTCGAACTTTCAGTATATGTGACCATTTCCATGAACATCGTATTATGCCGCACGGTTTAGTTTAATACCTAGGTCCACCGGTATTGATCAAACATGAAAGTACCGCCGATCGACCAGTTATATTCCTTGAGAAAAACTGATGTCGGGGGGCGAATGCTACCACGGATTATGAGAGAGATTATGATAAAAGTGTGCGATGTGTGATAGATTATTAAGAAAGACAAAGAGGCAGTAATAGTTAGTTAACTATAGTTAGTTAACTAGAGTGATCTTGAATGCCTGAGGCATAAGGCCTCAACAAAGACTAGTGCTAAAATATTTCAACTCGGTTGGTGTAAAAGGTGACAAACGTTTGGTTTGCCTCATTTAGTACGCTCCATATAATACGCTCCGTTCAGTTTGGAATGCACTAACTATGAATGACCTCGGGAGATTTTCCTGGCTGGAGTGAAGGCGGAGTCGACCCACCCGATGGACAATACTAGTAGTACATATCAAGGGATGTGATGTTTGACAATCGACCGCAACAAATTCACGCACGATATAAAATTAGAGAAAAATATTACGCAGAAAAGTCGGCGATCTGAATAGCGTGCAAAAGAAGGCCACGAACAGCTCCGAAGACTCGAAAATGAAATGAAAGTTGAAAGACCGAAATAAACCTTATACAGTCTTCTTTCAACCTGTCTAAATCCCGAATCTCATAGTTCACGTATTGCTTATTTTAACACCCGTCGAGGAATACATAAAGACGAAAAATAATTTTCCACATCGTGCAGAATCCAAAGCGCTTACTACAGACTCGGGCTTCTCTGCTACCCCGAGTCCGTATTAAAACATCTACATATGTCTTCGAAGACAATGGGGTTTTGGAGCCTGAGAAGGAGGGGGTTTTCAAAAGAGTCGCCAGGCTTTTGGTGGCATCGAGATATCTATGTACAGTATCATGTCGATATCTACCCTCGGCTATTTTCGCCACGTACTATTGACCTACGCGCAAGCCATGCATATGTACACGTTAAACCGGCGCGACAAACTGCAGCCATGATCAACAAACCTCAGCCAAGCTGAGAGCCAGGTCAACTCCGAATTGACCAATGAGAGATCTACGCAGTTTACTGCCCTGGGTTAGTCATAAAATAGCTCTTAGCTAATACATAATCACCTTTGACAGATTTCTGCAAGCGATCGTGACAATCTGCTGTCCCACGTTACACAACTTCCATGCTGTCTGGCGGGCGCAGGGTACCTGTTCCCTGCCCCTTGCAAAAAGCATTAACCTACCAAATCTTACGCGGTATTTCTCTAGAGGTCCTAAAAAGCAACCTGATCTATGGCTTCTTTTCAAAATTCAAGTCGCTTGAATATAAGGTAGAGTATAGTGTGATGGTACCCTCAGGGGTCCTGAGCGCTCCCTGGTGTACTGAGACACGATTAAACCTAATATCTCGGAGCTGAAAGAGTCACTAGTACTGTAAACTATCTCTGTCAGGTTGATCTTCAGTTGATTCCTGCATGCAATTGGCAGGTAATGGCTCATCAAGGCAAAGGCAACTCCACGTTCCTGGGCGTTCGCTGTAGAGTGGGCAATCCCAGGTACTAAGTCGGCAGAAGAAACCAAAAGACGGGCATAAAAAATCATTTTTTTGCATGTTCACCCTTCCACCTCTCTTTATGATTGGCTACTTGATGTGAAATATGCTGCCACCTCACTTCCTATCCTGTGGCCGGCTGAGGTTTGTGGCCCGCTGAACTAGACGCCCCCTTGCGATTTTGCTTATTCTGTGTGCATGAACAGTATCTCAGACGTCCGAATAGGTTAGCCAGATGCATCACAACCAGCCATTCCATTATCAATAAGGCCTCTTTAAATTGAGCACGACGGAGATTTCTCCCTCTCGATTGTCCAATTTTTTTTCTGTCTTTACACGGAGTAGCAGCACATCATGTCTACCAACGGACCAGAGACTATCACCGATGGAGGCCTCGCCCCGATACTCAATGAGGCTCGATCATTCCTCTCTCATCTATTCAGCATGGACCCAATGAATCCAGAAGAACCTATAATGCGCACACTGGATGGTCCAGGGATCGCCAATGTCCAAGAAATGGCCACCCTCGTCAAGAATCCTGCGAAGTCTCGAAAACCCTCCAAGAGGCATTCTCAATCTTCGATAATCGCCTTCGCCACGACCATCCTGCTTGTTTCGCGTACATGCCGGCCTATCCGTCGCCCCTTGCATGGATTGGTGATTTGCTCACCTCCGTTTTTAATGTCAACGCTGCGATGTGGAATAATAGCTCAGGCCCAAGTGTGGTAGAGAATACTCTCCTGCGCTGGCTTGCGGAGCAGGCTGGACTACCTCCATCCACCGCGGGGTGTTTCGTGTCTGGTGGTTCAATGGCCAACATGACTGCAGTCGTCATGGCCCGAGACAACATGCTTCCTCAAAACCGTCGATCCGACGGAGTGGTCTATATCTCCGATCAAACACACATGTCTCTTGCCAAGGGGCTGCATATGGCTGGATTTTGCGATTATCAAATCCGCACCCTTCCGACCGACCAAAATTTCCGTTTCGACCTTGAATCTCTCAGCCAGGCAATCCTCACAGATAAAGCAAGCGGACTGCTACCCTTTCTTATTGTTGGGAGCTGTGGAACTACAAATACCGGCAGCATTGATCCCCTCCATGGCCTCGCCGATTTGGCCGAGAAACATTCAATGTGGCTTCACGTCGATGGTGCCTACGGTGCTTCAATCTCTCTTTCTAAAACTAACCGTTATCTTGCCGATGGACTTGGGCGAGCAGATAGCGTTTCCTGGGATGCTCATAAATGGCTTTTTCAAACCATCGGGTCGGGTATCCTCTTGGCTCGAGATGGCCGGAAACTTGAAAAGAGCTTTAGCATGGAGGCCGACTATATTCGAACGACAAGAGCACCAGATGGATCGACGAGCTTCTATAATGTTAGTCCTGAGCTCAGCCGCCCGTCGAGAGCTATGTCGCTTTGGTTCACTTTGAAGGTCTTGGGACATGATCGTATCGGGCAGATGATTGACCAAGGAGTTATCCTTGCATCTACTGCGGAGCACGAGCTCCGTCGGCTTGGAGACTGGGAGATTGTTTCCCCTGCAACTCTCAGTGTTGTTGTATTCCGATACAGCCCCTTCGGTCTTGTTATCGACGAGAAAGAGCTCGATGCCATGAATGTCGCAATTTCTAAGCGACTAATCGCAGAAAACATCGCTGCCATCTTCACTACAAAACTTCGTGGTTGCACTGTTCTTCGGCTATGCGTGATTAATCCACTGGTGCAGCAGGAAAATGTGAGGAGAATTATTCAGCAGATGCATCGAATTGCCCAGAAAGAATTGGCACTGAGGCCTGGCCTCATGGAGTCTTTAATTTCTCCAATTTACTTGCGTCCTGAAAGTCTCACCACGGCGACTGCCCAGCCCATCGCTCAGCAGGAGTGATTGTGCAGACTTAGTTGTCTGGTCTCAAGAAACCTAACTCTCGAGAACCGTGAGTCTGAGTGAAATGGCGAATTTTGTTTGTTTTGGTTTTGCTTTTTCCCGGCGTATATTGCTTCTTCCGTGTTTGTCCCTGCCAATGGTCACCTTGGCATCGCATTGCGTAATTCGATGTTTGGAGTCTAGAACTTGCCCTTATTCGGAGGATTGGCCTATGTAGATACTCTAGTATATATACGCAATTTGAGAAGATCAAGAATCGGAAGTAACTTAACACAGTTCCTCTAAGGATACCCCACGATGAAGATTCAGCTAACAGGTAGGGTTATGAAGGTGGCGAGTTATTTTCTCGCTGGGCACTCAAAGAACCTGAGCAGCAACTGGTCGGAGAAATAGATTAAGCAACAAAGTACACATTTCAGCTCAACTTGGTTCTAGCCATCCACTAGTACTCACAGCAAGGAATTTCAGCCAGCCATGTCTGTTCTCTGCAGACTTGCGTGTTTCATGCAGCCACCTGTTTTCAGATTCACATGCCGACCAGCTCCTCCATCCATCTTCCTTTGTTGTTAATTCTTTATCGTGCCGAGAAATGCCTAGCTCGCTCTCTTTGATTCGATTTGGTTATGTCTTCGAAGCAGAGTAAGACTTTGCGTGATGTGAAAAAATAATGTGCGAATTGAACACATGTTGTACCGTACGGCTGTGGTACAAGCCCACATCGCATACCTAGGTGCGTTGTGTAACCATTCAAATCTAATTCAATAATTAATTTTACTTTTCCCTCGCAGTTGCTATAGGCCCACCGGAGTTGCGTGGGTACTCCTTACTTTTTTCGGGTGAAACTGCAGCACAGCTACTCAAAATGAATAGTTCATGCACGGTCATGATCTTCAGCGCATACAACGCGAACTTGCGATGTCACAACCATGCAGCTTTGCTTTTTTTTGTTGATTTAGCAGGAACGCCACCTGCAGGATTCACCTGAAGTGGCGAACGAGTCTCGTATTCTGAGTTTTTCATAAATGCTCACGGTCGGGACATTTTTCTTGCTGTTCGAGAAAGCTCGCACCTTTTTCGCAGCATCGCAAGCCCTGGGAACTGGATATGACTCCAACATCAGCAAGTCCACCTAGCTCCCTTTGCAGGAGTCGTCCCTTTGCAGGGAGCCAACGGAAACATCGACGCTTTTAGGCTCCCACAAGAACCCAGATCCATCAGTATACGAAGTGAACCCGTCAAAAGGGTGGAAGGATGAGGCGACCATTATATTCAAAGATGCCATGCCATTAATACTGGCGCTCTCCTTGCAATACGCTTTAACCGCATCAAGCATATTGTTTGTTGGGCATATTGGCAATGCAGAAGTCGGCGCCGTGAGCCTCGCGAATATGACTGCCACCATCACCGGGTACTGCATTTACCAGGGGTTCTCAACAGCGCTGGACACTTTATGTCCCCAGGCATACGGTTCTGGGAAGAAACTACTGGTCGGACTTCACCTTCAGCGAATGTCCATGATCTTGCTTCTGCTCACAATTCCCATTGGCGTTCTATGGTTCAACTTCACAGCCATCTTTCTCCGAATGCTACCTGATTCTGAACATGATGTGGCAGTACTGGCGGGATTGTATTTGAAGATCGTCTTCGCAGGAGCACCCGGGTATGCATTATTCGAAGCTGGAAAGCGATTCTTTCAAGCTCAAGGATTGTTTACTCCTATTCTGTTGGTCCTTGTGATATGTGCTTCTGTGAATGCCTTCTTGAGCTGGTTGTTTGTTTGGGTATGTCCGACCGATCGCCATGACTGAAAATTCAAACATCGCTAATTTGAAAATTCCACCGCCATACAGAAATTAAACTGGGGTTTCGTGGGTGCTCCTATCTCAGTCTCAATCGCGATGGATCTACTCCCAATCCTACTTGCCTTATACGTCTACCTTTTTCGAGGCTCCGAATGCTGGGTGCCAATTTCGAAGAACATATGGAAGGGATGGGGTCCAATGTTTCGTCTTGCCATTCCAAGCTGGCTCATGGTCGAAGCGGAGTTTGCAACCTGGGAGGTCATGACTTTGTCGGCATCTTACCTAGGAACACGAAGCTTAGCAGCCCAGTCAGGATTGACTACTGTGACCTGTTTCGCCTTTTATGTCGGCTTTTCTGTTTCGGTCGCTAGTGGAACTCGTGTCGCCCAGCTTATCGGTGCGGGTATCCTTGAATCTGTACAAACAGCTACGAGAGTAGCATTCTGCGCCGCAGCTTGTGCTGGATTGTTCAATTTCGTTGTCATTATGGGTCTCAGAGGAGTCTTGCCTGCTTTATTCACCTCTGACATCGATGTCCGCAACCTGACTTTTACAACACTTCCGATGATCGCTGTCCTATCCACACTGGATCCAATCGTCGCTTGCTTGACCGGTATTCTAAGGGCAATTGGACGGCCTGCTCTAGGAACATCGGTACAAATTCCAGTATACTATGCACTAGCAATCCCTTTGGCCTTGGTTATGGCATTCCGTCTCCATTGGGGCCTCTTGGGGCAATGGGGTGGATTATTAATCGGACAGTCTTTGGTTATTGTGATAGAAAGTGGCCTGCTTTGGTATATGCTGGATTGGGATAAGGCTGCAGAAGATGCCTATCAAAGAAACTATTCCGTCTGAGCAATGTGGAACATTAACACGATTTTACAACTTTTCAGATTGTGCCTAACCTTGGAATACTAGGGATAAGCCCGATTTTGCGCAATACACCAGACAGTCACCTGGGCAATCTTCAGAATATTATACTAGTACTTACTACCGCAAACGCAGCGTCCGGAGGAGATCCTTAGTGTTGTGAAAAGCCTTTGAGTTGACGAGGCAGTGTCAATTCATTACACGTAACACTGTACATAGCACGCGTGCAGATCACAAGTTTACCGGTTGAATTCATCTAATAGTATATAGTACAAAGTCTGGTCTCTCAAAACGAAAGAAACGAAAGAAATATAAACGCCCCTCAGCACAAAGCGCAGCAGGTGCCGATCACTTATCTGGGCCCTTGGGAGAATGACCGCCGGGTCTCCTCTGTGCACTGCAGGCAACAGCAATGAGGCACCGCAAAATAGATACGGCGCCAGAATCGGAGCCTCTCGTCTAGCTCATCCATAATCCTCCAATCAGGCGTTTTAGAATGAGATCGCAGAGCATCCTCGACGGCTACACAGTTCCTAAGGGACCTTTGTATAGTTTCATCGTCCGAATGATCATATCCATGAAGGGTCAACTTCCCAATACATCTATAAAGCATGTCCATCTTCCATTCGCTTCTTTGTCTTATTCTTTTGTCTGTCCTAACCTCAGAAGCTACCTCGTTAAGTGCCTTTCTGATTGCATCGCATTTCAAGGGAAAACATCGACCGGTGCCATCATCCGCCATTTCTTTGTATCTTGAATAGTCGCTTGATATTTGATTGAGTACGATTACAACACCTTCCCAGTTGTAATCAACTCTGCGCAATCTGCCCCATTGTCTGAGATAATCTATAGTCTGAGCACGATTCATCTCGAATACTTGGGATTCCATTGCTATGGTGGCTTCTATGGGGCTGTCTAGATTAACCACTTGAACTTCTTGAGGGAAATCTTCGATAGCATTGTTGTCATCGGTTTCGATGGAGTGGAGAACACCTGAATCGTGCTGGTGGAGAATATCGTGATGAAACCGTGGAGGACGCATATTGCATCTGTTGCCTACAATTTCGGATTGTGGTGCAAAATTTCTCGAGATATCCAGCGAGTTTGAAGATTTATATCAGTCGTGTAGAGCTTACACGTGGAGGAAGAGATGATTTTTTATTCCAAGACCTTTGTTTTCAAACAATAACTTGAAGTTTCATTGACAATGGATGAAGACCATCGTGTCCTGGAGTTCATTAATCGAAGTTTCGATACTATATTTGCTCTTAGAGTCGGACACTCACTGAGTTCATTCAGGAAGTAAATGGTTTAAAAATATCGAGAGTTTGATTTGGTCTGATTCGTCTTTGGTACAAAACATTGTGGGAAGTCTCTTGGAGGCTCTTCAAGGCTTTCATATTCACACTCCTCTTTCAATGGTACTTCACAATCTTCTTTCGATTTTTTTTTCATTGAAGAGGTAGTCTCTTGTTCAAAACCCGGATGGCTCAGAATAATTTCGCCACTTGGGAACTATCCAGGTCTCATTCCACAATGTCCTTTTAGCACTTTGAGTATTGCCTTGCGGGCGAGCTCAGATCTAAAGGGGGGGAGGCTTCCAGCCATGGGACATTCCCATCGACAATAAAGAAATCAAAGAAAGATCAAAAGATCTCTCATTCTTCTTTCAACACATCGCGACTCAAATCCGAAACTTTTCTGACTTATCACGGTTTCAGATACTGACTGTGCAACGCCTTGAAACAAAGAAACCATCGTCCGGAAACAGTCTCTTACACATAAAGAGAAAGAAGATTGAGAGGCATGCTTTACATGTTGCGTTTAATCATCAGTTTGAGATGATTTGAGTCCCGCAAATCTATATTCGCCACAATACAATACCTTTACCATTTGCCTATTTGGGATCATGCAACTGCAGAGGGGCGGAAAGTGTAAGTAATTCCGAATTTTGTGGTAGAGAGCCCTGGAGATATGAAAATGCAGCTGATCTCGCCTTCAGAAATCCTTGTCAAACGGTTAAATCTAGGCCCCCGGGCTGTAAAATTCAAGCCTTGAAGTCCACCACCACGTCGACAAAAGTTTCTAACTATCGCTTAATCATTCGGAGCGTTTCCCAGCACCAAGCCAGGGTGCTTCTTTCACCGCAACAAGCTTGCATGCAGCGTCAGCATCCTACTATTTTGGAAGGGTAAGCTACTCAATTCGGCGATTGTACCACCTGAAATGGAAATGTCATTGCAGCAGTGGGGCACAGGGAGACGGTCAGGTCTGAGGCTCTGGGTCATTCTCGCGGGAAGCCCAGCACCGACACCGCTGGATGTATTCGATCTAGCTGATCCACTACCATCCCGCAAAAATAGCCAACACTACTATATTTGACTTTTTGTTTGCCAGACCCCGCCTAACTACATTAACCACGGAGCCATCTGGGTATTTTTAGCTACAATCGAACCATTTTGTCAAGATTGGTGAGTTGCATCAACGATGGCAACTGCTCGTCTGGAATTTTCAAGCCTACTTAGTTATTTCTTGCAGTAAACTGGAATACTCACCATGAACAGCTAGCGTACACCACTTAAGTCCCTTTGGTGTGGGTATCCTTAGTCAGATGCCCAGCAACTTACACAAACACAGTGCTTACAGACATAAGCCACCGACTAATAAGCCCATGTTGAACGCAAGTGACAATGTTCATGCGAAACACCATCCAAAACTCCAAGGCTTCTGCGCTCCCCACCATCTTTGGAAAATTTACAGCAAGCAGAAACTTTCCCAATAATGAAACTGAAGTCTGTTGCCCAAACCATCCTCGAGCCAGCCGTCGGAGCATAAGATAAGGTAGTACTAGACCCTGCTGAGGCTATGCCCGGGACCCAAAAGTAGGCAGGATAGGCGAGTTGCAACACGTGTAGGCCACGTGGAGGTGACCGAAAAAGAAAATGCGCAGTGTCGGTTCTGTTTGTACTTCTTGGCTATTGTTATTTCCGTGAGTTCTTGCAGGATGGTTTAGAATGAGGGGCGGGAGTACGGCAGATCGACTGCATAAGCAATGGAGCATGATGATTTCATCACCCCATCTCTAATATTGCTCCCCGATGCCGTGGGGCCTTTGTCTAAACCAGGAGAGCGGGACGCTTAGATAGACAACAAAGTGCTGGCGCGGGACGAGCTTTCAGCTGGTAACGCCGGTATGGCTAGCGTGCTTGGTAAAGTTAGAACAAGACCCTGTGGGTTTTGGTCCCGGTATTCTACGATAGGATTGTGACGCCAGGCGGGATATGTGAGATAGATTGGAGATTTCTGGGCGTTTTGGACGTGCCATATGATCGCTATGCGAAATGGGCGGCCCTGGTTCAGTGAAGAATGTCGGAAATCACGGTTCAAGTTTAGGCCGAGGTTGACGGGAGCCGGAAGGGTTTGTTCAAGATTGACTCAATTAAACCATGTCCATCTTGCATAAGGTCGTTACCTAGACAAAGCGCGCGTCCAAAGCTCTTACCAAGGGCGAGTGGATCGGGGAGCGTACGCGATGCCACCAACGCTGGGCGCCTTGTCCGACATCGCCGCGATTGGACCGACGAGCATTTGGCCTTGAGCGTGGCAGGTCGGTATGGAGGGGGAGTGTGATAGGATACATGACTTGTTTTCGAATGGGCACCCCAGGAGCTTTTCCCATATCTGGTTGGCGACCCGGTTCATTCTGCATCCAGTGTAACAAGGTGAATGAGATGGACACCTCGGAGTTAGCCGTGCGGGTGCGCGGACTGGGTGTTCTTTTGGGCCTTTGGCTCTCCCCAGTATTCAAAGTATGTGTGTGGGTATTCGGGTTTTGACTTTCAGTGATACGGACCAAAATTAGAAAAGCGAGCCAGCCATCCAGAAGAGAGGGACTGCTGCGTGTCATCTCCTCCGAGAAGATGGGGAGGAGGAACATTGGGCCAGGGATGGCTGCAGCGATTGTCCACCGCCAGGAACCTTTTTCTAGGAGCTCGCTAGAAGGCCCGCTATGCAATCCCACCCAAGCATCCGGGGTCGAACAGCGAGAGTGATTGGTGCGAAGGGCTGCAGCAGGGGTGGTGGGCCCAGGATGAGGGTAGAAGGCTTGTAATTCCAGCCAGAGACGTGGGCGTCATGAGCGGTGAAGTCGATACGCCTGCTGCGCACAAAAATCCCCAAAACGGTAGGGGAAGGGTTGGCTGATCAATTCAGCCCTACCTTGAGGTCTTTGCCCTCTGCAGTAAGTGCACTAGTCTGACGAAATGACCAGGTGTCCCAGTGTCCCAATGTTCTGGCTGAACAAGGCTGTACATACTCACTCGCTGGTCGAATACACAAATACTTGATTAAAGTATTTTTCTAATTGTGTATTTATTTTCACACGTCCAAAAGAAAACGCACTGCCCCAATCCAGAACGAGACAATGCCAGTGGATTGGTTGCCTCTCCCCGGGATTCGGGTTCGGGTGAAAATACACAGCGAAAGGGAGAAAGGGGGAAAAGGGAAAATCAATAAAAAATAAAAATGATTAAATTAGACTAGTTTTGTACATAGGTAAGCAAACCGACCTTCCTAGCTAAGTATTCATCACGATAAATAGTAACATAGAACGAGGAATTACATACTAAAGTAAAGCGGCTAGTTTCTACGATGTCCTCAAGGTATGGATGAACTAGGTAAGATTGTTCTTCGTCTAGCGCCTTGTTCAGGGCAATCAATCACTGGCATGCTCCAAAAAAACCCGCCCGGGTAAGCACCTTGAGAGTACGCCGCATCCCATCTGCAGATGACGCCAATCCCACAATGTACAAACAATACCCCACGACCTGACGTAGAACCGTAGAACAAGAAAAAAAATATTTTTTCTTCTTTCCTCCTCGTTCGAATGTATCCTACCTCCAATGTTACATCTAGGCCATTTCACATACAAAGCACTGTACCGCAAGACTGGACAAGGCTAATCCGCGCGAGGATTGGGGTTGGTTCCGTGGATGCACTTACATACGAACGGCCCAATGATGAACCAGTTATAGCGACCTGCCTGGGGCTAAGGAAATCGGGAATCATTAGGCGATGCCTTGCCCCTCTCTTTACCGTTTGTGGGAGTTGGTCTTGGGGTGGGGGCGATTCTTCGTCTTCTGGCCACTGCACCTCAACAACACAACTCTTAACTCTTTCTACAAAAGAGAATTGGAATGGCGTATAGGTTACCAGTTATGAACATCTCTAAATAGCTCTTATACCCCACCAGTCGGACTCCGGGTATGGGGATCACCGCACGGGTCAGATCTTTATCCCTCTAGTCCGTTTTCAAGGACCAAAACGTGGCAGTACATGTCTTTCAACTGATGTATTCACACAACTGCGTACGCATTCCCCCGTTTCATGACCCCATGTCTGATCGCGTCTCAGGCCAGTCAGGATGGTGCGAACGTTGCCTTCCCCAGTCCAGATACGATTTTTGCCGGGGTCTTTGGGTCTCGTACAACCTCTGGGAATACGAATGGCGTACGACCCAGGGTCGTTATTTTTTTTTGTTCTGCGTCCACCCCCTCCTTTGCAATCTTGGTGTTCCAAACCGATGGCTGCCGATAATGAGGAGGGGTTGGGTGGCCCAGGTGCATGGACAAGTGTAAATGGCCTCATGGGGTTGGCGATATGCGTGAGCTAGTCAATCAATGTACGAAGTAGAACTGGCCGGGAGGGGCGTGTAATGAATATTCGTTCCGGCCGTATCGAAGTCGCTCCGTGCATCCTGTCTAGGAAAAAACGGGCCCCCAGATTGGGTGGCCCAGGACCGGTCGAGGCTGAACCGGAATGATTCATGCCCGCGCCATGCCATAAATATTTGATTTTATTTTATTTGGGATTTTTCATGGGAATCTTCCGCTTTTGTTATTTGAATTTGATTTTAATTTTTAATCCAAATACACATGGCACCGGGCACGGGCCTGGGTTATTTACGGGGCTTAGCAATCTGCAAGGCCCGAGGAGCTGATCTACCCAGACATACGGGCTTAGAGAGCCCCATCTCCGAGTCCGAGTATATAATCAATCTAAACGCCGCCCCTCCCCTCATTTGTGATCGTCCAGGGTCTTGTTAATCATCATATCTACCTTTTTGGTAGCCTGTCTCTTTCACACATCCAGCCATGCATCGCACTACCTACGACGCCCGTTCGGGCTCCCGTTCTTCCAACCACAGCAACAGCAGCGCTTTCAGTCCCAACGCAAACCCTAACGAGGACTGGACAAAGATCTCGGATCTTGCAGAGCGCCGTCGCATCCAAAATCGCATCGCACAACGCAACTATCGTAAGTTCCCTCATTCACTTTGCGCACTCGCCATCTTCCCTCAAGAACTATACTAACGCCTACATTCGCAGGCAAGAAACTCAAGCGCCGTCTCGAGGATCTGGAGAGACGTGCTGCTTCTTCGGCATCCCCGGAGCAGTCTCATGCAGAGCCTGTACTTCCAAAGGCCACCAACAAATCCCGCCCCAAGCAGCGCGGCAGCAAATCAGGAGATGTGAAAACGCAGCACCCATCGCGCGCCCCAGTTCAGGAACGACAAGCGTCCTACGAGTATTACAGCGCTCCTGATGAGCGCACCATGTTTGCTCAGCAATGTACTCGACAACTCTCCGCTTCTCCGCCTCCAGTCTTCTCATATCCCCCGATTCCAACGTACGACACCTACCGACAACCTTATTCTCAGCTTCCTCTCTACCATAATGTTCCCACCACATACAACGAAATGTCATTTGCGGCCGACTATGGCGAACCAGTCAGCTCCGTGGTTCCCATGATCCCTGGAACTGCGATGGGCATTGGCCGAAAACAGGTCTACGAGGAGGAGATGATCAGTCCATTCAGCATGAGCTACGCCTCGATGGCAGGCATTGATCTCTGCGCACAACCTCCACAGGCAGAGCCCGGTCTTCCGGTACATTTTCCTCGCTGAATTTCTTTTTCATTGGCATCACAACGGCAGTGGGCTAACCTTGTCTTTTTCTGGTTTGCTTGTAGATGCCTTCGCTTTCCTACGCCTACACGGATGACCAGCGCACGGCTTCGACTTCTCCAGAAGCCTCTATCTTCGCATTTCCTCCCACGCCAGAATCCCCACCCTGTTCGCCACGGTCTATGCCAGGTCTGTTTGAGTACGATCTGCGGCCATAGAACTGTCAGGCATGCATCAGCAGTGGCCGGCCTGTGGGGGCCAGACGACGCGTCAACTCCCGATTCCGACCGCTCCCAAATCTCAGGAGCAATGACATTACCCGCTTTTCCTTGCAGGGGTCTACTCATCTGGCCTTCAAAGGCTGGGTTGATCTTCAGTGTCTGGAGTGGGACGGATTTGGCCGCCACGTTTTCTACGGTCTCCAATTTTCCATTCGGACCCCCACTTTTCGAAGTACGGGGCTTTTTTCATTCTTCCCTTTGTATTATGTCGAGCCCTATTCCGGGACATGTGTGACGAGCGAGCATCATCTTGGGCGTTTTATTGCAGCTTCCTAGTCATTCTATATTGATGTCTTTATGATCGTGTTTTGGTACAAGCCTGGTGTTGGGGCGGGAAAGGGAATAATCAGCCGTCTAGAAAGACCGGCATGATTTTGATTTTGGTACGGAAATTATGGGCAATATTGGTCAACTAGATATGACAAATGCAGAACCTCCTCTTTTTTCTGAACAAATGACCCTGTCACCGGTTTCTTTCGAGACATCCAGTCTAATTTCGAACGGCTGGGTCCAGTCAATAACGTTTCGATCTCCAATCACGATTGGCTGTCAAGCTAAGGACTTGAACTCCGCTTGGCCCCCAAATTCAGATCCACTTGGTAAACCCAAACACAGGAGAAAGCTGCGGTATTTTAAGGCGTCCCGGCGTCACGCAAAGCCACCGGCCCCCAGAGCCTTGGGTGGCCCTAGGCGCATATATGTACCTAATGCCTATAGGTACTCCGTACTCCCCCGTCGATCGACCAAGCAGATAGCACGATTGGGTGCCCGCATGAAAACGCCGTAACAGTGATGAAACAACGCTGATCTGGGTCTTTTGAGTGCATACGATAATCATTATCCTGTTGTTGCTAATGTGCTAGGTTCTTCTTGAACCGGTATACTGGATACTGAATACTGATCGACCCATTCCCCCCAGCTTGACTCTGCAGCCCCTTTAGTACCTTTGCTTTTGGCCCCGCTGTCTACAAGTGCGGAGCAGGCTGCGTAAATGCAAATCACACCCAGTCCACCGTGTACATAGTTTACTTTGTCTTAACCTGTATCTCGGTAGATCCAAGTGTACATAGGCATGCAGATAAAGGTCTAGAATGTGACCAGTCCAGCCAAAAAGTTTAGATATCGGAGATTCAACTGTTTGGTTGCGCTCGTGGGCAAAAATACAAGGTCAAAAAGCCATGTGGTCGGCAGGACTCCTCCCAAACCACTGGGATTCGCTGGTCATTGCAGAATCTCCCGACACTGCATCATCCACATTTTATCACTTTCTTTTCTACTCCGTACTTCGTAGCACCGCAATATGGTGATCTCCAGGTGGTCGGTTTCTGGGGGCCATTAATTACCCTTGCCTCCTTATCCCCTTCGGAATTTTCGGCCACAAGGACACAAAACCCGAAAACTATGATCAAATGATGCAATCTTCGCCAGAACCCCCTCCCCCCTAGACTGCTGGCCACACTGCCGGGTCACAACAGGCGTTAGTCCTGTCATCTAACATTTAGCACCTGCCTGAAAGGCATCAAATCGTATTTAACTAGAGGCGACAACGTGCTGCGCCTCCTGGGTCTGGATTGGGGGGAAACCCCCTCTCCTAGTGGGATGCTGCCGGGCGTCTGCACCTGCACTCACATCTATCCATCCATCCACCATGGCTAACACCCTTTGGTTACCAACTCGGCACGAAATGTCGTC